GGGATCCACATCGGCTCCGGAGCTCCCTTTAAAAGCTCGTGTTCTGTTCTCGAACTTTCTTCTTTTTCTTCTTCCTTTCTTTTCTCCTCAGCTTTAGGATACTCGTTGCAGTCGCTCAGCTAGTTGTCAATACACTGAGTTGAGACCGTTACAGAGATCGCCCTGGATGCTGCGAATCTCGGGTGCCCGGATCTCCGGGAAATCAACGACAATTTTGTAAGTGCTGCGAGTCTGGAAAGACAAGTTGATCGTTGTTACTGACGGCTTGTTGGCAGGTCGACTGGAACCCGAAGCAGTGTGTGGACTGATGCACTCTTCATTTTCATAGCGACAAGTAGCCAGGTGTGATTGCATGTGTGTCACCGCTTCACATTATATACGCTCGTAAATATAGGAAGTTGTATTGAGATGATGTAAAAATTGTCGGCGGAAGAAAACATCGTTGTGCATCGACGTCAGTAGTGACACAGCTGGGCCGCCTCTGATCTCTGGAGGCGGCCCACATGTGCACTCACAAGGCCCGAGCTGCGAGTGGCGGGCAGCGTCCAGGCACAATAAGTAGCTTTACAAGGGCCGGCCGATCTTGAACTTCACGGGAATTAAGGCATCATGACCCGAATTGCCTGGGCCCCGGGTGCTGGGGGAGCTGTTGATGTCTCACGCGCTGGAATGGGCCGAGGCGGGTCGACCATGGGCGACGAGGTGCCGATGGCCCACTGCCACTAATATAGTACTGCCAACACGGGACCGATGGAATGGCGAGTTAGGAGCATAATAACCGCGCGAGGGCGAAATTGTATATTCATTCACGAGCTGTGCCGCCATGTAAATCTCCTGCGGGCACCCTTTTACCGTGTATGCTCGGCAAGCAGTACTTTGCACTCCAACATGTTCCTGGCCCAGGCCGGTCGAATGTCTCATATTCGTGAAAGACCAGAACGCCAAAGACAATGCCCGATCCAAAGTCTATACTCTCAATGGTAGGAGGCAGAAGAAAAGAGATTGGAAGTAAATGACTTGAATTGCAGAAGCCTGATACAGGAACATCGGTGATCCAATACAATGCAGTGAATGGTGCAGTTTGACTGTGTCGAAAGAGCCCGCTTCATGTTGGTGTCGCTGTACGGGCTGTCATCAATGGCGTTGCGCGTGTCCAAATACACGACCGAATACGTTGGAATCCTGCCTCTTCCACTCCGAAGATGGTTTCTTGAAATGATAGTTCGGCTGTTGTTGATGCTGCTGGTGTGGCTGCTGTCGCTTTGGCGGCACGGGAGGCGGGACCCCAGGGAGGGCCCGGTTTCGTTGTCCTGTCCCTGTCGTGGTCGAACCCGTGCTCTTGGAAGGACGGCGGTTGTCGCTGGAAGAGCGCCCGTGAAAGAGATAGAAAGAGCGGTGGCGCTCACTATCTTGGTCTTCGTCAGAAGAGTCGTCCTCAAACACTGATCGTGGTTCTGGGTCAGGCTCGGGTAGTGGGGGCAGCGGACGGTTGAGGAGGTCGGTCATGGACTTGTGTTGACGCGGTCGACGTGTGGCAGGGGTCTTGACATCGGGCACTGCGAGTTTGGTGCAGGATGACGTCGCCATGTTATACATGCTCGGTTTCGGTGCATGGAGCGCCCCGGGTCGCCCATCGGATGGCCGGCGTGTACGAGGTGCCATGGGTTGCAATGCCCTCGATTTCATGGCCAGAGGCGGGACAAGATGCACGTTCTTGGGCGCGGAGGTACCCAGGGAAGCATTGTGTCCCTGACTGACGGCAGAGCGATACCCACTCGGAGCAAGAAGGCCATGGTTTGGACGCGGAGGGCGGATTGGTCGTGGGCCCTGCTGCGATGGTGGCTCCCGGCGGCTTCGGAAAGCCGCCTCGCTCGATGTAGTTTCGGGGGACAATCGGGTGGTGTCTGACCGGCCGGAGTATATACTTGGCGATTCGGTTCGCGGGGATGGCGGACGAACAGGTGCCGAATACATCTGGCGTCCCCAGTGCTCGCTTTCGGGTAATGGCCACGGTTGACCCTGGTCGCCTGCAGGTAATTGTCGCCGGGAAGGGTTAAGGGGTGGTGGTATCGTGGCTGGATAGTGGTTCTTGGACGGCACCCCAGGCTGTTCCATGGATCTCTGCAAGGCCTCTTGGGTCCAGAAGCCGTCCCAGAGCCGCGAGGTATATGTATGGCATTGGTAGTCGTCGTCGAACGACACCTCGGATATCGTACGATCGTCCGTCAGGCCCGGCGACGACCCATTAGACCCCACTGACGACCTGGCCGACTTGCCCGTCGACGGCCGGTCGGTCGTATACGCCGCCGCACTGTCATTTCGTGGGTAGGAGTAATTGGCCACTGCATGGGTCACGGAGCTGCCGTCGAGGCTGCTGCCGGAGGTGCCCACGGGGTAGAATTTGGACACGAGCGTGAGCCCCGAGGGCTTCAAGTTGCCATCCTGATCCACGCCCAAGTGTAATTGTGCCAGCGGAGCGGCCGCGTATGTTTCGACGATGTACTTGGACAGGAGCGTCAGTTCGGTCAGCTTGCTGGGGTCCATGATGGCGACGACTTCTCGGCTTGGTGATGGCTCTGCATCCCAAGCAGGTGCTAGGAGACAAGCATCGCGAAGTGCAGCGATACACGGGGGTGAATCGTCGAAGAGACGTGCATGCTGTTATACGGGCAGGCTTCCTAATCACACCTGGCATCGCTAAATGTGTGAAACACTGGTGTGAGACGTTCGTGGGAGTGCAATTGGCCGGCGAACTTGTCGTTGTTTACTCTTCATCTCGTTGGGTCACCACGCATTCCAGCCGTGGCGGCCATCGCGTGCATCGCCGCCCGCGACAGCGACCTTGGCCCCCTCGCCCCAATTCTTCCATGTGCAGTAGAAACCAGAAAAAGGGATTTGAATCGTTGGTAAGTGTCTAAATGTGTGTTGCGATGCCCATCTGGTCTGTCTTTTGTTCGAGCACGAGCATGGCCTATTGTCGGTCACTTCAAGTTCCTCTCCTGTCTTATTCAGGCGGTCTGCGTGTGCGCTTATGCAGCTCGAGGATCGCAAGTCATGAAGCGGATGCGGCTGTGCCACTGCGCACGACTGCGCACGCATGGAAGGACAGCAAAACCCCACATGAAGGGCATCTCGTGTTCGAGCGGACTTCTCCGGCGAGCCGCATCACCGACATCGCGAGTCGCGACAACTCTAGCATTGCTTCGCCGTACCTTCCACCAATTGCCGTTTCATGCGCCCGAAGCGGCAGCTGACAGCTTTACCTGCCTTTAGCAGCCATCAGCGATACTTGCATCCCCCCTGATCTCATATTTGCCCACGATGCTCAGGAACGCCTGACTTGATGTTGTTGGGTGTGGACGCTGATCAGACTCGGAGGCGAACCTTGTTCTTGTTGAGGAATACGACCAACTGCCCAATGGCAGCGCCTCGCCTCGAGCTGTTGTCGTGCTTAAAAGTTTTTCTCCGATACAGCGATAACACGCAGCAGAATGATAGAGGCTCGGAACTGGCCATGATGAATGTTCGGGTGGAGATCCCCCATGAAGCACAGGCAAATGGGCAAGCGATTCCGCTCATCATTCGCCGACCCTCCCCCGGTTGGACACGGGGGGCTGTAGCCGGGATGAGACGAGCATTTAAAGTGTCTCCCGCGCCACTGGAGATATGCTCAGGAGCGCAGGCAGCGATCATTGAGCATGTCAGTATGCCTGCCCTATGAGCCACCATCTCCACTTCATCAAGGCAATCTGTTGTGACGGAGGTCGAGCAGCCAAAGGTCGCACCGAGGAGCGTGTTTCAATGTTCTCATGATGCATCGACATACCATCTGATCACGACTCATCAAGAAGCACAATTGCAGGGGTGTCTATGAGAACCATACTAAGAGCAGATTTTGAGCGGTTGAGGGACGGTGACGGCGCCGCTGATGAAAGCCTGTCATTGAACCTAGGCAATGGTACATGCAGGCGAGTTGGTTGGACACATGCGCCCAGCCACAACTTGGCTATGTTGTCTCGACGGGCTTGTTCGATGCGCTGTGAGTGAACACCATAAGAGTCAATGAGTTTTCTCGTTTCTAATATTGGGGAACTAGATAGGGGCGCTTGGTTTCTGGCGTCTGATGTAAGAATAGGGGGTTATCAGTCTGTCTATAAACAGTCGACGATAGCATCTCGCACTCATTTGTCCCAGCCAGACGCAAAAATGACTTGCCTCGATAACCATCCGCACGATAAACATGGAGCATGCAGATCTCATGTGCCGCCAGGCTTGCGCAAGGCGCACGTTCAAGTCTTTGTTCGCTACCTGTGCACTGATACCTGGTCGCGATACCGGATACGAGAGCAATTATATGCGCGCAGAATATTACAAAAGAAAAGCGGTACCGGAATAGCAATGTAGTGTTCCAGGCATTACAAATCGCAGGTGACAAGGCGTAGCGCACCGCCAGATTCGACTGCCTGGCGGCTGGGACGGAGTGCGAAAATATAAACCTCGTGCCGAGAACGAGGCACAATGCCGAGGCATCCCGTCAAGATCTCCTCAGGCGGCCTAAAAGCCCTTTCCCAGGCGAGTAATCGTATGTTCCCATGATGGCCCTCGGAAACGACGGAGTACAGACATCAATCGCGGGTTTCCCCAAAACTGCTAGACCGCGACGATAGCAGGCATCTAGTTACAGTCACGCCAACAAATGGCCAGACGCTTTTGCCCATAAATAAGCGATGAGACGCGTCTCGGCCGGGTAAGCTGCTCAGTTGTATATCATTACCGAGCCTTCCGTTACTATACGTGAGGCGCGCTGGCCAAGCCCACATCATACGGTGGTCACCCAACCCGCAGTGGAACGTGGCATGATAACCTGCTACATTGCCCTCAACAAAAACGATGCACTCATAAATACACGTCGCTCTCTCGATTGATTGAGCGCTGAGGCCCGTTGAGTTTGACTGCGCCGCATTGAGAACTGGTCTACATTATACTGTACAGAGGTTCATTCGCAGCGATGCGGGCCCGAAGATGGGTTACCTTGGCCGCTTGGTGTATGTCGATGTACCTATGGCGCTACCACATCCAAGAACTTGCTGAGACTGCAAGGCTGTTCTCAACGTTTAAAACCGCCCTACGACACCAGCCAAGCCTTATTCATCCTTACCCGGCACCGGACGCCTTTCTATCAAAGTCGGCCACTTCACTGAGTGTCCAATCCCCGACTCCCCCGATCCATGTACCCAGGATCATTCACCAAATCGCTCTCGGGAACGCCAATCTTACAAAACATGCTGAAGCCATACAATCCTGTCGAGAGGCTCACCCTGACTGGCAACATGTCCTATGGACTGACGAGACCGCCACCGAGTTCCTTGCGGCGAACTACCCCGACATTCTTCCTCATTGGTTGAGCTATTTCCAGGATATCCAGCGCGCAAATATCCTCAGATATGCAGTCCTTCATACGTTTGGAGGCGTCTACCTCGACCTCGACGTCACTTGCCTTATCTCGCTCGACGAGACAGACATCGTGACGCTGCCGTGGGTTACGCCGGCTGCTTTCCCCGCGGGGATAAATAATGCCTTCATTGCGACTCAACCAGGGCATCCCCTGCTCACCCAGGTTTTGGCGCATGTCCCTAGCCATAATCTGCGTTGGACACTCCCGTTGCGGATACCCTACGTGGAAAACATGCTCAGCACGGGATGCCTTTACATATCGCTGGAATGGTTCCGTTACGTGAAAGATCTAGCGAAAAAAGGCGAGAACGTGTCGGAGGCAGAGAGAGTATACATACTTGGCGATCAGGAACTCAACGTTGATCCACATATGCTGCGCGGGAAGATCATAACGCCGCTCTTTGCCCATGGCGGCGCAAGCAGCTGGCACAGTTGGGACGCCGCTGTCGCCATTTTCCTCAGCCGGCATTATGTCTTGGTTGGGACCTTGGTCGTGGGCTGCCTGGCACTTGCTCTTGGCGTAGCTGCGGCGCTACGATCTGGTCTGCTCGGGAAGCATATCGGAACTGGAGTCCGCGGTAGGCATGGAGCCTCGAGCCGGACAGGAATGGATCGGGCCAGCCGGGTCCCTTGGAGGGCAAAATCCATGCCATATTACAGCGTAGTGTGAGCGACTAGACCGATGCTGAATCTGCATTCTTGGGAATTGGGTTGCTCCGCTTCTACTTACAGGTAATAATAACCGAGAAAGCGCATACGGGTCGGCGTTTGTATAGAAAATGAGTGGTTCACGGCCTGGGGGCTGCACTGAGCGCAAAACCGTGGCTGCATGTAGAGGGCGTTCAAAACCGAGATAGACTATACTGCGTAGATGGCATTCGCTCGACTGATAGAAAAGACAATGCTGTACTATAGAACTACATGTACATATAATCATCATCGAATGTCTTGTCTAATACCTTGGTTGTTGGCTGTAGTGGTTGTGAGCTTCAAGCTCGACCACTTGGTGTGTGCCATGATCCGACAGCTCAGGAACCCACCGCGCCCCCTCCAATTCCGTGACTGGATGCGGCTTCTCGTTTGATAGCACCTGGGCGTCCATCTTGCTTTCGGGGCTTCCCTGTTGCGCAGGAACCGCTGCACCAGCCCCTCGTCGCTTCTTCCTTCCCAGTAGATATGCCCCGAGTATCAGCAGAATCACCACGACAGCTGCCCCGACACCAATCCCTGCCTTTGCCCCGGTGGAGAGCCCTCCCGAGCCCGTTGGCCCAGCACCTGCGGTCGGGGCCGTGCTCGAGCCTGTCGAGTCGGCGGCATCGGGCCTTCCGCTATTTGTAGTAGTAGAGGTACTGGTAGACGTAGCGCTGGTTGTAGCTGGCGACGTGGTGCCTGAAGTTGATGCAAGTGCGGTCGGGTTGGTTGTGCCAGTCGGAGAAGCAGTCCCTGTGGCTTGGGCGCAAACCTTCACCAGGTCACTCCCGGCCGCTGTGCACGTTTGTTAGGATGCGGTTGGCAGGGCATTAACGAGAGGCACCGCTGATCGCCGTAACGAGGCAGTGGTACGTGAGATACTCACAGATAACATCACTTGTGTCGCATGACGAAATGACACAACTCATGAGCGTCGATCCGTCTGACGTCGATACATCCTTAGTGCAGATGCATTTGACATCGTTGATGCCGCAGCCGGCGCTCTTGGCGGCGTCCTGCAGGCATTTCTTCACACAGGCTGGGAGGGAATCGAGAGACATTGCGGCGGGATTGATGCCTGAGCGCCCTCTTCAACCGACATATTTGGCGTCTGTTGTAGGTTGCGAAAAAGCCATAATTCCGAGGCTGCTCTGTTTCATGGGACATTCTCCCAATTATAAACCCCGCGCCGTTCACTTCAGCCGCGACGAAAAGGGGCTAGCGGGCTTGAGTTTGTCCGTGCTCTGCCACCATCACGAGGAGCCTTTTCAGTGTGAGGCGCTGAGGGGACCCCTGCAGGCGAGATTTGAGGCGTCGTCCAGCTGAAAGTCCGCCGAACAATCAACATCGTTGGGTACGCGCAAAGCATCTGCCGCCGATGGCGCTTGCCGGATGGTTGGGCGCATTTTCTTCGTACGTTGGTCGGTAATTTTTGCCATTTGCCTACTTGCTATAGGCCATCAATCCAGCCCACCGGGGAGGCGGCAAGCCTCGACACAATGGTGGGTTTGAGACGTCGTCCGGGCCGCTCCACCAAGTAAGCAAAGTATCACTCCCGCGAGGCACAGCCCCCTGTCATGTTGGCAGGCTGTCACCACGCAGATCTGCGATCGAAAGCGACCAAGTCGCATGGCCCTAATTTGAGAATTCAGGAATCCGGATGCTGTCCTACTCGATCGCCAAATCCACAGGCTGCGCGTATGCGACGTCAAGTTCCCGTCAGCAGCTCAACAGCATGCTAAAGATTTGCACGAAATGTTACAATAGCTTTGCAAGAATGCGACTGACACAACACATGTGTAATGCTCCATAACGCGCGGCAGAGCTGTCAGGCAGGCAAAGCTTAAACTATGTAGACAAAATATGAGTATCATCATTTGACATGATCCGTCGTACTTCAAGAGAGTGTTCGAGTACGACGGCTGGGCCCTGATATCGGCATTTATTTGGCAGGGAAACTACCTGGCGGACTTGGCTTCAATGACCAATGTGGATGTGTGGATGCGAGAGGTTATCTCGTGTACGAAGTACGTCTTCCTAATCTACATCGGGTGTCGAGTTTACATGATGATGTTCAACGCGCGTCTCCAAGCAGGCCACGCCGCGACCTTGGCCCTGTACGCGTTGATCTCATCCCAGTCCAGCTCACGGCGGCCAGTATCGACGTCCATTTGAGAGGTCCTCAGCCAGCCCTCACGCTTCCAAAGGTAGCCAATCAGCCAGAACGCGATAACAACAGGTGCAGCAAGGTACTGCTTGAAGAAGCTCTCGGCCGTGCCAACGCCGGGCTTGCCAGGAGGTGCGGCAACTGCGGTATAGAACTGATAACAAGCAGTTAGCATCCGTAAATCTACTGATAGGAAATGCTGCAGTGGAGCAGAACATAAGCTTGTACTTACCTGTGCAATGAGCACGATAATGCAGAGGAAGAGACCGAGATAGGAACCGTACACGCCTCCGGCAGCCTTGAAAGGGATTTCGTCCAGTGTATGTCCGTGGTACTTCCAAGCCTTACGGAATCGGATGTGTGCCAGACAGACGGAGCCCCAGGTGAACAGTGCGGCGAGACCAGATAAAGCCTGGAGCCAGTCGAAAACAGTAGGTCCGGAGGCACTCAGACTGACGAAAGCAACGAAGCCGAACAGAATGAGAACGATAACCGACGGCAGAGGGCGACCAGACTTGTCGATATAAGTGAAGAGCTTGGGTGCGTAGCCCTGCTGCGCGAGGGCAGTGAGGGTGCGAGAACCGCCGTAGACACCGGATACACCAATCGACAGGACGGAAACGAGAATGACAAGGTTCATGAAATGATCAAATCCCTTAAGGCCGGCGTACTTGCCAACAAGGACGAAAGGTGAGGCCTTGGGGTCAGCGTAGGCGCTCTCCGAAAGCAGCGCAGGGTCGTTGCAGTCGATGAGTAGGCCGACAAAGAAGAGACCGAGAATGTAGAAGAGAGTGATTCGCCAAAACACCTGCTTGATGGCGCCTGGCATCGACTTGACCGGGTTGCGGGATTCAGCGGCAGCGAGACCGACCAGCTCAGTGCCAGAGAACGAGAACGCAGCCGTGACAAACACAGCGCAAAATCCCTTGAAACCGTTCTTAAATGCCCCGGGATCATACCAGAGTCTGGCGCCCCAGTATTCATCATAGCGACCGCCAGAGGGGCCGCCACCGCAGACAAGGACGAGAGCAATAATCATGAAAATGACGGTTGCGGTCAGCTTGAAGGCAGATGCCCAGAATTCTTCCTCGGCGTATCCTAGAGCACCAAAAACGTTGATGATAATGATGACGACGAGGAAGAGCGCGATCCAAACTCCGACCGAGATGTCTGGGTTCCAGTATTGAATCGTGATGCCACAGACAGTAAGCTCCAGGGGTAAGACTGCCGCCCATTGGAAGACGTAGTTCCAGCCCATGGCAAAGCCCCAGGAGGGATCGATGAAGCGGGCAGAGTAGGTATAGAAGCCACCGGACACGGGATACATAACGGCAAGCTCACCGAGCGCGTACACTGCCAATAGTTCAGCACGTGTTCAATAGAACGAGAGTGGTGGCACCAGGCTAGTGTAAGACACAGGCTGGAAAACTCACCGACGTTGAACATCATGATGCCGATAATGAGGAAATCGATAAACAAGCTGCCAGGGCCCTTTTCAAGGTCAGCAACGTATGATGGCAACTTCATAGCGGCCGCTGTTCTGGTCGGGTAATGGTTCAATACGTACACCTTTGCTAAGAGCACCTCCAGAGCCGACGAAGAAACCGGCACCAATGGAGCCGCCAATGGCAATCATGTGCAAATGGCGACCTCGCATAGGCCGCTCCAGCTCAACGATGCCAAGGCCATAGTGAGCCTTTCTGAAAGAATCGAGGTTGAGTCCATTGCGCGTCATGTAATTCTCATGAGGAACGCAGACGGTCGACTCCTGCTTGCCGATGACTTGGCTTGTGCCCTCATAAGTGCCCCCATTGCCACCCTTCTCGGCATCCGAGGGGCTCGACTGCAAGACTTCGTCTTTTGCAGCCATGTTTGCGGCTTTCCCACGGAGTAGGAACTCTTTCGGCGAGGAAGTTGACTTGAATTACACCACAAAGGGCAGGACGGGGAGATGCCACGGGGGGAGCAGCTGGGGGACCAAGACCAAGAGACGCGACATGCGCGGGGGACACGCTCCATGGCTCTATTTAAGGGGGCGAACCGAACAGACAGGCTTCTGGAAGGATTCATCAGGAGATCTGCATTCGGCCGGGATCAGCGTGGCCACCTGCAGACGGACGGGGTACTGGTCCCGTAAGCTGAAGTCTGGTACATGCAACCACCATGATCTCTTTGCGGCATCATTGGTAGATGGGACTTTTGTTCGATACCATCGGATCAGACGGCCCCGGGGATAATGGAGAAGTGGGCCGCGCGAGTCGCCCCGGGCGGGCCAGCGCGGGAAGCGAAGCCATGACTGGCCAGTCGCCGGCGTTGCTCAACGTCTAGTCGCGTCGCCTTAATCTCTAGGTTAATCGCTCGCATGCTCCTTGCAACGAACGGCGTGCCCATCGGCCGCTGCCCAATCTAGCCGTCAGATACGAGACGTGAAAACTGGAGACACGGGGGCCGAGAGCAAATGACCGGGCGAATCAGTGCCGCGCCCTCTCACATTAGCACTGTAGCAACCTTGGTAGCGTCGGATGACCGCGTGAGCCAGCTCGCCGCCCGTCATTTGCGAGGAGCATTAAAGATGCTTTAGTCAAGTCCGTCCGGCCAGCTCCTCCCATGTTTGGTACCTGCCATCTGGTTAAGCAGCTGCAGGAAACACGGCATGACTGGCATGGATTCCAACGTGGTTGTGCGCTTGGTGTTTAGTTGCGTGGTCCGCTCTCCACCTTCCATGGATGAACCAGAAACCGGTGCGGGTTCCCTCCCACCACCCCAGGTTCCAGAGTTTCCACCTTTGCAACCAGATTCCTGCAGCAGTGGACCATCGGCCCGAGCTTATCGTAGAGTGGCACGTGGGCTCCCAAAGTCCCTGCGCCTGGTCTCGCGGACTGCGTTGAGGGACGTCTTTGCGAGAGGGCAGGCTGAAGGTGAGAGCAAGAAGGCAAGTTATATGAGGAACAGCCACGGATCGGGAGGCTGACCGAGCATGCACGATGGGCTTGGCGCGGAGGCTCCCTAGATCAGCCACCTCGGCCGTCCCCGAGCGCCCAGCTTCGTTCTGTGCATGGAAAAAATGAACGTTGTCAGTGGCTCCACACCGGCCGCAACAGCAGAGAATGACTGCACCAAACCCTCCGGAGCGCAATTTAAGCCCTGCGCTGTTTGGCTCATCAGCAAACGCCCAGATCGCGCAACGCGTGTGCACGTAGCCTCTGCACAATCCCAGGTACTTGAACCCAGCGAGAGATGGCTAGAAGAGAAAAGAAAATGCAGGCCACGGCACGGTAACAAGCCATGGACAGCTGCGTCGCGCCAGAAACCTGGTGAAATGAGCACGAGTGAGGGTCGAGCTGACACTGACGGTCCGCGGTTAACATCGGATACGCACACCTAAGGGCGATGGCCTCAGCCACGACAGCAAAACAAACTGGGCAATGCGAACGGTGCGCCTCGGGTCACATGCTGAAAAGACCGTTGCTTGATGCTGTCAGCCATGCAAGAACAGAGTGCTACACGGCTGAAAGACACCCTGTCCTGCCAAGACTAGCCAAGTGGGCGTGCCGACCGTGGTCGCTGCGGGGATGTGGGCATTGCGCTGGGGAAGATCGTGGAGCACTGAGGCAAACCAGCCCGTCTCCACGATTGACCCCGGAAATGGACCCAGTTCCGAAGCCTGATGTCTTGCAACCTTGAGACAATCTTGGCAGTGGGCCTTGCTTGACAATATGAAGCATCAATTCCCACCATCAGCCGAACCGCGCACTTGAAGCAGAACCCTCTCGTCTTGTGGTGATCTCCCTGTGCTCGCGGTGGTAACAAGTCGAAGCGCGGTGGGCGCTGGGGCTTGTATTCGGAACAACGGACCTGCACGATGGCTCTGCGGGGAACGCCAATGTTCCGCCACGACATGACCTGTCCGTGCGCTGAGCTTTCGAGAGGTCAATTGGCCGATCATCGACACACAGATGCCGCGGAAGCTGCCGACTTCACGCACCATCCGGCCAGATCCCGGTTTCCGAGTTCCGCATTGTGGCTTTTGAAACGAGCAGCAGCCCAATGAGACGGACGTGTCGCAGGCCCCGGTTCGAGATAACGGAATTAACAGCATCGAAGTGACTGATAAACTGTGGGATGCCGTGCAGCCCACGTCGCGGCACCAGAGTTGCACCATGGTACGGCAAGCATTTCCACCGGAACTTGAAGGCGATGTTGCATCTAATGCCACGCTGGAAAAGTCTTTATTTAAAGCCTTCGCCTCCACACAATCTGTCATCCGAATGAGTAACTTGCGCCTACTCGACAACGGTCGTACCCATTAACGTTGCGAATGTGGAGATTCATGGCGCATGCCGACCGCCTCAACTAAACATGACAGGCCGTACCAATGATGTTCAGCATGATTCATTCTGGGCCCCTGGCACCGTAAACCTTGAAGAGTGTACGTGTGAGCGGTCGAGTCCATTGTTCAGGGCGAGCTGGCTGACTGAGTGCTGTGCAGTGCAAGAGTTTAGCAACAAAATCATCCTCCATCCAATTCCTACGTCCGATCCCAACGACCCCCTGAACTGGTCCACCAAACGCAAATGTGTCAACTTCGCGCTCGTCTCTTTCTATGTCTTGATGACTTTTGTCCAGCTCGACATTGGATATACAGCTTGGGGGCAGTATCAGCATGAGCTCGGATTCTCGGTCAGTCTCTTGAACGGCGGCGTTGCCTTGCAATACGCTGGCCTAGCCATCGGCTGTTTCTTCTTCGTCCCGCTCGTGCACAAATATGGACGACGCCCTTCGTATATCGTCAGCACCGTCATCCAGCTTGCATCCTGCGTTTGGTTCGCATCGATGAAGCGTCCGGTAGACCTTTGGATCAGCAGCCTGCTATCGGGTCTCGGCGGCGCGACAAGCGAGACTATTGTCCAAATTACCATCGCAGATCTCTTTTTCGTCCACAACCATGCAGCGCTCAATGGCTGCTACCTCCTTTTTGTTGCCGTTGGCGCCTTTCTCGGCCCGGTGGCATCCGGCTACATCGTCGACAACCAAGGGTGGAGGTGGATATGGTGGTGGTGTGTGATCCTCTTTGGTGTTGGTCTGATATTTACGGTGCTTCTCTTTGAGGAGTCAAAGTATACGCCTGTACTCGAAGCTCGAGTCCCGTGCACCGCGACGCCGGACGGAGTTGCAGACAAGATGCACATTGAGCGAAAGAAGACGAGAGGCAGTGATCCTCCGGACGCCTCCGTCCAGGGCAAATATGGCTTGGTCGAACGAACGCAGTCCAATGTTCTTCTTGACGAGACCATCCCGCTTAAGTCATACCGTCAGCGTCTAGCCTTCATCACCAACACAGAGGGGCCTATTCTACATCACCTTTTCCAGCCTATTGTACTACTTTTCACATTTCCAGCCATTGCGTATACCGCCATCACGTACGGGACCGCTTTAGCCGAGTTTTCGATCTTGACCTCTGTCCAGGCAATCTATTTGTTCGAACCGCCATACAATTTCTCTGCATCGGGGGTTGGATTGATGAACCTTGCTCCGTTCATAGGACATCTGCCAGGTATCATAATAGGGGGATACCTTAACGACAAGTCAATTGTCTGGCTGGCGAAACGAAATGGTGGCATCTATGAACCAGAGATGCGGCTCTGGCTGGCCTTGCCTTCGGCAATTCTCACGCCTGGCAGTGTTTTAATGCTTGGAGTAGGGTTAGCTTATGTGAGTCTTTATTTCTTGCTACGCTTCACTGCTGCGCGGGCCAGACTGCACACGCGTGAGCAGCAGTGCTGACCTTTACTGTGTAGACCGCCCCTTGGCCACTTCTCGCCGTTGGCTTTGGTCTTTTTGGCTTCAACCTTGGAGTCACGGGCAGCATTGCTCTGTCGTACGCCATGGACTGCTACCATGATGTAAGTTTGCCACTCTCGTCTGCTAAGCGGGGATGAGAAAAACGTCAATCAACTCCGGGAATTTTCCTCTTGAGAGATCCCTCCAGCCCTAGTTAACCGCGCACTCAACAGGTCATCGGCAATGCCCTCGTCGGGGTCGTATTTACTCGCAACGTTCTTTCTGTGGTAGTTCTATTCTCACTCTCGCCCTGGATCGACGGCATGGGCCTGAGGGACATGCACATCCTGGTATCAGCAGTTTCCTTTTGCATTCTACTCATTCCGGTTCTACTGCTCATATGGGGGAAGAAGTCACGAGCGTCGTTGGCAACGAGGTACCGGGAGATGGCGAGAAAACAACCAACCCACCGGGGCTTCTGATGCGCCGTGCCTGTTGGCTCCTTGCGCTCCTCGAGGACGTGTTGTACACATTATCCGTGGGTTCAATCACGGTCTCATCCATCGCACTGGAGTGGTCGGCTTTCTTGGGCACGCCTGACACCTTCACCGGCTAGTTCGAATGCTCAAACAAGGACCTCGGGCAGTGCGCGCAGTGTCACGGGTACGCAAGCGAAAGAGTCGCGAATCGTTTGCAAGTTGTTTCATAAACACTATTAAATTGTAGAAGCCGAAAACTCAAGACCAGCCCTCCACTCGCCTCGTCGCACTCTGTCTCCTCAGCAGGCTTCCGGAGGCTCTCAAAAGGGATACACCAATTTGTGACATATCTCCCACCCGTTGCCTGCGGTCAGCGCTCCCGCGTCACAGGATATAGCGAAATTTCTTGTCTTTTTGCAATTCCGCAGCCTGGTCGTTGTCCTCTGCTTCATTCCTGGCCTCATTCTCCCGATCCCACTTCTTGTTGGTGCGGTGCAGAACAAACATCTGAAGGCTGGCAGCGGCAGCCACAATAAGGGCAGACCCGCAAGATACCCACATGCCTCTTCGGTAGAACGGCTTGTCCTTGATGGGGAAGATGTTGGTCCCGACCACGGGGCCCAGCTGTCCGCCCGTAGCTAAGATAGCGAGGGCGACCGCTCTTTGCGAGTCATTTTCGTGGGTGTTGCTTACCCAGGTCAGCACAAGCGCAGCGCATACGAACATCTGCGTCCCCAGAACTAGCCCGAAGTATCGAGATGCCACACCTGTCGTAGTTGCGAGGATGATAAAGCCAATCGCGGCGAGCAACGCCTCACCAACGATGAAAGGGCCTCGGACTTTATATCGGTCGGAAAGCGATGTGCAAAGGACAATCATGAGGAAGCAGATGACGTATGGCGGGGCAGATAGACCTTGAGACTGGACCTTCGTGAAGACTCCCATCTGCGAAATAATCGTTGGGGAGAAGAGCGGCAGCGATGCAAATGCAACATTAGAGCCAAAGTACATGAGAGCAGGCAGATAGGTGCGATAGTCCAGTACCGCCCTCAAAGCTTCCTTCTTTTGTAAGGCTGCCCAAGTCAGCGAGCTGTTTGGAACCACGAGATCAGGGGACGGTTACCTCTTATTCCAGGCCTGGGGCCCATTTCTTGCGCATTGAACTGCGTGGCGATCTCCTTCTCATGATTTGAGAGGAATCGTGCGCTTCCGGGTCCATCGGGGAGGAAGAACCAGGTCACAATAGCCAGCAGGCAAGTGGGTATACCTTCGACGATGAAAAGGGTCCGCCAAGGAGCAATAGCTCCTTGTGCTTGAGATATTCCGTAGGCCAAAACACCGCCATAGGCGTTGGCTGCGGCGGAGCCAGAGAGGAAGATTCCTACTCGGAAGCCTGCCTTCTCGCGAGGATAGAAATACGAGAGGTAGAGAGTAACTCCAGGCGCATAGCAAGCTTCCATAATACCCAAGAACACTCGGGAGATCATGAGTCCAGTCCACGTGGTACACACTGCCTGCAAGGTCGATACGAGACCCCAAGCAAACGCGCAAAATGCAACCCATACATGTGGAGGGAAGACCTGCCAGCCGATGCACAGCCACTGAGAAAGAATGTCTGTAGAAAATGATGTCAGCCTCTTCCGTCTTCCGCTCCTGCGATAATGGGGAGACTCTCACATGCAATGTAGAATGCTGTACCGAGCCAGTCGTACCGTCGTCCCGAAATGTCAATCTCGTCCTCCATCCCGGCGATTCGGGCGTTGCCGAGGTTGCTGCGATCAAGTACAGAGAAGGAGTACATGACAAAGATTTGAGGCAGAAGGTGCTTGTCAAGCTTCCGTATGATTCGGTTTCGTTCCTTGATGCGATCGGCATGGTTTGGAGATTCCGAGCTGATTGCCTGCTCCACGGCCGAACATTCACGGTGCTCCGCCCGGGGCTGTTCGACCGGAGGCGTCGAGCCTTGCGCTTTCATCTCAGAGAGGCCGACAGCATCCATGGTAGCAGGCTGCTAAAGTGCGCCCAGTTATTCTGCAGATAGGCCGACACTTCCGTCGTCTCTGACCAGAAAGCGACGCCTGGTGTATATATGTAGTCATGCTTTATAGCCTATATATGTTTGGTAGCCTATACAGTCAGGATCATACCTTTGTGGTTGCTCTCCTGCGCAGCCGTTATTGCTTGGCGTGCAGGGTCTACCCCTGGTGTGACTGGGAGGCAACGCTCCCGCCGCAGCGAGTCGACGTCTGTGCAGAGTCTGGATGCTGTACGACGCGGGCCGTGCCAGGTATCGGAGCAAGACTGTCCGGCTCTACAAGTGGTGAATCCAACAGATCCTCTAGTGAGGCGGCTTACAGGTGTCATCCCAATTGGATATCTGGTCTGCTATTCGTTGGCGTTGGCCGTCCATATGTCCTCGCGTGGGACAGTCCAACAGGTCAAAGGTTGGTGCAGACCAACAGTCCCCTCAGGCCCGGGGAGCGTCGTGCGAGCAAATAGACTCTGATTACTTGGACCCTCTCCCCGCATGTTGGCTGTTCCCAGTATTCTCTCGATTGGACATGGCGAGGCATGCTTGTCACAAATGGATTCCCAGGTACCGCGTTTGCTCCAAGTCAGTCGACCCGGGCTTCTTGAGAGCCGGGCAAACAGCAGACGGTACAAAGCATCTTCTTGAACGTAATTCAATTTATTGAAGCTTGCAGGAAGTGAGACGCAACATCTAGTCGCATTACGTCCGAGGAAAAAGGCATTGGCTCACTTCGGCAAAAGACATACCTTGCCAGACGGCGAGGAGAGGCTCTTATCCAGTTGAGCCGTAGTTCATGTTAAGGGAATAGCGAGGAGCCACCGGTCACGTAGCAGCCGCCTAGGAAGATCTCGTAGTCAATGATGTAAAGCAGGATGCAAAGTGGCACATCAAGAATCACATGATCGTGGAGAATGGACGTTGGCTACGGCAGGTCAAGCTCAATGCCCGGCCCCGCACAGCCCAAGTTGAAACAAGCTTATCTCAATACATCCGGGTAGATGAAGCTAATCTGAAGCGGTTGGTTTATACACACTGTCCGAAAATAAGTCTGCGGGAAACAAATATAAACATCTCACCAAAATGGTGGTACGATGGCGTGTACACCGTCGACCTCGGAACCGACGTATTTCTAGCAAATGATGCCGAACCTCGCAATGCCAGCAATCCGAGCTTAGAAGGAAAGCAAGTACTGCTTGATAGCGCCACACGTGATCAGGATCCATACGTGGGTGACTTGGCGGTTGCTTCATTGACATCCTACCTGTCGCATGACCCCGCGGAATCCACGAGAAAATGTTCTCGAGGATCTGGCTCTACCTACAACAGTGCGCTGATGGATGGATTCCGCCCGCAAGCATGTACGTCGGCCCAGCTGCACCGTTGGAAGCGATACTGACTAAAAGCAGAGGCAATTTTGTTTTAGGTGTCCATCCAATGGAGCTCGGCTTCAAGCGCTGGAAGATCTGTCCGACAGGTGACTTTGGAGATGTTTCGTGGGCCAAAGGGGAGATTCTAACTGCACACGGCGGACTGGAGGTCAGCTAGTCCAAACATAGCTCCAACGCAAAGAGCCAAGTGTCTTTCATCACACAGGCTCCTAATGGGACAAGTGGGACACTTTGTGTACGACGAGGTGGACAACAGGGTGAAGTCATCAGGGTGAACGGCTCGGAAGTCACCTCGGGAGATCTTGAGTCACAGCCGGGGGAGCACGATGCAACCCTTGTGCTTCATTTGGGAGAGGGAGTGCACAACATAGCATTTGACTCTACATAAAGGCTATGGATTCTTTCGGAAAAATGCTGGTAGCAAGATAGTGCTCACAAACTAGAGAAATTAATCCCGCTGCCCCTGCCCGTAGATGCTGTCTGCAGTCACCCTGTCCTCCCAGCCAGGCGAGCTACCACTGATGATAGAGTACTTGACCAGTTTAGTTTGCCCCTTGTTCAGAAGAAAAGCATTCTCTTCGAATGAGACGATAATCGACGCGTCCTTGTCAGAGACGCTGAGCCACGTCCAAGCACTTACACCCTGCTTGGCCGTGACCTCGAATGCGCCGTCGCCTTTCTTGTGAACGATACTCAATCCAGGATCAACTAGCGCTGCAGACGACAACGGTGTTGGTGTGAATGTGTTTGTGTGCCGATACGTTTTCGTGGCTTTGCTGTTTATGGGCGTGCCGATGGCGGTGAGGTTGGCCACGAATAGACACTCCGTTGCGTTGAAGCTTTCCGATTCGGCAAGCTTCGTCATGTTAAATGAGGTAAGAAGTGTGGAGTTGATTGCGCTAATCGTGAATTGCACGTCTTTTTGTCTGACCAGGGATGGTGGCACGCTTGTCGTGCTCTCGGATTCCCCTATGGTGTGGTTCAAGAGCCGACCGTCCCAACCTACCCAGCCGAGTGTCGCCGAACCCTTGACTTCGCTCCACAAATCGCTAATCGCGTACACGTCCAGGATTCCGGAGCTTTGGTTGAAAATGGGCGCCAAGATTACCGACTCATAGATGTCCTTGGCGACGTAGTGGAGGACCTTCCAGCGCCCAGAGTACTCGATGCCGGCCCAAGTCGGGGCCTGCCAGATGTCTTCCAGCTGCCAATACAGGCTGCCCAACTGCCTCTCGCGGCCACCAGAGCCCGCGCGATAGAACTGGATCTGGGACTTGTAAAAGTCGGCCTGGAAGATTTGCGTTGCGTGGCACCAGGACGAAAAGTTGGCAATCGGGTCGGCCTTGTCGGGCAGCGGGTAGTATTCGGTCACGGCCAGCGTCATCTCGGCCATGCCCTTGCTGGAATTATCGTAGTTTGTAATGTTGAGCCCGCCAGCGGGGTAATGGTGGTTCCGGAGCATTATTGTCGAACTGTTGAAGTAGAGCTCATCCTCAGGCAGAGCTTCTCTCCAAGTCGCAAGGCTCGGCATCGAGTGGAACCCAAACTCATTGGCAAATCGCCCGACAGGGTATGTGCTAATATTGAAAGCCTGACGGTAGTTGTAATTGTAATGATCAGTGTCCCCGTATAAGGACCCCTCTGTCTTGTTGTTGTACCGTTCGATGATTGGGATCGGTCTAGACCAATTGAAGGAAAGGTATCCGTTTTCCGTGCTGCTTGGTATGTATGTTATGCTGCGGCTGTTGCCGTAAACGGCCGGCAGGAGTGTCTCGAGGAAGAGCGTCTCATACTCGTGCAGGTACCTATCGTATTCTTCTGGGGCGCTGGCATTGACGCCTGGAAGCTCCAAGCTCTCCAGCTCGTTGCCGCCCGCCCAAAGCGCCAGTGAGGGATGGTGATTTGTGCGTCGAACCTGATAGACGGCTTCCTGGCGGACATTCTCCAGGAAATCCTCTGTGACGGGGTAGAGCGCGTCGCCGAACTCGAACTCACTCCAAAGCAGGATCCCCATTTCGTCGGCGGCATCGTACATGAAGTCCGGGGAGTAGGCTCCGCTGGCCCAAACGCGCAGCATGTTCTGGTTTCCGGCAACGACGGATCGGAAGAGGGTGCGAATGCGGTCAGGCGTGACCCGCGGCCAAAATGCGTCTGGGGGAATGAAGTTGCTGCCCTTGGCGTAGAACTCGTGGCCATTGATCTCGAAGTGCCCTGGCGACGGGTTAATTGGGGGCAGCCGTGCAGGGCAAATGCTGTGACCTACAATTGTTTCCAGGCGCGATACCCTGCGCAAGTTGTTCATCGGTTATTTCGCCCATGTTGAGGACAATGGTTCTGAACCCAGTTCGTTTGGTGACAGATGCCAGTGTCTTGTTCTGCTTGACAACATCTACAGTGATGTTGTACAGGTTCTGGGCACCCATGCCGGCCGGCCACCACAGCTTGTATTTCTCTGCGTCCAGTGTGGCAGAGCCAGTGATGACGTCGCCAGCATTGGTGATGTTAGTGAGGTGGCCAGTGCTGATGGTACCGCCTGTCGCGTCTTTTACCGTGAACTTCATCTCGGCGCCCTTTGGGAAGCTGTTCAGCGCGTCGATGCTGCAATTGAGCACCCAGTCCGCAACCTGGTCCGGCGGTAAATCGTTTATCTGACCTTCGCGGTAAAGGTCCAATGCAGAGTTTGGCACGTACACCTCATCCGGTGCCAATTGGACGATCCAAGCCTTTTGCCAGATTCCTGCAGGCGCGAATGCCGGTCCCCAATCCCAGCCAAAGTCTGATTGTTCTTTCCTGATGAAGGCGCGATGTGGGAACTCGAACCAGCCCTCTATGCCCCAAGGCCAGGTTTCAGCGCCCGGTTGCGATGCTAGATACTCCGCCATGCTCGGCGCACTCGCGAAGGACACTCCCAGCTCTGGCCTCTCGCTAGCACACGACCTTACTGCGTCGGAAACGTCGAATCGCCACTGCCTGAACTGATTGTCCGTGCTCGCGATGTGCTTGCCGCAAAATGAAATATCTGCAAAGGTATCGAGGCCATTGAACAGGATGTAGGTCAAAAGGTCGTCGCTCGTGTTGGCCCTCTTACTGTGCCGCGCGCTGTCAGGCAGATGTGCATTATTTCCCGGGAGCATCGACACTTACAGGCCTGTGATTTCGGTCGTATAAGTCCAATTCGCCAACGCAACCCAGCGCAAATTGAAGTCATTCAGTCCAAAGTAGCTACCTTTGTAAGATGCCTGGCTTGAAGCGAGCGTTGCTGGTTGCCTATACTTACGGATCGCCAATGACCTGAGCATCGTGTAGATCAAGATGCACATGCGAAGGCACTTGTCCAGGTACCGAAATGTTCAGCGGCAGGTTTTGCAACTGCCAGGCTTGGTCTGAGAGATCCAGCATGTGGCCAGCCGCGGCGCCCTGCCACAGCGCAGTGGCGGCGATCGCGACGACAACAGAGATGCACGACATCATCCTTAGAGCCTCGTCAATGCAAGAAAAGATGAATCGAACCGAACAGGCAAATATTCCTCAATTCTCGTGCAAGAGCATTATGTAGATGCCAAGAAGTGGCGTTCAAATGATCGCCCGCGGTTTTGTAATGCCGGCAGGCCGTGATCGGCAGTCCTTCCCCGCGTCTTATGCGCTGGTAGCACTGGTGATGTGACGTAGCACTTGCAGTTGCCGACGGTCTCTTGTCTCCCGTTTACCCGTTGGATATTTCTTCTTTTCCCGAGTCATATCGGAGTCCATATCACAGCCTTTAGCGCCACAATTTTATCAACGTCGTCTTGCACTGGCCGAAAAACAACAAACATAAAGTGTACCCCTGTGCCACAGGCACCATGTCAGTCTAGTTTAGGAGACCAGTTGACGTGGGCATGAAATGGGCCACCAGAAAGCACGTCATCGTGGATCGTGCTGTTGCTTTGCTGACGCTATGGGAGTGCTTTTCGGTCGGCGAAAGCAGTCGCGTGCAGGCGAAGAGTCGGCGCCTTTGCAAAAGTCGAGGCCCTTCTCGTATCGCATATATCCTAACCAAAACCCATAGCCGTCCTGTGGCTTTTTGTCGTTGTGAACAACGGAAACCGTCCCGGCTGTGTTACCACCACATTGGCCCCAAATGTCCATCATAGCCTGGGCAATAATGTCGGTGGTCACCGCCTCCTTGTTGGTATCATTCCATCGACACGCGAACACGACGCAGGAGCCACTAATGCTGTACATGGATTTGCCGGTAAACTTGAGGCCCGACCCGGATACATGTAGTTGGTCATAAAAGCCGTGCTTTGCGAGTCGAAGGTCCCGTTCATCGAGTTTGTTGTTGCAGCCGCAGTGGTATAAAGGCCAATTGGGGGCAGAGTACCCTGCATGTGACGGTCGAAGGGGAGGACCTGTGTAAGGGTTGTATCCTGTGTAAGGGTTGAATTCTTTGCTAATTCGACGGTCGACCCGGCCGGCAGTGGAGTTGCCACCTGCGGCAGCTGCTGGGGTGGTGGCAGCCTTGCACATGGCGGCGAGCCCGGCGACAACGATGGAGACGTGCATGGCGTCGGGGGTGTTCCGCAAGCCCACGCTGGCCATGGCCATAGCTAGTAGTCGGGCGGTGCAGCCAGGCTTTATATGAGATCCAATATGATTGCGTATCCTCCTCTCCAAAAATGGCAAGATGGCCATTCCCAGACGAGCGGTTGCGTCGCACACTGACACTGCAAATAGACTCAAGGGACTAAAGGGCGACAGGCAATCCGTGTGCATTGCAAAACGCGACATCCCTCCAACAGCAAGGAGTCAAGGACGCAGGTTGGCAGGCTCGAGCTTCCGTGGCACGTGGAGCGCTGGACTGGGGCGTCGGCATGAAACAGCCGCAGGGTGACGGTTTATTGCCGACACTGCTGGGCTCCGGCGCCTGTTCAAGTTACAAAAGAGCCCAAGCAGACCGGCCACCGCATTCCGGGAGCAGCTTTCGACCATGAAACAGTCGTCCATCATGTGGAAGAGACGCTGGCCTCAGCCTTTTCGTCTACACCGCTTACTGCTTCCAAGGAGACAGGCGTTCCCTGGGAGAGCCATCCATGATTGTCGAAGCGCCATCTGAGGCACAGCGCCTCTTAGCACAGTGACTCAGTCATTCGAACCAATATACAGGTGCTCTGGCTTCTCTGTCCCGCCGTGCCGGGAATGATTGCGCATCCTTTTCACATATTTGTCTAGTTTCTCGGTAGGAGGAAGGCGGCATGAGCTTGTCCCCATTCATGACTGGACACTTGGAAGTTGGGTGTTGTGGTTGGGCGGCAGGTTGGTGACGGAGCGCTCGCCCCAGGGGTCAGGCGGGGCACGGCAGTCTCGAAAAGTCAGGTGGCGCACGGCATGGCGCGTGAGCCTCTTCTGATCCCGCTTGCATTGGTGAGTGGTGCTGCCCCTGTGCCTTCGGGCTCCTTAGCCGGGCGCGCGACAGTTGACGATGCCACAACTCCCGCGCCCGAGCTTCCTCTTCGATCAAGCCTCAACGATGGGCACGCTAAGGCCACAGTATGGTACATATCATGGGGCATTGTCAAGTGACTGGGCGCGGGCGGGCTTAGGGTGCATCTACTTCGCAGCTGCGGAGCGCCGCGCAACTTACCTGCCCGGCAGCCTCGCATCTCGGTCCATGTCCATCTCCCAGCGTCATCCGTCGTTGTGTTGGACAGAGAGAGCAGCGGGAAATGCAGCCCATCTCCGCGCCCGAGTGGCGGGCCCCTGCGCTAGCTCGGCCGCGGCACAGGGGCGTACATACATTGCATACTCGAGCCCCTGCGCGGTGCAACTTATCGTGATCGGCAAGCGGCTCATCGACTCTGGATGAACACCATCTCGCCCACGAAATCACCACCGAGTGATCAGGCCGCAGCACGACCGACGCGATGCAACACGGCAAACGGCTAGGCAGATGACTTGCTTCATTAGATGTTGGCCGGCTTTAATAGGCTCATGATGGGGGAGGCGGGCGGCCGCATACCACCGGGGCGATAAAATGCGAGCGACTCTCCCTCGCTGCCCTGTGGCATGTGCAAAGGTGAAGCGGCGTCTGGCATTCCCGGCCTCCCTTGGCACGTAACCCGCTCCTTTTTGCCTCGCGTTTCTATCACTTCTTCTGCTCCTGCAGTCAAGGATCTCCGTCTTCTCGTGCAATGACGCTGCTTTGCAGAGCCAAGGCCATGGGCTGGCTCCCAGCGCTTCTTGTCGCGACTCTCGCACACGCCCAGGGCCAGACTCCAAGCGCGCCTGCTGCCTTCGACCCTCTGCAGTACGTCGACCAGCTCATCGGCGCAAGCAATGGCGGCAACGTCTTCCCAGGCGCGACCGTGCCGTACGGCGTGGCCAAGGCGGTCGCCGACACGGACAGCGGCAGCAACCAGGGTGGCTTCACGCTCGACGGCGCTGCCGTCACCGGTTTCAGCGCCTTGCACGACTCGGGAACCGGCGGCGAGCCGTCTCTGGGAAACTTCCCGCTCTTTGGCTACAATGCTTGCGCGGACGACGACGTCAATCGGTGCGCGTTCCCGAAGCGCACGAGGGCCAGGTTCGGCCACTTCGGGAATGACACGGTCAAGGCGAAACCCGGATACTTTGCGATAGCACTCAACAACGGACCGCGTGTCGAGATGACGGCCACTCATCACACTGCTCTGTTCCGCTTTAACTTTTCCAAAAGCGACCAGGGGCAGAAGCCACTCATCTTGCAAGACTTGACCGACCTATCCAACTCTCGTCAGGACAATGCTACTGTTCACGTCGACGAAACCTCCGGTCGCATTACAGGCGACGGCGTGTTCGCCCCCAGCTTTGGTCAAGGCCGCTATACAGCGTACTTTTGTACGGACTTCCACGGGGCGGCGATCGCTGACAGCGGCATCTTTGTCGACAGCCGCGCGAGCACCGAGGTGAAGGACCTCAAGATTTCCAAGGGCATCAACGGCTACCCCCTGCCTGGCGGTGCCTTTGTGCGCTTCGCCAATGCAGACAACCCCGTCCTTGTTCGGGTGGGCCTCAGCTTCATCAGTAAGGAGCAGGCATGCTCCAACGCTGAAAAGGAGGTTCCCGACTTCGACTTTGACAAGCATACGAAAGACGCGACCGACGCGTGGCGGGAGAAGCTGTCGCCGATTGTCGTCGACACCAAGGGCGTCAATGCCTCCTTCATCACCAACTTTTACTCTGGCTTCTACCGTACCATGGTCAACCCACAGAACTACACCGGGGAGAATCCTCTTTGGGGCGGCAGTGAGCCGTACTTTGACTCGTTCTACTGCATCTGGGACTTGTTCCGTTCTCAGTTCCCTTTCCTTACCCTTGTCGACCCTGACGCGGTCGAGCAAATGGTCCGCTCCCTCATCTCGACGTACGAGCACGACGGCTGGTTGCCCGACTGTCGAATGAGCCTCAACAGAGGATACACACAAGGTGGATCCAATGCGGACAACGTGCTTGCCGACGTTTTCCTAAAGGGCATCAAGGGAGGGATTGATTGGAACAAGGGGTACGAGGCGGTCAAGAAGGACGCCGAAGTCGAACCATATGACTGGTGCTGCCACGGCCGCGGTGGAATTGACTCCTGGAAAAAACTCGGATACATCCCTGTACAGGATTTCGACTTCCGTGGTGAGTACCCATTCCTCTGCCTCTATGCATGCAATTCTGACGTTTCCGTGTCCTGCAGGCTTCGGAACCATGACGCGCAGCATCAGCCGGACCTTGGAGTATGCGTATAACGACTTTTGCATTTCGCAGCTTGCCGGCGGCCTCGGCAAGAGAGGCGAACAGGAAAAGTACATTGCTTCCAGCGGCAATTGGAAGAACCTGTACCGAGAGGACCAGACCTCAGCCTACCCCAACGGCACTGACACGGGGTTCACCGGCTTCTTCCAGCCCAGGTACCTGAACCAGACATGGGGCTACCAGAATCCGCTCAACTGCAGCAACATTGACGACAAGAGCGTCTGCTCGCTTCAGAACAATGGCCCGGAGACTTTTGAGAGTAGCATTTGGGAGTACGGCTTGTGAGTATTATCCACGTTGCATAAAGGTGAAGTCGAAGAAGGCTAATGATGCATTCGCTGCAGCTTCGTGCCACACGCCCAAGCGGAGCTTATCGACCTGTACGGTGGATCCGACGGCTTCGTGCGCCGGTTGGACTACCTTCACGACCATGGCATCACCTACATCGGCAATGAGCCGGCCTTCCTCACCGTCTTCCAGTACCACTACGCTGGGCGCCCTGCGCTCTCGGCACTGCGGAGCCACTTCTACATTCCCAAGTTCTTCGAACCAACGCCCCCCGGGCTGCCTGGCAACGATGACAGCGGTGCCATGGGGTCGTTCCTCGCCTTCAGCATGATGGGCCTATTCCCCAACCCTGGCCAGAACGTGTACCTGATCATACCGCCGTACTTTGAGAGCGTCAACATCACGCATCCCACTACGGGGAAAACAGCCAGGATCCGCAACGTCAACTTTGACCCGACATACAAGAACGTCTACATCCAGAAGGCGACTTTGAACGGCAAGCGCTACGACAAGAATTGGGTCGACCACTCCTTCTTCACGGAGGGCAAGGAGCTCGTGCTCACTCTTGGAAGCAAGGAGAGCAAATGGGGAACAACCGTCCGGGACAGACCGCCCACTCTGGGACGGTACTCCGAGACCAATGGCGCACGATCAGCCAGAGACGTGGAAACTGGCGTCGCTGGCGGTTCTTTGGCCTACCGGAGCTACTTTGGCCCTGGAGGAAGCAGTAGCTAGCCGGTGAGCACTCTGGCTCCGCCTGTGCAATATTGTTGGCCTTACCATACCTTCTACCCGTTGCCACGTGCTGTCAGGTGTTTCGCGAATGTGTGGTTTATTTAGTCCTTGCTTGCCTGAACTGTGCCATAGCCTGACAGTACCATCCTGCCAACTTCTTCCGTACGTAGGTCAGCCTGCAGCCGCTCCGACAACAGCGCGGCAACCGGCCTCCCTCTCCGCGATCGGTTGCTCACGCGACACCTTGCTGGTCCTGGGTGGCTGGGATAGGAAGCGAGGGAAACGGGGCGGTGGAACTAATACCCCAGATTGGCAGGGCTTGGCAATGGACATTTCGGCCCGCTGAGCATCTCGGGTGTCGGTGTCCCAGTGGAGGTGATTGCGGATCACAGCTGACTAGTTCATCCTGTAATCTGTGGATTCATCACGATGGGCTCGCTTAGTGACATGGGCACCCACTCCACTAACTGTTCAAGCGATGGAAGTGATAAACAGGTCAGTGTTCCAAACTGACGATGATGTCCTACTCCGTGCGGACCGCGCCCGTCTCGAGTATTTCCATCATTCAGACGGCAGGCGTCCACGGGCAGTCAGACCGCCGCCATGGGCCAGTGCGCTGGTGCGGTTCGCTCAGTTATTACGAAGTACGGGAGCAGTTGGCCACCGTACAAACAAGGGCCACGCCAACGCGCATCTGTGTTATCGAGCCAATTGCAATGTGAACCGCCTGCCGCGCCAAATTGTTCCCCTCCTGTAGCCGCGCCAATTTGGCCCATCGACCCCTCTCCCCCCAGCATTCGGCTCAATCGCCGAGCCCAGGTTACTCGGGGCCAACGCCGATGAACCGTTGGAGACATTCTGGACACCATGGTGACAGGGGTTCATTGTGAGCATTCCACATTATATAAACCCGCGTGTCCACGCTCCCGGGACGCGGGAACGATCTCACCCCGACTTCTCCACAAACAATTGTCCCGGCCCAGACTCTGTCCTCCGCCATGGCACCCCTCGCGCTCGTTTCGCTGCTGTCGTTGGCGCTCGCTGGGCCCGCTGCTGCGGCGGCGGCGGCCAAGAAGTGTACTGCCGGCCCGGCGCTGAAACATTGGCCTCCCGCCGCTGCCAAGGCTCTGAATGCCATGATCGCAGCCAATGCGCACTCCGGACGTTATGCCGTGTTTGACATGGACAATACGAGCTACCAGTACGATATCGAGGAGTCGATGATCCCGTTCTTGGAGAACAAGGGGGTCATCTCGCGCGACACGATCGATCCGTCTCTCAAGATCATTCCGTTCAAAGACACACCCACATACAAAGAGAGCCTATACAGCTACTACAACCGGCTATGCGACATTGATGACATCCTGTGTTATCCTTTCTCGGCCGAAGTGTTCAGCAACATCCCGCTCCGCCAACTCAAAGTCTACATCGACGAGCTCCTGGCTCTCAACTCATCAATCCCGACAACGGAATACGTGGACGGCGTGCCGACAAACACGACTGTAAACCCGCCTCGAATCTTCCGGGGCCAGGTCGAGCTATACAATAAGCTCCAAAACAATGGGATTGAGGTCTACATCATGAGCGCGTCGGCTGAGGAGCTCGTGCGACTGATGGTCACGGACCCCAAGTACGGTTACAACATGAAGCCGGAAAACGTCATTGGCGTTTCGCTACTGTTGAAGAACCAAACCTCGGGTGCCATAACATCCGTACGGTCGCAAATTGCCGACGGCACCTACGACATGTCAGCGACCATGGATCTTGTCATGACTCCTACGCTTTGGACGCCGAACACGTGGCAAACTGGAAAGTGGGCTGCCGTGCTGTCTTATATTAGCAACTGGAGAAAGCCGATCCTCGTCGGCGGAGACACACCTGCCAGTGACGGGCCTATGCTGTTCCATGGAGTCGACGTCGCGCGAGGCGGCATACATCTCTGGATCAACCGGAAGGAGAAGTCCATGAACCAATTGAACGGCATGATCAAGCAGTATGCCCAAGAGCAAAAGGACGAGGGTTTGCCCGTGACGGCTGACAAGAACTGGGTCATTGTCAAGCCGGAGGATATTCTGTAATTCTTTTTACTCGAACTCAGGCGATGCGCGGCCCAGGGCGCTTCTGTTTCACGAGTCGCCTCCCAAGATCATATCAGGAGGACGCACGCTTTCGACAGCGGCTATGCGCATGGGCATGTAACCGCTGCGGATGCGCAGTATATTGACTAATTACACGTATTTAAGAAATGTTCAATGACTGAAGATATGTACAAGCGGAATATATTCTGCCCTTCCTGTTTGTGTTTTGTCCCTAGCCAAACTCTCCGCGTCGCGGTTTGGATCAATTCATGTTTGCTTCCGCTCTGTTTGCGACCCGGACCAAGCAGCAATTCGCGTATTATTGGTGCATCGATGGATTGTAGGTGCGCGATGGTTGTTTACTCGGCGTCGGAGGAACGACCTCCGAGGACGGGAACAATCTTCTCGACGGAGTCGAGCGTTTCTCCGAGACCTTGGAGAAGGCCGGAGTGGCCGCCAAGAAGAGGGACATCACGGCCTTTGACGGGGGTACCCTCGGTCTCCTCTTGGACTACGTCGACGATTTCATCGACAACGGGCACGTCTCGCTTGCCGAGACCGCCAGTGAGACCACTCAGAACCTCGGGAAGATCGGTCAAGGTCTTGGTGAGCGATGAGTCCCCTTCGGGAAGACCAGGAACGATGGCTGGTGCGGCAGCAGCGCCAGCCACTAGGGCAGCCAAGAGCGTGGCAGTGAAGTACTTCATCGTGGATGTGTGGTGAGGTTTGTGCAGGACTTGGTGTAAGTTTGTGTGAATGCGGCTTGTTGCAAGGAAGGTGACAACGCGATTTATTCGAAGGACGACACCGAGAATGTTCAGAGCAAAAAGAACAATGAGCAATTGTGCAGCACGCGATGGACTTCAGAAACTGGCGGAGAGTTCTTATAATTGCCGTTGTGATTGCCTAAGGTCGTCCTGGCAGTGGTGTTTGCCTCCCGCGTCCTTTCAGCTGAGGGCGCAACTGCGCGACGACATTGTAGCGTGTATGATGCCATGCGCCATGGCCGCTGATCTCAATTAATGGGCAACAGCGACGGCACTTACTGGCGCTATAGGCTGCATCTTGCCTCTATAAATACTGCCGAGTCCTGGTACGATCAAATGCCGAGGGTGACATTGAGGTCGTTGCGTTGCCAGTGAATGTCTCACCTTGGCCGGTGTCGTGATTTTGGCGGCGTTTTGACAATGCGCGACCATCACAATGGGACAAGGAGCGCGATGCCATCCTCATTTGTTTCATGGCCCAACTCAACAACTGATGACCTAATAAATGGATGAGCCTCGTCACACTCAGTGTTGAACGACATACGTAGCATGTTGAGCGGCTGACGTGCTTGTGCGATCCGCACAACAAGGCACTGGGGAGATGCACCACCCCGACCACACCAATTGGCAGTCATATCCTGACCGCATCACTTCACCCGGCCAGTCAAGCAGCCAAGCTTCATGTTGCCTAGCTCTGCCCGTTTATGACTTAATCAGCAAGACCGGCGCTGCCCGGCTCTGCCAATGGGGAGGGTAAAGGTAAAAACGTCGTTTTCATTGTTGTAATATAAAACATGAAGAGCAGAACTTTATCCTATCCTGTCAAGGCAGTTCCGAAGCAAAAGCATCGAATCCGACAAGTTTACCGACGAACGGCGGCCTCAGCCCAGCTCGACACCTCATGCACAAAGAGTCAGAGTGACATCAGCTCCGGAACCGCAGTTCTTCACCTGGCTGCCAGCCGGGGGCACACCGTCCTCCCAAACGATCGAGGGGCAGGCCGGGTCGGCAGACGCCACCTTGAGCTTGTGGCCCTTGAAAGCGTCTCCAAATACATCGCTCAAGTCGTACCAGACCGTGTTGCCATCCAGGTTGTAGGCGTAGATGGTCTGCGGCTTGCCAGTCCACAGGCCATCGGGATCGATCGTCACCTTAATTGCCCGGCCGCCGGTCTTGGGGTCACGGCTGAAAGGCTCGCCGTAGGACTTGCCAGTGCTCAGGGTGTGAGGATCCGAGATGTCGCTGCCGACCGACCAAGCAGTCACGGCAAAGGGGCAGTTGTTCTTGACACGCGCGTTGCCCACGGCAGAGGTGAGCTGGGCCAGAGCGGCACCAACGGCAAGGAGGCTGAGCTTGTTCAACATTTTGAAGCTGTTGTTCTTGCTTTGGTCGAGGTATGAATGCTTCAAGGGTAGAGACAAAGGTGCTGCTGCCTTCTACTTCAGATGGAGTCGAGATGAGACGACATCGAGAACCCTTTTTATACTGCGCAGGCTCTCTCGTCGTCTCGAGCCAGCTCATTGTCGCCGCTGTGCTGGCCGGCTCAGTGTTGGGCCGACTCATTGTCGAATCGCGAATGAGACGACGAGCGCGAGCATGCTTACTCGAGCCGTGAAGCCTTGCGGGGAGAGCCTCATTCGGGGATTCGGACAAGATCGACGGGCCAAGCACAACGCGCACAAAATACGAGAAGTGTAAACGCAGCAAAATGACGGTGACGGGAAAGAATGAAGTCAGGTGCCGAGCATAATACGAGCTTACGGCACGTCGTGGCCATTCAGCGTGCAGCCCCCAGGGCAGGGATTACTTCATCACGGCTCAGCCCGATCGGCCGTTCTGCACGAGCGCCGCAATATTGGCTCTGCCGCGTCCAGAAACGTCCGGGGAAAGCCTAACCTGTCCTGTCAGCCACCCGTGGAACCATGGACGGCAGGACGCGCCGCCGCGCATACGTGGATAGCTTGTTAACATGCATGACTACGAATTGCTCGTTCGGGGCGGCTCTGTCGGCAAGATCTGTGCGGTTTCGTGCGAGCTGAACGCCTGAATGCTCACCACGCCATTCACGGCATGCAGCCGGGACTTCTGCTGTCAAGGCAGTTTCGCTTTTGTGTGCAAAATGCGGAGACTCTCATCTGGGTTCCCTCCTTAGATACCGCGCGGCGTTCAGAAACGGGTTGTAATCCTCGATGCGACTGGCACACAGAAGCTCATGGCCGCGGTGCTGTGCCAGTTCATGTCAGGTTCCGCTACGTATACACGTACAGTCTGGTGGCGGGGAACTTTGCCGCTTGGAGGGCATATCCATTCCAATGCCATGTTTGGCTGTGGGCTTCCACTGTGCGTCGGCCTCGGTTGACCCGGTACCCTGCCTACTAAAATAGAACGAAGTGCGTCATCAGAATACTGGCCCATGCCGTCAACGAGACTAGACAAAAATGCGTCCGCGTGAGTATACGATTAAAGTTATTTCAACAAGTGCACGTATTCTGACATGGAGGCGATGCTGACTCCTATCCGAGAAGAATGTCAGGCCACCTGCCGCAGCAGTGCCCTCAATGTGAAGTTGTCGATCACCCAGAGTCACATCAACGTGAGTGGACAGGGTCCTGGCAGTGGGTCCTGTTACCGGGAGCTTGGTGAATGGAGTGATTGGAGTCTCATTCCTCTTCACAAGCATGTCGTGTAGTGCGCAGGCACTGGATAGGCCGGTCGTTGCATACTCATGACCGAGAATCTCTCCGAGCCCCGCGGCAATACCACCAGGACATGCTTCGTATGTTGGACATAGCTGGCGGGTTTTGATGTCGTGAAACCGGCCCAGAAGTCAGGGCATTGGCACTGGTTCGTCCGAACATCAGGCTGCCTCTCATAGTAATGCCCGACCCTGCGCAATTCTGCCTGATAGCCCTCAACGCCCTGGGCACGGTTGCTGGGCATTTCCAAGGTGCTGAGAGTAGTCTTCCATCAACATTTGGGTATAAAATATCATTCTTACGTGCGCAATTGAAGCGCGAACACTACTCTATTATTGCTACAGGAGCGTTGCAATGCATGGCCAACGGCAAAGTGGCGTGGTGTCTGACCTGTTCGCGTTGATCTAAGCCGAATGACATGGAGCTGCGTCCGTCTTCGGACCACAGTGTGAGAGCATCGATAACTTGCGAGATTGGCAGTATTAACTGTCTTGCATGCACTGGCGACCGGCTTGCCTGCCTTTCGCATTACTCTCCGAGCCAACCCCCACGTGGAGCCATAAAAAATGGCGGGAACACATTTCCACGCCATTCAAGCAGATGCCGCAACGGCTGCAGGCTGCTGCACAATCGGCTGTGCCGGCTTTCCCGAAGATGCAGACCGAATGGAGGGCTCCAGTGGGAACACCTGCTTCTCTGCCGTCACGCCCTCATACACACGATCCCATCTACTCTTGAGAGCCTCGGGTATCTTCCAAGCAAGCTCATCGTCGCGGAGCCACAGCCTAACGAGATGGCGTCTAGCGAGTAAATGGTTAGATGGCAGAAAAGATTCACAACGGTGGTGTCCTATCGGAGATGCTCACTGCTTCTGGGCGGAATCTCGGAAAGAGCCCCGCGCGTGGAAGATGCTGAGATTGTTGGCGAATTGGATATCGCCCGGGCGGAACTCGAGCGCAACTGCATGCTTCTCGGCAGTATAATGCAGTGCATCCAGCGCCTCTGCCTGAGCCTCCGTTATTGCGGGGATGTTTGCGCTTCGGGGCAGGCCCCAGTACCCGACAAACGCCCGCCGGGCATACTGAATGAGCAGTCGCTCCGGGTCACTGCCGGTGGCAGGTTGGTGGTACAGCAGCGGCCGCCGCGTGAAACCTGGAGGCCCGGTCTTGCCGAATCTGTTGGAGCCAGTCAGTCATGACCGCTGAAGAACTTTTGGGCGTCGCACAAAGAACTTACTCGTCAACATCCCACGGCTCGGCCAGGGTCCTGATCAGGTCGGGACGCGTTGCGGCCAGCTCGTTGTAGACCGTCCAGCTGCTCGACAGGTAGCTCTCGCCGCCTTCTTCTGCGGCGCTCAATGCAAAAAGAGCAATGATGTCTCCGCTGTCGGTGTGGAAAACTTGCTTCTCTGTCGTGTACGCGGGTGAGCCGATGCTCTGCGCGTCGAACTCTCGCGACAAGTCCTTGATGTGCGCGAGCACCACGTCGGCGGGTTTGCCATTAAACTGGTGGTCCTGTCGCCCGCGCGTGGAAGCGACATGCGCTGCCAGGCCAGCGTAAATGATGATGTTTTCCTCGCGCGAGTATTTGTGAATTGGCACCCCACGGACGACCTTGAAGCCGTACCCATCATGAACGTCTTTGGACACGCCCCGCAGAGTTGCATGCAGGTCTTGCAGGGGGAAGGTTTGCTGGCTCAACTCGCCGAGGGGCTTTCCCAGTGCTGATGCCGGTCAGAACGACACCGGAAATATTTGAAGAATAACTCGAATACTTGCATTTGAAGTGCGCCACTGCTCCATCGATTTCAACAAGATCCGCCTCCGTCAGATGGTAGGCATAGTCGTAATGCTCGGCGACAGTGGCGCCGTCCCAGGCCAGGGTCGAATCGAGTCTCGCCGGGAAGGCATCAGGTAAGGTTTGCGCCAGATCTTCGCTAGCGCGACGCCTCTCGACCCGTGCCTGGTACTTCTCCCAATCTGGCGTGTATGCAATATCTGGCTGGCCGGGCGGCCCAGTTGAGTTCACAGCCACCTTCGCCATGTTTTACAATGATGCGTTGGAGCGCAAGCAATTCCAATTGTTAAATGAGATAACCGCGGTATGCTCGTCTTAGTGCGGGGTAGCGACATGGCCAAGGGTGCTTTTCCAAGGGGCTGCTCCTTGATATACCACGTGGGATCGATCGCGAGATCTGCGTTCGAAATGGCGCAACTGCTGTCTCCCCCAGCACTAGCGGCCACTGGGAGGTCTGTTATCACAGGCTTGGAGAACATGAACCAATGACTGAGGCCGTATAAAGACTCCATGTAGATCTGCCGCATGAGCCAAACCGAGAGGGGAGCTGCCCAAGGCAAATCTTGGTGGAGAGGTGTTCGTCTGAGGCAAGCAGACATGCCATGCATCATCGATGCCAACGGGGAACCTGACCGCATGTGGCCATAGGAGCGGGGACGACCCTGACTTTTCAAGTTGCGACATTGCATGCATCTATGAGAGAAGACCTTGGCGTTACGTGTGGGCGTAGCAGCAAGCCCAAACACGGTAATTGAGTACGGTTCATAAGGACTACGGTGGCGCCTGAACAATGATAAAAGTTTAATTTGATGCTGGGCTTTCTCGCAGTCATCTGTTTCTCGTTCAACCCGACAACAAAACGTGGCATTGACCTGCACTCGCAGCGATGAGCCCCTGGTTGTCGTCGTTTCGGCGCAAGTCGAGCCCCGAGCCGGCCGCAGTTGAGCTGGGCGGGGAGTACCAATACGACTCGGACCCTCAACCGGATATCGTCCACGATGGCAGTCTTGCCTTCACCAGAGTCAAGGGCGGCAATGGATCTGGAGCGACTTACCAGGAGGCGGTCGGCGCTCCGGTTGAGTCCACGTCCCCTCTGGGCTACCACGTCGGATCCCTTACCATCATCTTTCTCAACGTGAATCAGATGATTGGTACAGGAATCTTTTCGGTACCCGGCAGCATCCTCAAGGCAACGGGATCGGTCGGTCTGTCGCTGATCTACTGGTCCATCGGTGCGGTCATGGCCTTTGCTGGGTTCGGCGTCTACCTCGAGTATGCCAGCTACTTTCCCAACCGAAGCGGTTCTGAGGTCGTGTACCTTGAGCAAGCATACCCACGGCCACGATTCTTTCTACCAATCGCTTTCGCTGTCCAGTCCGTCGTTCTGTCGTTCAGTAGTAGCAACGCCGTCGTGCTCTCGAGATATTTGTGGCGCATTGCTGGACAGACCCCGACGGATTGGCAGATGAAGGGTGTGGCTATCGCTGCGTATACTCTAGCGGTCATCTGTTCGTATCTCCTCCCAGCCTCCCCCGACCTCTCACTGACAATTGAACCTGCAGGTGTCATCGCCCACAACAAGTATTCGCTTTGGGCTGTGAATGTCCTCGGCGCCCTGAAGATACTCACTCTCATCTTCATCAGCATCACTGGATTCGTCGTGCTGGGTGGCCATGTCTCCCGAGTGTCACATCCGGGGCACAACTTCCAGAACTCATTCCAGGGCACGACTAACAGCGGCAACGACCTGGCCACAGCTCTAGTCAGCATTGTCTTCTCCTACACCGGTTACTCGAACGCGTTCAACGTCGTCAACGAGATTAAGAATCCGATTCCTACAATCAAGAGGCACGGTCTGCTCTCCATTCTGGTGGTTGCCGTTTTATACGTGCTTTGCAACATTGCATACTTCGCCGCTGTTGACAAAGCCGAGTTCAGTGCTTCCAAGGAGATCGCAGCGTCTATCTTCTTCAGGACCGTTTTTGGCAAGGGAGGCGCTGAGACGGCTCTCAATGTGCTGGTGTTGCTGAGCGCGTACGGCAACCTTCTCGCCGTGTTAGTGGGCCAATCCCGCCTGATTCGCGAGATCGGCCGCCAAGGGGTCCTACCCTTTACGCCATTTTGGGTCTCAACAAAGCCATTTGGAACTCCACTGGGGCCGTACGTCCTCAAATGGGCCATGACCTTTGTCATGATTGCTGCTCCGCCAGCCGGGGACGCGTTCACTTTCGTCGTCAGCCTCAAAACTTACCCCGAGGCCATGTTCCACTTCGCTTTGGCCATCGGCCTGTGGCTGGTGCGTCGACGTCGCAGCCGCAACAAGTTCCCGCCGTCTCAATTCCGCGTGTGGGATGGGTTCTTGATATTTTTCAACCTGATCCAAGTTTACATCTTGGTCATGCCGTGGTGGCCACCAAAGGGCGGGATCTACGCTGGGGATGTCTCTTTCTTTTACGCCACTTACTGCATCACGGGAATTGGAGTGTAAGTGCCAGATGCCTTCAAACGCATTGACGAACATACCAGAACGTCCACTAACTTCTTAGGATGATACTTTGCGGTATCTACTACGTCTTATGGATGTATCTCATCCCGAGATGGCGGAAGTATAAGATCCGAACGGAAATCTTGGAGATCGACCATGACGGTGCCAACACGCATCGTCTTGTCAAAGTCCCGCTCAACGAGCTTGACCAGTGGGATGCGGAACACGATGAATCGGGGTTGCCGCGTCAGGCACGATACTAACAAACACAGGGTATGTAAGGTTACAGTCGTTAAGGCATCATATTCATCTCTCTTCCGCGAACTACATTTAATCTGCCATCACAAAGTTCCCAAGATATGTACCGCCGTCTACCAAGAGCTTGGGCCCAGAGGTTCCGTCACATTCTCGATAAACTGCCTCGTGACCGCAGTCCCGTTGTAGTCGAGCGTGTTCTGCCAGACGAGGGTTCCCCACCAGTCAGGGAAGTTTGTCTCGCTAAGTCCAAGTCCAAGGCCTGAAATGACAGTGCACAGAGCGGTGCCAATGTCGAGCGCGCCGGACATGGCATAGTTGTATCGGCCTATCTAGATGTCAGTTTAATGTTCTACCAAGGGGTGTAGATTCATTGCACGTACTCCACCAGCCGAAGAACTTGCGGCGGATCAGACCGTTAAAGATGAGGCCGATGATGACCCACTGCAACAGGAAGTAGAGGGTAGCGGGAGGAATCTGTCCAGCAGCACCAAAGATGGCCGGGGTGATGATGTAACGAGTCCAGCTGCGGGGATAGCGCCGGGCGACAAAGAACTGGATCACAGGAATAGCGAAACCGATGAACCAGAACCAGTTCGTCCAAGAGTAACTGCATACACGTTAGCACTTTGCACATCTTGCTGCCTCAGTTGACGAGAATACTCACATCGCGCCCGCACCGAAGACTCGCTTCGGTCCAATGGCACCCCAAATGACACTGGCATTGTAGAATGTTCGCGCGTTGGGGCAGGTCAATCCTTGGGTCTGGTGAGGCGTGCAGATCTCCTTGATGTTTCCTCGGAGGAAGTTATAGGTAGCGACTTGCACGAAAGACAGCCAAATCACAGCGAATGCCTGAGCAGCAAACATGCTGCGAGGTGGGATCTTCATGTAGTGACCAACCTTCATGTCGGAAATGTACGTCAAGCCGTTGTAGGAAAGCATGTATCCCCAGGACTTGAATAGCATCATGGCGACGGGTCGGCCTGGGATCATGTAGCCGACGACCATTTCGGTGATGACGTTCAGACCGGTCTGCTGGTTGGTAATAGCCTGGACCATGCCAATAGGAACGAACAGGACAACGCCGATAAGGATGCAGATGATGTATGCCCACCAGGGCAGGTGCGTCTTCCAGACCTGGCATGCAATCATACCGAAGGCGAAGCTAACGACGAAGATGGTAGCGAACCACCACTCAGGTGCCTCCTTGTAGCGGCGCATGAGCTTGAGATGCACGTCAGGCTCCTCGTACTTCGAATCCCAGGCGCGGTGCCAGACGTCAGCTCCGTAGAAGAGAGCAACATGAGTGATGGTGGAAATCAGCGTTGCGAACGACAATCCGTACGACAGCGAGAAGGTCGGTCCCAAAAGAATAGGTGAATACTCCTTATAGGCGGTCTCGTTGACGGTGAAGTCGGCGTTCAAAATGCGAGACGTGTTGTACGGCTGTGCGAAACGATCGAAGTTGGAGTTGGCGCTCATGGGCAGGTACCTATAGTACTCGGGTCCGCCATAGGCAAGGCCGATCGCACCGAGTGTTGAGAGCAAAAGACCGACAGCAACGTTGCCGATAGCGAAAGCAGGCGTCTGCAGCGGGCTGCTCAAGAAGGCTGTGACACTGGACCAATCGAAAGAGATTGGGATCAGGCCCAGACCGGTATTGCCGCCAAAGAGCTGGTTGACAACAACGTTCTCGGGCGCAATCCACGTAGCCCACATGAAGTAGCTGAGGAAAGGGGCAATAACCAAGGGGAACCACTCCCACGCAAAGGTCAGCAAAGCGACGAGCAGGAAGAAGCTATATCGGCCAATCTTCCAGCCGTTCGTCTGCGAGGGGTCGGACGCCCTGTGATCGTGGAGAGAGTACATGACGGTACACGTAATAAGGGTCGCAGGCCACACCATCGAGGACGGCCAGATGAGGAATCGGCGTGCGACTCCAGCAACGCCAAAGCCCATGGCCTGGGTCGAGAGCATGAGCAGGATCTGGAATCCCCATCTAAGTCACAGAGTCAGCGTGGTCCCTAGGGGTGACGTCTAGAGGAAGACGAACTTGAAGTACTGCTTATAGAAGATCTCCTGTGCAAGAAGAATGTCGATCGAGTAGCTGATACTGCTGCCTGCGGCAGTCATCATCGTGATGATGGTGTGCTCCTTGACATTGAAGGGACCGGGGTTCAGCTCGATCGTGTGGCCGAAGAGCCTGAACGAGGCTTCGGGCATGTACTTGGCCCATCCGAGACCCAATCTTGAGCCACGTTAGCGACACAGATGCCATAATGAGATCACCATGAAAGGGGGCGTACGGGTAGGCAATCAACTGGACGACGGTGGAGTTGATCGAAATGGGAGTACGACGAAGGTTGAGCAGGATGTTACACGCTGCCACAATAGTGCAAAGAATGCTGCCGATGACCCAGGCGCGGACCGTGTTGACGGGCATCTCCTTGTCGGTGGGAGGGACCTAGTTCGTCCAGTCAGATACTGCTTTGTCCAGAAATAGCCCTGGCAGCCAACTTACCGATGCCCGAACTTCCGGGTACGGCGAGTCCTCCTGGATCAAGGACTCGTCAATGGCGGCCTCCTTCTCGGCATTGCCAGACGCGAGAGCATCGTCAATGTTGTCGAGCTTGTCAATGTCGAGGAAAGGATCCCACTTGTGCTGCTTGCGAAAGCGGCGCAGCTCGCGGTCGGGGTCATGGTTGGCAGAAACGCTGGGGAGAATCTCAGCTCCCGTGGTGGTCGTAGCACCAGCGTCAGGGTCGGTCGTCTCGCGCGAGCGGACGCCGAGTCTGTCCTTGAGGCCCATGGCGGCGGTGGGTAGATGTCTCACAGCACCACAGCTGGAGGGTGCTGATCGCAGTGTGGTCCGTACCGGGATCGATCTGACAATGTGCGCTACAGAGACATGGGAGAAGGGAAAGAGCCATGCACAGACAGGTGCGGGAACGAGCGTTTATGAGATCGAGCGCTCTGGCAAGGGCCGCCCGCGCGATGATACGACTCTGCAAGCACCGCTCTCGTCCGTGACCTCGCACAGCACAGGCGATCGACGAGCCCGGACGGGGGTGTGTGCGACACCACGGGGACGGGGGTGGGAGCTGAGAGGCGAGACAGAGTGCCCAGACGGGGCAGCCGGCGGGCGGCCCCTTGGGCCTTGGGCGCCATCCGGGGGGCGAACCTTGAGCTTGCCCGCGGGCGCGCGCCCTGTTCCTGTCCACGTCCATGTGAAGCCGTCACGTCAGGTCCGTGCCATTCGCGATGCAATGGTCGCCTTCCCGTTTGCTCGTGGGAACCTTTGCCCCCGTTCGATGCTATGCCCGTCCGGGCGTGGTCAGATGTGGATTGTCCAAAAGGCCCTGGCCTCGCACCCGCACCCCTTTCCAAGGTGCGGAGCCGCGGCCGGGGGATTGCCACCCAAGACGTGGATCGTCACCGAAAGCGGAACTGCAACCACGCGCCTCCCCCCCAATGGCGCCCCTAGCACCGGAGGCGAGGGCCTCCGGCTGTGGCCACTAGAAGGGGCAGGATACACTACCGAGTCCCCTCTCCGACCACGGTTTGATAAGCCGACTTGTCTCGTTGGACAAGCAGGCGCATGAACTTTTGTTCCCGCGCGTGCGGCGGGCGCGACTCGCGATAGCGCTGGGAGCTCGCATGAGACAGACATGGAGCGACTGGCGACTTCCTCGTACTAACGTTAGCAACTGCTGCTACTGTACGGGTTGCTAGCAGGTGCGTCTGTCACCAGCGCATATCCGCAGGCTGGGGGTGGTTGCTTGGCAGCTGTCGCGTGTACAAAGTTCCCTTGCTTCGTCCCCAGCAAAAGAGTTTCGCCGACGCCTTGGGCTGTCTCCTGCTAGATACAGCGTGCGCCGAATTCCTCGCTCCGTCGTATCAATAGATCCGAGCAGCCGGGTTTGCCAATTGCCTGCCGCATGGCGGTCTCTTGGTATCTTGTCCTTCTCATTCGGGAAATGGCATCAAGGTGTGCAGAACGCCGTTGCCAAGACATCCCTTCTTCAAACGGGGCAATCTTCGTTCGCTGTCAATGGCGTGATGGTGGTGATGTCGGCAGAACAAGATAAACCAGCTTCGACATGGGAGAGCCAACAACTCCAGGGTAGGAGCGAGACGCCGCCGAAAACATCACAATTGACGCGTCAACAACTCTCCCCTGTAAAAATTCTTCGCCGTTTTGAGCTGTTAGCAACTTGATTGTGCGGGGTAATTTTTGCAGGCCACCCGCCACGCTTTCGCCTCTGGGGTCCTACCGGGACCCTAACTCCTCGGAGGGAGGCACGATTGAAGACCTTAGGAGAGTTCATCTTCAATCGCACGAAGGCGTGGTCCTGCTTGACCGCACGTACCTTCAGAACCAAGGCGCGTGCGGTTCCCAGCAGCTAGCTGCGGTCGGTTTTTCTCCTTGAAGGCAAGCCGCTCGCGGCCTCTGTTCCCTTCCAAAGGTTTTTCCCTCCCGCTACGCCTGGGCCGTTTCTGCCACCTGGTTCCTGGGGTGCAGACCGCGGCAGCGGTGTCGGCCGGGGCGCAAGAGAATTCTGGCTAGCAAAACCGAGGGTTGACCTCGCCTTGCACTCGTGGTCCCGAGCGATGTAAAGACGGTCATCGCTCACAGAGGCTGCGAGGGCGGGCAGCGCCTGGATCCCGCTGACGGGTAAGGGCCTCGCATTTTAGCGCCAAAGAGCCGAAGCCTATGCTGGATGGGACGCTATTTATGGCGGTCTTCGGGCCAATGTGAGGAGCCGCGTCCTGGTAGCACGGCCCGGCGCAAAGCGGATTGATGGAGAATCCCAAGGGACCGATTAAGTCTACAGCCGGTGGCCTAAGTTAGGAGAGGATGCAGTAAATAGTGCCTAGCTCAGCACGTCTTTTGTCCCGATAGGGAATACCCGCAAGACGTTAAATAAACACACACACACACACACATTGACGCGTCAATTTGATTCATATTGCTGCAGGTCGATGAAACGTCTCCTGCTTGCGCAACACAACATGAAAACATTTTCTGAACAAGGACGGCCAGATGTGCCTGAAGATGCTGTACTCTCGGCTATTCTTGTCACCACATACATGCCACCCAGTCGTGTGCTGCCATTGTTGGGCTGGCTGAGCTTACTCGGGGCGGGTTGCTCCCCGGTCGCGTTCGCGGGCGGTCACTCCCGCATCCGTTGACGATTGCGTCCGCATCCGCCGCTGCCCCCAACGCAACGCACCCGCTGGCAGGCGCCTACAGTAGCGGGGTGAGACACCATCATACCAGCCACCCACCTGTTCCACCGACCCTGGACCCAACAGTGCTTTGTATCTCACCTTTGCTCACTACGGAGTACTACTGGACACATCCCTCACACTCCAACGGACACATCGTGGTTGGCTTGCTCGCAATGTGCTTGGAACCATCCCTCGACGGGATAGTGTTCATGCTGTTGGTTGAACTTGGTTCCATGTCCGCTCCGCGAACCCCATGTTGTGCCGTGTCTGCGAGTCTCGCCTCATCTGCACCGCGACTGCCAAGTAACGCCCATACGCTCGCCAAGACGGCCTGACGGCCATCGGCACGACCGGCATCTGCTGTGGCTGCCCCAGTGCCCCAGAGTCCCAGATGACTGAACGCCCCTCGCGTCTTGGCCCGCCACGACGCCTATTCCCGACGGGAGGCGCACGAGGCGCTCTGGGCACTTGGCTCACAGCCTGAGTGCCGGACCCTGGATTCACATCGCAAAGGGACGGGCCAAATATGCCATCGTATGTGCCAACGTGCGACGAGGATCCCTTTTGCATGAATCTTGCTGATCAGTGGGCATTATGACGCCAAGGGCCTGTGCTGCTGTGCGGTCCCTGGATTTGCCAGGAGTAATGGTAGCACGCGGGCCAGCTTGCGTCCCATTCATCCATTGTCCGCTGAGTTTCACCGACGACTCCACTGCGCGCGGTTGGGCCCGTCATTGCAGCTGGCCCTTCCCCATATTTGCGCCGGATAGTCCGCCGCCAGATCCGTCACTCGCCCCCGAGATAGGATGGGGCATGGGCTGTCCAAAGCCCGCGCGCGCGCGCGAGACAGAAGTTCTGGGACTCGCCAGGCCGAGGCAGTTTTGGCAGGCAGATTGGCAGGTCAGGCGGACGCAACCGACAACGGACGTGCCGTACAGCAGACTACCCGTGCTAGCGAGCTAGAATTAGTCTCGTCGGTATGTGGTGGTGGCATGGGCCGGGGCGGCCACACCCACCTGGGCCCAGAGCCAGGAAAAAGTTCCGGGAAGCATCTTGTGGGACTAACCGTAAATGACAGGAGCTTTGGTTTATCGGCCCCGACGTGCCATTTGGAAGGCCAATACTCGTACTCTGCGATATGGTCTGGAGACGATGGTCAAGACTCGAGCAGGGCGCACTATCTGTCTGGAGCCTATCGTTCGCTCACGACTGGAGCTATTGGCCATGCCCGCGGTTGTCGACTTCAAGAGTTCCCTGCATTTGGCTCCAGAACGTCCACAAGTCGCTCAGGGCGGACTGAGTGACGGATTCTGCAACGCTCGCCTGCGCCGCATCATGCCATCATTGACATCATTGACGCCCGCTTGAACTTAACCCCAACCGCTCCATCGCAGGTTTCCCCGCTCGTCGAGGCCGACCACATTTCATCACGTAATGCCCCAGGCCTCCCCATGGGGTTGATATTCGCCCAGGGGACCATGGTGGCACTTTTGGAAAGATTCGCCAGGGCTCACTTGGCGAAGGAATCCGCCGGCCGCGGCTGAAACCGAGCAGAGGCATATTGGGGTCGTCCAATGCAACATGAGCCAACTCGAGTGCCTGTGGCGACCGCCTTGCCGGCAAGAGGCGGCATTGTGGATTCATCCAGGAGTCTAATTTTCCGGGTGCCATGAACTCACCCCGGATATATCCTCACTTGCAATTGGCGGGGAAAACCTGCCGTCTTGCCATCATCGGCGCCGCGAAGGTGCGTGGCGAAAGTCCTTCGGCCGCCTGGCCGCCCAACCTGGTGTCCCACATCACTGGCCATCAGGCCGCACACCCATTGCCAAAGCACGGCGCCAAAGATCCTGTAAGCCAGGTTTTGTACAGCTTATTTGCCATTAGCGTTTTGTGGACATGCCTGTCTTCGTGCATGGTCTTGCAAGCCTCGACCACAGCACGGGCTGGCGAGTGGCGCCGTCCTGCGATACATACATTCAGGGGCGTGCCACATGGGCCCCATCACCTTCCATGTAGTTGTTAGTATGGCTCTAGAAACTGAAAGGCTGAATAGTGGCATGGGGGCACTCAAATTGCGCGGACTTTGGGGTATCCCCGCTTAATAATCTCGTAAGGCACTAGACTTACTTGTGTATATGCTGAACGATGATATGCTGAGGCAGCTGAAGAAGAGCTCAAATTATCTGGGCTTTATCTGAGATCATGGGTCATGGTTGAAAACCCGCGTCGAGCCCGGTGGTGTGGTGCAGATGGCCATTGGGCCCGATACTGAGGGAAGTAGTCTGGCCACATGCACGGCAATATCTGACCACCCATCCTGGAGACGTGCTCGCCAACCCTAGCCATGCTATATCTTGGGCCGCGGAATCTTTGCGACTGAAGAGATGAGGGGTGGCGCCGATGGCTCGGCCCACCAATGGTCTAGAGTTTGAAGCATTAGTCTCGCCTCCTCTGGAGACAAACGACAGGCCGCTCCAGCCCATGTGGTATCATTTGCCTACCTGTACCAACGGGTGGTGGTACGTAAGAAGGTACTCGGCTTCGACAAAGAAGATCTTACGCCAGACTGATCCTTGTTATCACGGTAAAGGCAGCTCCTTGTGAAGTCACGGTAATGCCGGTGCTTGGAGCTCTCGACATGGTTGTCGGATACGTAGCAGGCACTTGTGCCCATGTCCACGGTGCAGCCACCTCGCCTCTATGTGGGCTGCTGCTGGGGTTTGATGATATGTATAAGATCAATAGAGAGGAGAAACTGCATTGTATTTGCAATATCTGTCATCTGTCGTCAGATGCGTGTCGTTGCGCCTACGACATGTGCCTTCAGCTGTCACACCGCTTTCGTTGCCTCCTCTCTCAACCACGTGGACGATTGAAGGATGGCCGCCTGCATGTTACGCACGCGCAGTTGCAGGCGGGCAATGAAGCACCATATCTTTCAGTCACAAAGCCGTTAAGTCTTGACAACGAGTCGCGGTAATACTAATCGAGTTTGCATTGCAACCTTGACTCGAGGTTGCTACGGGTATGTCCACACCTTTTTCACGCAGCGCCCAGCGCCTGACTCTATCGTACAGGCAGACTGTCAAAAATTTAAACCCAAATGTTCGTCACCTACCACTATACATGACATCGAGAACTAGCCATCAGGACAATCGGCTCCTACTCTAGAAGAGAGTGCCCTTATTTTGTGTGACCTTGATCACATTGATGTTTCTGATCAGAAGCACCGAGATGAACGTCAGCGCCATGATGCCGGTGCCCGCGGCCAACATTCTCGTCTGCGCGTAACCGTAGGCCTGCTGGATTGCCAACCGAACAGGATCGCCCACAGGGTAGCTGAGTTGCGTGTCCAAGTTGTTGTAGATATCCTCGATATCAGGCAAGGCCGACTCGGGCAGGTTACGCTCGAGCGACTTCTCGAACGTGTTGGTCCAGATTGCTCCCGAAATGGTGTTTCCAATAGCGCCGCCAACATTGCCGGCAACGTAGAGAAGCGCCATGATGGGTGCGACGTATCTGTGCTCAACAGCCGCCAGGATGGCGAGCTGCTCGCACAGGATGAAGATTGCGCCGCCGACGGAGATGAACACCTGGCACATGACGATGTAGCCAATGTAGCCGTTGGGTTGGCGAAAGTAGATCATCAGACCTTGCGCAAAGATGTACAGTGGCACTGCGACGAACAGGAGCCACTTGAAGTAGCCGGTCTTGCGAATCAGGAAACCCACGGCGAACAGGAGGACGCCTGACACCACGTCAAAGGTGTGCGAGACGTAGCCAGCTTCGGCGACAGTGAGGTTGTTGACCACCTGCAAGAACGAAGTGAAGTACGTGTTCCAGCAGTAGTATGAGACCTGGTAGGTCGCGTCCAATATGCAGGCGCCAACGACGGTTCGGTCAGTCAGAAGCTTGGCGTTGAGGAATGGCACCGGGGCCAAGAACGACTCGTAGAGGCCGAATAAGACCAGCACGACGAATCCCACGACAATCATGGCGATGATGTAGCCGGAAGACCATCCGTTCGGGGCAGTGTCCGCCAGAGTGAAGGGAAGCAAGAAGACGGTCAAACCTCCCGCAAAGAGAATGACGCCAGGAGCTGTCGCGTGTTAGCACAGAGACCACGAGTCGGGGTAAGTCAATAGCACTACTTACCGTCAAACTCCAACAAGTAATACCAAACATTTTCCAGCAATGTGCGGCCACTCTTCGCCCTCGCCGTAAGGCCCTGCTTCTCAGCCTTGTGCAGATTGAGCTTCATCAGGATGTAGAGAGGCGCGGCGACGAATGGGAGGATGATGGCGAAGCACCCAATGCCCCATCGCCAATTGACATGGGCGAGAAATTCCTCAGACGCTTTCGGGCCCGCGAAGGCCGTGATCATGTTGGGAGAAGATGTAAAGGCGAAGGCCAGCGCTCGGTTTCGCAGCTTCGATGTGTCGGCCGTTATCACGTCGATGCTGTAAGTCATACCGCCAAATCCAACGGTGTAAAAGACCTGACTGGCGTGTTAGAAGCTGTGATAGCCCTTGCCCGAAGGAACCGTTGCAGTCCTTACCTGAGCCGCGCAGAATGTAGCGAGGCCGTTCGATGCAGCCATGAGGATCAGACCCAAAGTGGCAAAGGCAATCATGAGAGCGAAACCCTCAGCACGGCCCCAGAGATCCAGCATCTTGGCCAGAGGAATGTATACTGCCGCAGACATGGCATTTGCGACAATGTTGATGACGGTGAGGAGGGAGTGGCTCTCGAAGTCGCTTGTCGCATACGGCATCAGGCTGTACACAACCGCGGTTTGGAACGCATTGACAAAGTACAGCATGAACATGCTGCAGAAGACAGTCAGTCAACGTTTAATAGTACTTGCAAATGGGACATACCAGAAGAAGACCGCAGCCAGCGTCTTCTTGGACCATGTCAAAGTCACGGCCTCGACGTCCCGGACACCACGCTGGGCGTCTTCGCTGGGGACAACCTCCAGCGGCTCTCCGTTTGGTCCCGTAGCGCCATTTTGGGTCTCAACGGCATCACCATTCTCATCTTTCGTGAGCTCTTGAATGACGACAGGCTCGGGTGCTGCGTCTGTCGCGGCGCGACGAAAGCCCGGTCGGAACTTGGAGAAGCCAGCCATGGTTTCTCAAAACAGGTCACGCACAGATGTCGAAAGTTCGCAAAAGCGAAATCGCACTCAAAGATCTCGCGGAGATCGTCCTTCTTTTCTACTCGTACATATTCCCGACAGTTCCCTGTCCACAAGCCTGTGGCCGACCAGGTCCGGTTCTGTCAGCCCCATCGGCCAACCCCCACTACTAGCGGGCTCGTTTACTGACTAGGGCTGCGATGTCACGAATAAACGTGCTGGTAGGGCCCGTAGTGCAAAATCTGATAAGATTAGATGACCTGATTGATTGATAGCCTGCTCAAGTGTCCATGGCCAAGTCTTTCGGCCAATTCGATGGCGGATGAACGGCACACCAACGGTTGAATGCCAAGGACCAGGGACCGACTGTTTCCGCTGTTTTTCTGTCCGGCAGGCAGCCCTGGAACATGAAAAGAGAGGGTTTTTCGTCGCTCCTCCGACTCCTTCATCGCCAAAAGTCCACACAACCCACTCCACCTTTGGGTCACGGTTAAAAGAAAACTTCGTGCTGGCCAGGAAGTGAGGCGAACTATTGGAACTAACGATTTCCGTCTCGTTGCCGAATTGACCCGAAGCATGACTGTTATAAACTGACTTAGCGGACAGCAAAAACCGTGCGTCACATGGCCCGGTCGGTGCCGGGAAAACCATTGAGCTGAGGCAAGCTACCAAAAGCCCAATGGATGGACCCTGCCGGTAATAATCGGCCGTGAAGCCCATACTGAACCCCATCCTCTCCACATCTTAGCGACGCACCTGAGCGTTGGGAAGGTAGTCCTCCAACATTCACCCACAGACAGATTTGCAAATCCATGCCAGCCTGTGGCATCATGAGAATCTTACGCTCTACCGAATAGTTGATTCGAATTGGAAAGTCTCCCGTGTCAATGCGTGTGATTGACTCCGCACAGCGGTAAACGCGCCTCGACCCACGAGTCCTAGGGCTCTCGGACTAGTCTTAACCGCGAGACCGTTTCGCAACACCGAGACCGACGAGGAGTTCCTGAACGATGTTCCCAAGCAGCTTGGCGATGAAGTCTTTCTCGTAATAGCTCTCGTTGTAGCACGCCTGTATTGTCATTCGGTCTCGAAATGTCCAGAGGTGGCACTGGACTGATCGATCGGCCAGCTCTACGCCCATCCACATGTCCGACAGCTCAAGCGTCTCCCCGCTACTCGGACTTGATGCGAAGTCGCGCTGCAGATATCGCTCGATTATGCCAAAACTGCTCAAATCCGCGTTCTGCACTGGTGGCAGCTCAGGCGGTGGCGGTGTGCTGACCAGTTTTGCGGCGCGCCGCATGAAGGGACCGAGAAGCTCCATCATGCTTATCGCGTTGCCATTCTCATCCGTGGCCATGCTGTTGAGATCTCGCCGATACACACTATTGAACTCTGTTGCAATAGCATCAAAACCCTTTAAATTTCCACTGTTCCCGTCGTACAAATTTGCTATGCAGATAGGTTGCCCAGAGCAGTAGCATCCTACAGCGTATGCCTCCCCGTTGTACGGGCTCGACAGGTAACGTCGCATGTCGGCCGGACACATAGCCGCGTAAGACTTCGCGAGTGGGTGCTGCGGGAAACCAGCGACGACGCGTACTATGGCCGCGTGGATGGCGCTGGTGACGCTGATGCCCCGAGCCTTGCAGGCGGCGATGACCGAGGCAGTGACAGTGGCATCCAGAGTGACAGTATCACGCAATGTGGCCCCAGGGGCAGCTGACTCGGACCCGGGCGTAGGAGGAACTGATATGCTAGGCATACCTTGAGTCAAGCCCTGGATCATAGAGTCTGCCCGAGCTTTGAACGTCGGAGGGGTCGACTGCTCATCTGTGGGGGCCGAAACCAGCTCATGCAAGCTCGGTGTGAGCGAGCCATCGGCTGCTGACACCGCAAGCTCGTTGGCATCGGAGTCTGCATCTAACCCGAGGCGGATGGTCGAGGCGACCGCCGAGAGGAAAGTCTGTGCCAGCATGAGCATGCCAATGCCGTCGATGCGCCAATGTGCCGCGCGGATGCATATCTCGGAAGAGGCGGCAATCCAGTGACACATAGCTTTTTCGTACGGTCGAAGCGACCCGTGAGCCAGGAGCTTGGTGGAGTTGGTGACGTCGGTTTCTCCGGGCGCAAAGGTCCGGAAAGTTGTAGCAAGCCATGCCTCATCATCCAGTGGACCAACGGATAGGATGCGGACGGTGTCGCTCAGATCAGCCGCGTCGTTGGATGAAGCAGCCACGGCCCCTGCAATGGTTGGATGCAGGCGGCGTGTTGTAAGCCAGGCCTTGCGAACGTACGGCGTTGGGTCCGCGATAAAGCTCGGGAACGAGAGCTGGAGAGCCAAGGAGACGGCCCAGTGTTCGCGGTTGACGGGAGCGCCCCTTTCCGAGAGAAGCTTGAAGAAGACTTCAAGGACGTCGAGCCGTCTTTGCGACACCCCGTGGGTGGTTTCCCATGCCAGAGAGGACATTGTTGGGCGGGGCTGTGAGTTTGGCACCTCACTCGTGACAACGGAGAATGAGAGGGTCATTCAGAAATGGTCAGACATATAAATACTATAGACGGGACAAAGTGTTCATACAGCTGCTGACTCGACTTGGCTGGGCATTGATGTCATCCGCGTACAAATCGTTGCCGGCGCTTCAATTGACCTGATTTGGACAGGGGCTGATGTGCCGCTGTCGACGATCGTCCTGAAGTGCCGCCTAGGCGCGGCTTGCGACGCGACGTCCTTGGCATCGGCGTAGTAGGCTAGTCCGTGCCGAGCCCATGAAGTAAATCAAACTTTGGAGTAGCTGTGTGACATTGACGGTAACTTGTGATGCTCACCGATAGGTTCATCTTGACGGCGAGTCACTCAGCTTCAGTTTCATAATCCGTACCAACCTAGAATGCTCGTGTTCGAAGGACCAAGCGAGTCGAGCCACGGAACTACCCGAGCTTCCGAGATGGCTTTCAATTATATACGTCGAGTGCCGACGACTGAGGGATCAATGAAGCTGACAATGGATGTAACAGCTAATTGAAGACCAAACCTCGGGCGTCGATTGACCGCGAAGGCTATGCACGCACTCTTTGGAACAGAAACCAGCAGCGCTGGTCAGCTGCATGTAGCGGCAGCTGGTTCTTCACTGTTCTCGTCTGAGCTAACAAGAGAGGCTGCAAAGGGCTGCCATGCCGGTGAACACGGGGCGGCCGAACCTCTACAGCGGTTTTCGAGACCAGCACACGTCATAGAATGAGTGAATTGTGAATCATGCCAATGTTTACAATAAAGTACACATCAAGAGAGTGACAGATGAGATCAAACAAAGACGCTGGCATCATCCTTCCCGGGCCCTGATGCTGCCATTTCCTCGCGCATCAGAATATTTGGCGCTCTAGTTTCTGTCATCCGGGTGGAAGACCAAGGCACGCACTTCGATGCTCTCTCGAGCAGGCGCATCGGGGCTTGCAGTCGCGTCCTCGAACGCGGTGTGAGGCACCCGGCGTGCTCGACCGTCCGTCTTGCTGTCGAAGCACTTGATAAGAATCACTTCGTCGGGCGACAACCCCGACCTGTAGAACCATTTGTGGCCGTCGTTGTACCGCACGGCGTAGGTCTCTCCGCGGCGGTTCGGGTAGATCAGCTCCGTCACGACGAGGTCTGATTCGGCCACTGAGTTCGCCTCGGCTACGGCGAGCGGATCGCGCTCGACCGTCTTGATTGGCCTCCAAACGTTGATGATCTGGACGCGGCCCTTCACGAGTTCCTCGGCATCTTCCGGGAGGTGATGAGGGACACGGGACAGGGCTGCGCTGTAGGATTGATCAATGTGCACTCGCTGAACGGGCCCGCGCGCTGTCCTTGTTCCCGGTCCAGCCTCCGGGAGCTTGCGGCGGATCGTATGGTCGAAGATGAAGACCCGCGAAGCACCTGTGCTACAGCGCGTTGTTAGTCCCCGGCGGCCACGGAGGGAGCGTCTGAATCGATGACATACACATCCTTCAGCAGCTGTTCTGTTTCCGCGTAGTACCCCGACTTTATCGCATCGTCGTCCAGGAAAGCCTTCTCATTGGCTTCGCGATTGTATATCTGAAACCCGTTCTTGTCGAGGGTATACTTGCTCTCGTCGCCGGCAATGTCGGTGATGGCCACGGTGTGTCGCTCCACCGGACGATCATACGTCTCCGGTCTGTCAATGTAGGTGGGATGGGGAGGAGAGCCATCCTCGTTATCTTTGAAGTAGTTCAGGACCGTCTCAACATCATGCTTCGGCACGGCGCGGCTCTTAACGCTTTGGCCCAGACGAGGCGATGCAGCGTCGCCTTGACCAGGCGCGAAGGAGGGAACCGATACAGGGTTGTGGACGGCGGTGGCAGCCATGTTGCTCGTCGCTTGAAGGTGGAATTTTGATGTCTACGAAGAACCCGTTGAATGCCGATAGTACTAGATGTGCCTTCATATAACCATCCATCATCATCCTCAATTGGCCTGATATATAAGTGGTTCACCCCGCGAGCACGCCATCCTCGACACCACGTTCATCGCACCGGATTGATAAGCATAGCCAATGGGAGACGCTCAAGTCAAACGCAAAGGCGCAATTGTCAATCCGGACGCTGCACCACGGACTGGGTGATCATGCTTGGAAATCGACTGGCTATCGAGCGTTGGCGCTGCGGCCGGACCTGACGCGGATCGGGCGCAGGGCGAAATCCGTGTCGCGGGTCAGTCAACAGCCTCGGATCCGGCATTCGTACGGCAATGACGACATACGGTCACCCGCCCTCCACAGTGCCCAATGCGGCCGGTGACTTGCGATCAAGCACGATTGACGTACTTGCGAGGACACCAGACCGCACTGTCTGCGTAGACCAATGGAAGAGCGCATGGAAATACAGCCTGGAGCTCAATGTGCTCAAGTGAACGCTTTCATGGCATCAGCCATAGTTTTACAGTACTCGTTGTTTATGCACGATTCTCGTCACTGCTGTCCCATCCCGGAGCACTGCAGTCTCCTCCTCTAGAGTATACCCGCGGATGCGAGGCAGCAGCACCGCCCACACATACCAATACAACAGGCTGCCGACAAAACTGCATGTGGGAATTAGCATAATACTTCATGGCGATGCACATATCTCGCGACACTTACATGGCGACACCAACAATAGCATAAGTCGCGTAGTAAAACCCGCCTGCGGGCTGTTTTGATGGAGGGAAGAATGGAGCTGCGAGCAGCGCAACCCCAAGTAATAGCCGTAGCACGACCGCCGACGTCCATGCCTTGAATGGCCTCTTGAGATCTGGGCGTTTGAATCGCAGCCAAATCAGGCCGCCTCCGATGAGCAGACCGAAAATTTGCCCCGAGTAGCCCTCGGTCTCGAGGATAAATGAGAACACCTCTTTGGACGGCGGAAGCACAATGACCAGCAGCGATGGGACGTAGTTGAGCAAGAGTCCTCCAAGTGGCGAGTTGAAGGGCTTGGTAGACGACAGCTGCTCAGAGAATGGGAGGAGGCCTTGTCTGGCTATCTCTTGCTTGAGCCTTGCCTGTGTGATGTTGTCAATACTGGAGCGCATTTCACGAGCGAGGGACTTCGACCACCTACCATGGCAAAGATGACGACTAAGACATTACCAGCCGCGGACAACGCGACGGCAAGTGGCAAGAATCGCCGGCCAAAGGCCCCTCCAAATACACGCTCAAAAAAGAGAGCAGCAACAAGCTCGCCGCTCTCCCTGATCTCGTCAATGGGCACCACGAGGAAGTAGGCCACGTTGATGAGGAAGAAGATCGCACACGTGGTGAACAGCGCTGTAAGTGTCGCTGATCGCAGAGTACGAACCGGGTCCTTGACTTCGTTGAGGACATTGCTGAGGTTGTCCAGGCCGGCGTATGAGTAGAAGACCTGGAAAAGGGCCGTCGCAATCGCGCCCCAGTTCCATATGCTGCCGTGCCATAAATGATCCCATCCTTGGAGGGAAATCGTCGGGCCCAGGCTCATGTCATCGCCTATCGCGGGTCGAAATATGACGACGTAGATGCCAGAGAGAACCATGAAAACAACAATTCCAATCTTTGCCCAGCCAAGGACGTTTTGGATGCCGACGCCGAACCTCGGTGTCACAGCATGAATGATGGTCGCGACCGTCAACAGACCCGCCCCGACAAGCTTGCGAACCACGTCGCTGACATGATCAGCCTTGAAAGCAAAGAGGATGTATTGAGAGAAAATGACACAGTTGCTTGCCGTGAGTCCCAGGAGCACGGCGTTGATGGCCACGAGAGTCGACGCGAGGAATCGTGGGTGTCTGTACGTGAACTCCAGATAGACCTTCTGACCTCCTGAGCGAGGCAGCATGCAGCCGTACTCGAGTGACACGGCCAGCCCGCAGGCTGAGATGACTGCGCCCGCAATCCATATAAGTAGTGAAAGCCCAGGGCTTCCGACAGATCGCAAGATGGCGCCCGGTGTCGCAAATATGCCGCTGCCGATGACTCTGGACATTACTATGATGTAGGCGCTTTGCCATGTAATATTACGCCCCAGCGTTGATGCCTCGGGAAGCACATCATCTTCCACGGCGCGCGAAGGGATGCCGCCATTCGGCGGCTCACTCTCAATGTCGACGTTGGAGCCGTTCTTTTGGAAGCTGGTGAGGCCCGGCAGAAGCGGCCGTCGCTCTGGGTCAGTCGATGTGGTCATCTTGCGATGGCTCAATGTGTTGTTTCCAAGTCCGTCTGGCGGCTACACTTTATCAGTTGCTGCGCGGCCTCAATCCTTTTGTTCGAAACCGTTCCATGTCTTCCCTGTTTCGGCACCGCGGATGCCTTGTCCTGGGCTCCCGAGACATGCTACGTACCTCACCCCTGGCGAGACGTACCTATCTTGCCGTCAAGTGGCCACGCGTTTGCGTGATTGGAGTGATTTCTCATCTGCACGGGAGACGCACCTGCTCCAGTTTCCGTGGCATGCCAGCGCAGTGCCAGGCGGCATGGCGCCAATGCGTCTGCATCGCACGCCATCGCGCATCAGCCAGGCATCTAGCGCCCTTGGGGTCTCACTGTGCGCTTCAGGCCATCCGACACGTTTCGTGTTCAGTCTATCTACGGGGGCCAAAAGAAACCATATGCGAAGCATTGTGCTGGGTACATTATGCGAAGCAATTCCATTCGGTCGCGTCGGCAGCCATACGCCTGGTTGCTGATGCTGCTGCGGGCCGAGAGCCCCAGACCGGTGAGCTCATCGTCACCGGAACCATCTCACTTCACCGAATTCTGGGCACGACACAAGCCGGCCCAACAGCACATTCCTCTGGATGCGCTGCAGCGAGAGGATGTACGCTCAACGCACAAGCATGGAGGTTATTGTCCGGTGTCTTAGGCACCTTCGGGTCTCCCTGAAATGATCAACGCGCATCCATGTCCAAATTCAACCTGCAAGTCGACCCTCCCCTCTCTAAGGCATCTACCCTAATCCCACTGCCCTCCAGAGTTAATCCCACTGTGCCCTGCACCATTTTAGGCAGTTCAGGTCGTCCCAAGCTTATGAGTGCTACCATACAATTCGAAGGGCACCGAGACGCGGTGGGTAACACAATCGAATGGTTCAATTATTATTGATAGGGAAACGAGGTGCGCTACGAGACTGCGCTGCGATAAAAGATTGCGCTGCGGAGACTATGCTATGAAGACTGCGCCGCGAAAATTGATCGCGTGAATATAGCTGCGAGACTGGCTGGCTACGAGGCGTCTTCGCGACTAGCTATAAGGTAGCCTCTGGACCGGTTACGCGAGACCTAACGAGGCCGCCAAAAATGTCCGTCTTAATACTTGCTACGATATCTGTTGCGAGGATTGAGGTCGGCTTCGAAGACCAGCTGCTTCCTCTAAGAGCACTGTGTTGAACCGTTCCGGGTTGCCTATTCGGGTGTCGTATACAGTGGGACTTACTCCGGAGGGTAGTGGGATTAGGCTTGCCGGGCGGCGTCCTGAAACGCGCTGGCAATTACTGTTCATGCTCTTCGCATTTGTCGCCATCGGTGTGATAGGTCTGGGAGAAAACCCTGCGCACCTTACAGACTCGGTGCCTGGCCCATACCGGGCTATGGCGCGCCGTCAGCAGGGAACTCCCATCATACAATCGGCGCAGGATCAACTGAGGCCCTGGAGCAACAGGCACTCATCGCGTCTGAATGACACGGCAGAACCAACAGTCATGGCTGCGCGCGGGTATTATCTTCCGACCAGACGGAGGGCCCGCCCAATGGTGGCCAGCGTGCCCAGAGCTGGATTTGCCGGCTGGAGCTGTGGCGGACGACATTAGTACACAGGGACTGCAGTAGAGGCCGAGGGTTGATCCAGGGCGGCGCCAGGGCCAGTTTTGTCCCTCGACCGCTGTTCCAGGAGCAAGTGATTGTGGCCTTGAGCTGCATCATTTTTAATATGCTGTTGTTAAGATTGCTACCCTCTTGCTCACATCTCACTACATTACGCTCTCTATAGGAGCCTTGCGACCGTGTCGCACTTATCCGTTGAGGGCTTCCGTTAACACGCAGTGTGCTCTCCACCCCGCCCGGGTCGTCGACGTGTCATTGATCCCCTTCCAGCGCCCAACATGGAACCCGCATGGTCTCAGCAATGAGGTTGCGTCGCCTCCTGTTTAACGCCTTCAGTCCGCATTCTCCTTCTTTCAGGGCGATGCTTGGTCCCGTGACATCAGTCAGACGGGCATTTGCACCTGTAAGCGATCGACCGCTAATAAGAAGCCACTCCACAAATGTTGCGGTTGAAGTGGGATGCCGAGCTAACACCACATTTACTTAGGGGCAGCTCCAGGGCTACGCACGCTGAAGCCTGTGTTGGCTCTGCCGAACTCATCATTCGTGCAACACAACGGTGTGATGGCCATCAAGACCAAGTCTTACGGTAGTACAGGACAAGAAATATCAGGGCCTCGGCGTTAAAATATTTTACGCTGAGGATCGACCACCGATTGCCGTGAGCAATCGAGATCAAGACAGGTGGCAGAGCCGGCATCGTTTGTCAGCAGTGTCATGGTGTTGCCCGTTTGAGACGCGAAGGGCGTGTCGTGGAACACTGAATTGAGTCGGATTACGAATTCGCGCGGGGTCAATAGACGGTCGGTGCGATATAAGAGCAAGGCCGCTTTGTCGGATGCGAGTGACAGCCTGCGCTGTACCAAGATCACAGCCACGCTCAAGGCACCGACCCAGAGGTCAACTCGCTCAAAGGACTCACGATGCCACAGCTGACTTTGTACCGCGCCAATGGAGCCTGCTCCTTTGTTCCTCATGCCATTCTTGAGGAGTTAGGCATAGATTTCACCACCGTTCTCCTCAAGCGTGGTCCCGATGGCTTCGACGCCGCCGATGGCAGCCTCACCAACGCCGAGTACCGCAACACCATCCACCACATGGGTTACGTGCCGGCTTTACGAGTCAATAATGAGGACATAATAACGGAAATGCCAGCTATTCTGACGCTCATCTCTTCCTTGGCTCCAGAGCGCGGCCTCTCTGGCGACAGCCTGGTTCAACGTGCGAAGGTACTCGAATGGCTTGCGTGGCTGTCGGGTTCGCTTCACGGCATGGGTTTTGGGATGCGCTTCAGGCCAGCCAGGTTTACCAATGACGAAAATCTTCACGAAACGGTGCGAGAGCGGGGCAAGTCGCTTGTCGACGCTGGCTTCTCCCGGATTGACAAGCTTCTTGACGGAAAGGTCTTTCCGGTTGGGGAAAAAGAGACCGTTGTTGACTACAACCTGGTCATTTTCTGGTACTGGGGCCGCGAAATCGGTCTGTCGCTAGATAAGTTTCCCCGTTACGCGGGCTTGATCAAACGGATGGAGGCAAAGGAGTCGATCAAGCGAGTTGCCGCAATTGAGGAGAAGAAGCTGTACTTCCCACCGCAATAGGCCTCTCAAAGGCGTCGCTTCTCAAATTGCATCTGATCGACTGGATTGGGCACTCGGATAGGCACCACCAATTCTGGGCAGGTATCGCAGCTGGTATTGTGGGCGAAAATATGTCCAGCGCTACCCGTCGCGTGCGGGCACAGCGATCTATTCCTCGCTATACATACACTCTGTCATTGTACAGAGCCGAAGCCCTCAAACTTGAGCCACCAACATGCTTCAAACCCACCAATATGTTTGGTGATCAGATAAAAATGTACCGTGTATAAGTTCCTTCCCATGTTGCATTACCGGTCCGCCGCAAACATCACCATGTCCTCTGCCGCATGGTCGTAGTCGCTTTTCTCCAAATGCCAGACATCATTGACATAATGCTGCCGTATCCCGTCTCACTTCACGACGGTGAAGCAGCTCGCTCTCCGGTTGCGAAGAGTTCAAACTTGATTCTCACAGGGTCGACGTTCTGAGACTGCAAGTAATCGGCCGTCTCTAGCATGAATTGCTCCGGCCCACACACGTAGTACTCTGTAGAGCTTCGCGCCAGACATAAATCCTCCGGGGTCAGCTTCGCCAGGTCCAGGCGGTAGTCGTAATCGTAGGTCACACCAGCGAGGTCTGCATCAGCAAGATGAGTTTTGAACACCTTGCTCTGGAAGTTGGGCTTCTCCCGCTGCAGCTTGGCGATTTGCGCGTGGAATGGCACTTCGGTACGGGCGCCATGAACCCATGATATCGGCCGTGAGGGCTGATTCTCGACGATGTAGTTGAGGATTGACACGACTGGCGTCGCGCCAATGCCTGCTGAGATGAGTACCACCGGCTCGCTGGACAGGTTGTTGGTGTCCAGATAAAATTGTCCCGTCGGGTGGCTGGCCTCGATGGTGTCGCCGGCGAAAAGACTGTCGAGGAGTTGATTGGAAACAACACCAGGGTTTGGCGCATACGGACAACGAAGCGCTTTGGAAGGCTTAAACTTGGTGCCATCATCACGTTTGATCGTAACGCGGTAGTAGCCGGCGCGAGGCGCATCGCTAAGGGAATATTGCCGGATCTGTTTGTATTCCTTTCCAGGGACGTCGACGCGCACGGATATGTACTGTCCCGGCATGAAGTCTGGTAGAGGTTGCCCGTCTACCGGACTGAGGAAGAACGAGCAAACGTCCGCGCTCTCAGGCACTCGTTCGACCACGTGGAACTGTCGCCACCCAGTCCACCGGCCGAAGCTGCGATAAAGCTGTTTTTCGCGCCCGATAAGCATGTTGGCGAGGATTGTGTACGCCTTATTCCACGCCTGTAGGGCTTCTGGTGTCATGGCGTGGCCCAAAACTTCGGAGAATGATTCGAGGAGGTGTTTCCCCAGAATACCGTAGTGTTCTGGCTGAACGCCGAGCGAGCAGTGTTTCTGACAGACTCTTTCCAGTTTTGGCACAATCTCGTAGATGTGATTGATGTTCTTGGCGAACTGCAGGATGATGGATGCGAGCGCACGAGGCTGGAAGCCATTTACTTGGTTGGCGGTGTTGAAATAGTTCTTGAGCTCCGGGTGGTTGCGCAAGAGGTTGCGGTAGAACACTGTGACAACCAGCTCGCCGTGCTCTGTCAGGGCTGGGATCGTGGCCCTGATTTTCTGGCTCTCTTTGTATGTCAACGCCATTGTGACAGGGCAAGGCCTTTGATGTGTAGGGGGGAACACGGGCGGGAACACAACGGCAAGAGGGGCTGCTTCGTCGCTGTTTCGCTGCGCAGCATGGGCGGATCACGTAGGAACATGGGGCACCTATATACTATTTCCTACTAACACGCGACAGACTGTTTGCCCCCCGATAAACCTTTCCCAAATCCACAGTACGGAAACTTCAGATTTGCACACCAGACTCCCGCAAATCAGCATGGCGGTAGGCCACGAGACGGTCAAGGACATGGAGTTATTAGCATTGCGGCCCCACTGCCACGTTGTGATGTTGCCGACCCGGGGCGTCCGTCCGCGCGGGAGCGCTCTCCGGCGCCAATGCCAACCGTCCGGCCCACCAACACGTCGTATGATTCTCGGCAATGCCTGGGGCAGTTGGGGACCTCGGGGTCCTCTAAGCGCGTCGCCATTACGGGGCGAAGATCATGGGCGGAGAGCCGGCGTTTGGTCTCTCTAGAATGAGGAAACCCCCGCTCGGCTTCGGTTCCTCGACGCCGCGGGCTCCGTCGCGTTGTCTGGCCGCAGCCGCCGGGCAGTTACGTTACCATCGATTGAGTCGTTGCCTCTCCGCTTCATGCCGATTACCTGAGTCGATCAAGTTCAATGCAGCTGCATGCAAACGGCTGGCCGGCTCTCGCATGAACGGCTAGATGAGCCCGTATACCACATCGTACATGCACCACGAATCGGCCGGCACTGGGAAACCGCCAATTTGCGTGGCTTGGCCCCCAACAACCTGATGTCCACGAGATTAGCATGAAGTGTGCGTGCATCAACATGCGGCTCTAACGGCACGAGACCTACAGTCCGCCCGTGCCTCACCGGCCATGTTCAGGGGTTTTTACGCCAGCCAGTTGAGTGCAGAAGCAGAAGGCAAAGACGCCAAAGACGAAAATTAAACGGCACGGCAAGCCATCCACATGCAAGGAAGAGGCGGCAGAGCCAAAAAAAATATTCGGGCCCGAAATTTCGTCTACTGCCAGCCATGTGCGTCGAAAGGTCGCGATGACGCCGCTACGCGTAGAGCCGGGAAGCATGGGCTGATATTGTGCTGCCCTGGAGACGCTAATTGCGGCAGCCCCGCCGAGACCCCGGTTCCTTTGGGGACTTTTAGGTGACGGGCAACGGACTCGCTGGGATTCTCAACGTGGCAAGTCAGAGGGAGCCGGGAGCTTCCAACCTTGTTTGCCGTGCCGGGCGGTCTCCTGATTGACCAGACAAGAAGTAAACGACCAGACGCAATGGAGGCAATGGAGCAACAATATGGGAGAGCAATTGTCAATACTCTCGAAAAGAAGCATCGAGACATCATCTGTGACGTCAAAACAATGCCAAGTCCTGACTGTGAGTGTAGAAGTCTCGCCATCATCAACAATGAGGTCACTGTTCCTGAGCAACATTGAACTGCGGCCCCCACGGGGCCCAACCATCGATCCACCAGGGGCCATATTGCTGCAGTTGGACCTCCGCGTCTATGGGAAGGCGGCCCGGGCACAGCCTGCAATCACCATGCTTTACGAATGCTGACCCCCCTTGCGCCCACCCGAGCCGCCTGTGTGACAGGTCCTTCACCCCAACCCCGACCCCGGCTGCCAGCCGCCCAAGTCCCACGGGCATGGCCGACTCAGCGGGCTTTAGATAATGTACGGAGCCTAGTCTCGTATTAAGCACATGACAGACCCTACAAGATCGGTCGTTCCCGGTCGGGAGAACAGGGTCGACTGGAGCCAACGGCGTGGGACCACTCACTCACAGGGGACCCTTGCTGCTCAGGCCATCTGAGGGACCAACGCGGAAATGCGAGATTGGCGCAACGGTCGCGAGGCACACCTACAACGGGAACACGCGCCCGATCAGCCGGCAGGGAGCAAACTTCTGCGATAGCTTGGTAGCCTAGTGAATGCCGAGCATTGCCGCAGCCCATGCAGCCGGTGCATTGCCGCCAGCCGCTCGTGCGCAACTGGTAACGATCAGGGAATCGTCATGATCACCAGACATAATTCCCAGAGTTTGCCGGCTTAAGAGATCAAAAAAAAAAAAAAAACCGCATGATTGCGCCATCTGCATACGCCCGCAGTTACTCAGGTTGAAGGGGAGCTTCACAGGCAAGTTTGGTGAGTTGTGGCGGTCAATACGTTTTCTCGTAAACAATGGGGTCGAGGACCACCCGCCGCCCCAGGAGCCACTCTTGTCTGCCTGCTCCGCTTGTCAATGAAAGTAGATCGGGACGCTTTGTGTGAATGTCGTGAGCTCCACGTGGCGGGCGATTGAGAGAGCAGTTCCACTAATGTGTTTCACGGAATTGATCTCTCTGAATGCCCATGCCATTGAATATCCATGGACGCGTCGCATCCACTCCGCCGCACCCCAACGGTCACTTGTTCAGGAGATCAGGAGATAGGCTCTCATTACGAAGTGCCCATGCACATTCTGCAAGTCATCAAGAACCAACCACGTCCGCTACCAAGAATGGTACGTATATGTTGAGTTGGCTGCAGGGAACATGATGTATAAGCACGACAATCGAGTGATGTTTGCCCACCACAATAAATGCAGCTCTTCGTAAGCCTCCTTTCCCGCCAATCGTTCTTCCCGCGTTTTTGGCTCAATCATCAGAGCTGCCCGTCCACGCACGGAATGACTACGAGCGACTGCATGCCTCAGAAAATTTTGGATGGTGGTAGAAGCCATTCATAAACTGAATTGCGGTGTTTCACAGGTCGACTGCAGTGAGCGCGTACTTCCCGAAGATGCGGCCCATCTGAACTTCATATACGAAGTCAGGATGAAACCCCATGAAGTCAGCGCCCTGAGATGTGTTCCACACCCGCGAGCCAGCGAGAGGCCGGTCTGAGTACGCCCTCTACGCCAGGTGCCCTGCGGTTTGCCTCTCCTTCAACATCTTGCCAGGTTTAGCTTAGATCACCTGTGATTCGTTCCCACACGTTTGTCCATGCCTATCCTTGTTCTTGAAGCTCACATGCACACCCATATCGGGCTGTCACGTACATGTAGGCACGTACCCAACACTGGATCTTGCTTGTCCCAAGCCTCTGGGTTCCGTCGGCCCGTTGCCGGCGACGACGCACTGACCTTTCGTCCGAGTGTCCCAGTCGTGCCACACAATGTGCCCTTGCTTTGATAGGACGGGAGGGTCTTGCGGGCGTCGCGCGCACATACCGTTCTTTTCGTGGGATCAAATAGCAAACAAACCCATGGGACCTGTGATTCGGGATTTCAAATGGAACGTCCATGTTTTCTGCGGCCTGGCATGTCACCCACAATGGCCACAATACAGGATCCAACTCGCCTCGCGCTGTGTGCGCGACAACGGTCGTCTAGCTACCTGTGACACATCATGATGCACTCGGTATCCTGCCTGAAGCCATGTTGGACTGAAGAATCCAAAGAATACTATGGGCCCGCCCAGCTCAAGACGAAGCAGCTGAGTGATGTTTAAGTTCGCCATGTTTGCTACTCTGCGCAAGTGATGAAGTTCTAGTTATGCACGTCAGTCTGCGCCGTTCCTTAACGATATCGCGGCTTGGCGCTTTCCAGTCAGCTACATCAACTGAAACTTCGACGTCATCATCAAGTAGCATCTCTTCAACGCAAGAAGAATCGATCAACATGACACGATGAAGATCATCGGGCACCAGAACAGTGCCACAAACCTCAAGCACACGCGCTCGGCCTGCCCGGTCGGAGATGCCGACGCCAATTCAGCAACGCGGAACACCAGCGGCACGTACTTTGCCCAGCAGCGGCAGCCATGCTCTGAGACGATAAAGAGAGCAAGCACAGAATGCTCGGGGCCTCCTCGCATCTCAAAACCGGTCGAGCTAATTCTTCCATCCTACGACTGCGTCGTGATCGGGTCGGGATATGGCGGAGGCGTTGCTGCCTCTCGAATGGCGCGGGCCGGCCAGTCAGTCTGCCTCCTGGAGAAAGGAAGGGAGAAGTGGCCAGGAGAGTATCCTGTTAGCTTCGGCGAGATCTCAAAGGAGTTTCACGTGTCCGGTCGATTCAAAGCCGGGCCAGTCACCCTTCACGATGTCGACAACCACAAAGACACTGGGCTCTACCACCTCATGTTTGGTCATGACCAGAGCGTTTTTGTGTGCAATGGTGAGAGAAAGCTCTTTGAGTGCCACGTCTGACTGACGCTAACACAATTATTGCACAGGCCTGGGAGGCGGCAGCCTGTTGAATGGGAACATCTTCCTCGAGACTACCAAGGAGGTCTTGGCGATGCCATCTTGGCCGAAGGAGATACGTGACAACCCTGGGTGTTTGTCAGAATGTAAGCACGTCGAAAGTCAGCCTTTTATGCCGATAGTGACCAAGTTTGCGCAGACTACGATATGGTGAGAGACGTCCTGGAGCCGGAGGCGTATCCAGCGAATTGGCCAGAGCTGCGCAAGATGAAGGTCTTCGAGAGCCAGGCCAAATCATTGGGCCTCGGTCAGAAGTTCATCAGAGCCCCTCAAACAACGCGCTTTCGATCTGGACCGAACAGCACAGGCGTCAACATGTCTGCCTCTACATCGTCGGGCCAGGATTGCACAGGCGTTAACGACTGGTCGAAGTCCTCTACTCTCGTGACATACCTCGCTGACGCCTGGAACTGGGGCGCAGAGCTATTCTGCGAGTGTGAAGCGAGGTACATTGAGAAAGTCCAAGACGAGCGTGGAGGCTACATTGTCTATTTTGCCTGGCACGGCCGAAATCGCCAACAGTTCTCGCATAACTTCCGGTCCGAGTTGATGTGGGTTTATGCAAAGAACGCCGTTTTCCTTGGAGGAGGAGCCATGGGCACTACAGAACTCCTGCTGCGAAGCAGGGACATGGGCTTGCGCATGAGCGACCAGGTTGGGCGAAACATGAGTGGGAACGGCAACATACTGGCCTTTGGGTTCGTCTTCTCGTGCTGAGGGCATTATTCGGGCTCGCGATGTGACTCTAACAGGATCGCAGATACAATTCCCGGAGTGAAGTCAACGCCGTTGGCTCAGAACGACCGAGTCGCTTCAATGCAGTTGGGCCGACAATCACGAGCATGATAGACTGCCGAGGTGGCCATGCGAACCCCCTGGATGGCTTCGTCGTGCAAGACGGAGCTATTCCACAGGGTCTGGGTGCATTCTTCCAGATCCTCTTGCAATTCCTCCCCGCCTTCCAATCTGGCTACGGTAGGACATTCACGCAGCGGCTCCACGCAATCATGGCCTGGTTGAAGGGCATTCTCATGGGATGTTTCTTCAACACTGGAGCGCTGCATAGAACGCAGGCATTTGTTGCGATGTTGCACGACAGTACGTTTCCCGCGCATAAAGCCAGCATGGTGAAAATGGACCTAACTTTGGCAAAGGCAATCAGGGCTCACTGTGCCTTGAGAACGACAAGCCGGTCTTTAACTTTGCCGGAGCCGGTCGCAATGACAGAGTTCGCAAGGTCCACGCATTTCTCAGCAAAATCTCCGAAGCCATCGGGGCTGTGTTGATCCCGACCCCTTTATATTCTCTGATGGGTAAACAGCTCGTCACTGTTCATCCCCTTGGGTGAGTGTAGCTCGTGTGGCTTCTTCGCTGGCTCAAGAGCTGACCTTGTTTGTATCAGCGGCGCGGGAATGACCAGCGATGGCTCCGGCGCTCGTGGCGTGACAAACCACGTTGGCGAGGTCTTTGTCGGCAACGCCACCGCGGAGACCTATCCCGGCCTGGTGGTCACGGACGCCGCAGCCATACCGCGGGCGTTGGGTGTTAACCCCCTCGCCACCATTACCGCTCTCGCGGAGCGTGCCGTTGCCAATTACGCAGCGCAGAATGGTCTGGTCATCGACAAAACGCGCAATGGCATTCTTGACCTGTACGAAAAGCCGCCGATCTGCCGAAGTGAACAAATATTCCCCGAGGGGGGAACGGTTGAGCCACTGGTGGCCTCTCTGTGCGATGCTGTTGGACAGAGAGAGCCGACCGTCAGCTTCACAGAGCTGATGTCCGGGTTCGTGCATCCTGGGCGTGTTCTCACACGCGATGACAAAAGGACGTACGAGTTGGCACACCACTTGGGAAAGTGCCGAGACGAGACGGCGAGGCTATTTGTCAGTGTCACCGTGCCGTGCTCTGAAGCAGACACCGCCGGAACAGACTATCCTGGCATCATGACGGGCACCTTTACCTGTCCCAGTCTTCGCGGCTCACCTTTTACCATCTTGCGAAGCAAATTCGGCGTCTTTGAGTCAGACGACAGCGTAAGCGGCAGCGGAAAGCTGGTTTACGACTTCGAGATGCTGGGCGTTAACGGGAAACGACTCCATTTCCATGGATACAAGGTCACCGACCCATCCATCACGCTTCGGCCATCACGGCTATGGCAAGCAACGACAACATTGTATGTGAGCATCACGGACCCAGGCATGGACCCAGGCCAGACCACCGATAAGGCGATGATCGCTGCTCGGACCAGGACGGCCTCGCCGAGGTGTATTGTCACGAATCAAATGAATGGGCCATATCTCCGGCCGCACCGATCGCCAATCGCCATGGGCATCATCAACGTTCACTTCGCCGACTTGCTACCTGCCGCACGGACTTTGACAGCAAGCGGTGCGAATTTCGTCGACAGAGCGGCCAAGCTATCGACATACCTCGAGAGATTGTGGCGACAGCCGCTTCAGCTGTTCCTTAGCCCTTTCATGCCGCTACAGTACCCTCTTGACGAGCAAGTCGGATGCATCAACTTTACACCTCCATCGCGAACGTTTACCGTTGTAGCAAGCGATGGAGTGGCCTCCAAGCTGCACATGTGGGAGCCAGATCCCTGTGCCGTCGCCAGAGACGAACACGGCGCGCCTGTACCCGTGAAAGACCTCTTCATGATTCCGGGCGCAAGTGTCGACCATCAAATTTTTGCTCTTGCGACAATCCCATTCAACGCGGTCAATTACCTGACGCGCGCCGGCTACCGCGTCTTTGTGACCGTCCACCGTATCGGCCGTCTGGAGACGGCGCACAGTTCCTGGACAACGTATGATGCCCGCCTCGATATCAAGGCGTGCCTCGAGATCATACGCACGCTACATGGCCGGCAAAAGATCTACACAATCGCCCACTGTATGGGCTCCGTGGCATTTGCTTGCGGGCTTCTGGACGGCACAATCCCCGCCGAGTGGATTCTCGGCATCACCTGCAGCCAGGTCTTCATGAACCCGGTCTGGAGCACGGTGAACACGCTCAAAGCCAAGTCTCCCATACCCCTCGACTGGCTTTTCTCAAAGTTGGCAGGCCCATTCTTTGACTGCTCGACATCAGTCGACGACAAACTTGTGCACCAGGTCTTGAACCAGTTCCTGCGGCTGTATCCCCAGGAGCGGCACGAGATGTGCAACAACGCAGTTTGTCTCCGCACTACCTTCTTATTTGGACGATGTTGGAGCCACCACAACCTCAATGAGGCTACTCACTCGCAGATTGATCGCGTGTTTGGCGGTGCCAATGTTAATCTCATGCACCTTCTCATGCACATGGGCACGCGCGGTGCCGTTACCAGCAACGCGCCTGCGTACGAGCCCCTCGTAACACCAGAAAATATTCAGAGGCTCCGGGGGATTCCATTTCTGTTATTCAATGGCGCGGACAGCTCGGTTCTCAGCCCCAAGGCTGCAGACGAGACTTACAACACGCTACTTGCGACTTTTGGCGTATCGGCGGGTGTCGATGGGGCAGGGGTGCAATATCGCCGGAGGAGCGTCGAGGGATACGGCCACCTCGACTGCTGGATGGGGGTGAACGCGTGGCGGGACGTGTATCCATTCGTGCGCGAGGAGGTTGACCGCGTTGTCCGCGGTGACGAGTACGTGTTTCGTCAGCCCAACGACAGGTTTACTGCCATGGTCGAGGCTGAGAAGCAGCTAAATTGGGTGGGCGCGGCGTCTTCTGGAATGTGACAGGGCGGACAGCAGAAGGCAAGCGCCACGTCGTCGGGCAGAAAGCTGCAGCATTTCACGTACGAAGTTAGTAGGCAATTGGACATTAGCGAGTCGCCCAAGCAAGCAGCCAGAATAACCCGATGATTGCGACAACGACCTGTTCTGTGCTGGTCAGCTGCGCGAAAGTCATGCGCTGACGTTTTCTGCGCGCGTCTCATTATCCTCGTGTGACTGTCCCGAACTGTGAGTGTCGGGCAGAGGGCACAGGTAGCTGCACAAAGACCTCCCCAGACATGGGCGACGATCCAATCGATAGTCTTCATGGCCTTTGTCGTTTATTTCGCCCGTTGTAAAGCGTTGTGCACATGCCTCTCTCAATCCGTTCACTGAACCAGGCAGTTCGGCGTTGGCGTCAAATCGTTTGCTGTGTCATGACCACGTCTGCTTTGACACGAAGTGACAATGGAGCTGACATCAAAGGCGTTCAATTCCGGTGCGAAAGGGATCCGAATCATGATGCTGGCGATGAATGCCCAGCCTCCCCGCGAGGGCGTCGAGATTCGAGATGATCAGTTGCGGCTCCACCAAAGCAACGTACAGTCGCGCGCGAGGCAGACTCGACGGCAGACAGTAGCCAAGGGCGGATGGGCGCAGCGCGTCTGTCGCATTGCAGCCGTCTTATTGCTTTTGCAACACACCAGGACCTTTCACACCAGTACTTTTGTTGGTCTGTTGATGTGGACCTCGCACCCCTGCGCCGCCGTTGCGCCGCCGTTATTGCACAGCCGACCCAGATCTGACGGTGCCCAGAACGACGCCCCGGTTCCGGCGCTGTGCAGCCGTCGATGCGGTGCAGATGGAGACGCATTGCAGGAACGAGTCGTGTACGTTGTGACTGGAGCCCAAGTTAAAGGAATAGCAACTGGTCAGCTTCAGCTTGCGCTTGTAATGCTCCTTGCCTGCTTGATCTCCGCCAGGAGTGAACGGCAGCCTCGCGGAGAGCTCGCACAACTATTGCCGTTTTGGGGAAACGAGACGCCATCGCCGTAGGACCGGCCGGCAGGGCAGTGCCGAGACTCAGGAGCCACCGAGAGTCCGAAGGTCCGCCACGCTGGGTGGTTGTGGGGGGCTCTTCGGGAATCTACCGAGCGAGGCCGTCCGCCCTTTCCATCACTCGCCGGGGCCGTCACACCCGAGACAGCGCTCGACCGAGAAGGCACAGCATTCAAAATTGGGCGGCAATGCGCGGTTGCGGTCGGATCGGCGACGCGGAACTGAACATGAAGTCGCGCTCAGAGAACGAGTAGAATCCGTCCGGTCTGCATTGGGGCCCGGCTGAGGCCCATTGAGAAGTGCGCAAGTGTGGCAATTGTACGCCGTATCTCGTGTTATGATGCGGCCATGCTCGCGTCATCCTCCCTTCCACGCGCCCATCTTGCGCAATGCGACCGACGCAAGGCTGGCCGCTGGTGACATCTAGAACCTTGTTCAAAGAGGAAACCGACGAGATTCCAAATCCGAATGAGGGAAGCCCAGAGCCCGCCCCCGTTAAACAGACCACGATGGGGCATGCGAGCACATGCAGCCCGCAGTATCAAGGACCCAATGGCGCTAGCATCGAACATGACGGCACCTCCAGACTTCCAGAAGGTTGCGGGCTCCCTGGGGCCGCGCCAGCGGACTCGCCCGAGTGACGTCTCTTACGTGGCAGTGTCGCGCGTGCTTGCGGTTGCGAGATTGGTACCAAGCCAGCTCGCGTGAGGCGCAATGTCGGTTGTTCGGACTCGGCCTGCTGAGCCTATCTGTATGAGTAACTTGGATCTCCGCGCCTCAGCCTCGATGCCCGCAAGCCATTTAGACGTTGGCGGCACATCAGATGCGCCTCTGTCGGCTGCGGACCGGACAGAGTCCGGGCCCCCTGAGTGCCGATGTGCTGGTGATAAATACGTCCGCTGAGACCAGCTTGTCCCCTGTTGAGGCTCTCATGTTGTCTAAACAGTGAAACCGCGTTGTTGACGAGTTCAATTCGACCATAATGGCTACTTTCCGGCGAACGGACACCCCAAGGCTGCCCGGTGCGCGCTTGGATGTTGGAGCACATGACATTGTTCAACGCATGCTGCCTTGCCACGAGACCAAGCATCTTGTGTCTACTAGCCGCTTCTCTTCCGATGGCAGCGTCGTCACATTATCTCAGGACATATTGTCGGACGGCTCGTCCGGCCGAGCAGACTCCAGCGACAGCACCCTCTTCGATGTGTTTGAGAGCGACGAATTCGACAGAGCATACCAGCAACACAGTCAAACAGCGCACATGGGAGTCCTCGACCCGGAGTACCAGACCTTTACGAGCCAGAACGGCTACGGCGCGGTCGTGTACACGGTCAAAGACGGGACACTGGTGGTATCTGGAGACCCGCTGGCTGCGCCGGAGCACTTCGAGCCTCTGCTAGAGGAACTTGCCCAGTTCCGCAAGAAGAACCGCCTCAAGATTGCTTTCATGGGCGTCAGCGAGACATTCGCCATGTATGCACAGAAGCGAAACTGGATCCCAGTGAGATTCGGTCGAGAGCGGGTGCTCAATCCAATGACCAACAAGATCCTTTCCAATCAGGGTGCAGGAAAGCGGATGCTTGCCCAGAACCGGCGACTGTTGGATCCGAAACGCGAGGGCATCAGCATTGGCATTTATGCGCCGGGCATCAATGGCATCGACCGATCAATGGAAGTCCAATTACAAGTCATCTACGACCAGTGGCGCGTGGAGCGCAACTGCAAGAAAGAGAAGGACCTGCAAACATTCGTCACGGTATACGATCTCTTTTGTCGACGGAACATCACCTTCTTCCTCTACACAAGCGACCGCGAAGGGCACGTCAACGGTTTCGCCGCACTGCGAAACGTTGGCGCGAAGAATGGCTTCCACCTCGACCCGTGCATCGCGTCGCCGACGGCGCCGCGCGGCATCACCGACCTGCTCATCGTCACGGCAATGCAGCTGCTTCGCGACACGGGAGTGTCGTACCTATGCCTTGGCCATGAGCCGTTCCTCGATCTGGGCGACATGCCGAACCAAGACGGCTTAAAGGCGCGCGTGGCTCGCGACATGTTCCACCGGGTGGTGGACTCGGCGCAGCTCGGCGGAAAGCGGACTTACAATAACAAGTTCCATCCCGACGAGTCGCAGTCGTCGGAGCTGTACGTCGTCCTGCCGGGGGGATCCTCGCTGCTGCGGCAAGCGGCGGCGGTGATGCACGTGGCCAACATCAAGATTCGGCGACTGTTGATATGAGAGACGGTATACCAGGACTGCCGTGTACGTGTATGATAAGGGGAATGGGTGCATCATGCTGCTCAGCATTAATAGGTAGCTTGCCAGCGAAATCTTAATTTGTTGATACCCTCCGTGCCGGAGCGATGACCGCGCTGAGGGTCGATGTGGAGTGGGCGTCTGGAGACTGGGGTCCTTGGGGTCTCCAGCTCTCGGCGTTCCTGTACGACCTGGTTATCCGGCCTATCGCATGATGAAGAGATCCCGGGAAGATGGCCAGCGGCGCTGGGACCGTATGGGGACATTGGCAACGCGCCCTGCTGCTGGTTGGGGGTTTGGGGGGTTCACGCACGCTGGACGGCTCCCGCGGGCAAGCGGCAGAACGGCAGAGTCTGGTGGCATGGAAGGGTTTTCCCTCCCCCGGCACAGCCACTACCGATTTCGGCAGCAAAGCGAGGGGAGGCGAAGGCGAAGGGAGGCGCCCCAATGCCGGGCTCCACCTGCTGGCAGTCAGGCTTGGAGGACGCCACTGCCGCTGTCCTGCAGATTCCGGGCCGCTTGGACTGGGCTTGGCTGGCCTGCAGGGCTGACGAGCAGGTGCCGAGTGCCGGCCCAGGCCAGACGTCAAGCGAGGATGGAATGCGGTCTTCAAACTGCAACGTTTGCGACAACCATGTTTACGGGAGCGGCCTGCAGCTTCAACTTCAACATCAGCCTCGAGATAAGCACCGTCACTCCATTACGCCCGTGGCCCCTCTCTCGCCAAACAACAACGGCCTCTTCGTAATAGCGGCCCATCTGGGCTGGCATGATCCGGGGACAAAAGTCTGCATATGGCCACCGCGCCCTCGCTGAGTGGCCCCAAGCCGCTCCCTCAGCTCCACCGCCAGGGGCGAAATTTTTCTCGGCCGCGCCATGACTCAAGCTTTTCTAGAAGCTTTCCATCCATTACGACACGGAAACACTGTGACGCGCTCCGCCCAAAGGGCCACCTCGCCGGTCAGTCCCTGCGGCGGGCCTTTTCCCCAGCGGCTTCCCCAGCAATACGGACTCGCGCCTGCTCGATGGATCTGAGACTTCAGAAAGGTTGCGGGGGGAGTGATGTGTAACTCATGGGGAAGGGCAAGCTGCGTTGTGCGACAGCGCCGCATGCGGCGTTGACGGTCGATGGCAGGTTACACGTGTGGAGGAGCATCACGAGACTGCCGTCGCTCGTCCGCCATCCCAGCCAGCCGTGACCCGGAGCAAATACGACAGATAAGGGCCTTTGCCATGTGGACCCCCGTGCCTGCCCAGGCCGGCTCTTGCCTCGTCTATCCGGCGGGTGGCTGATAAGGAGAGCGAAGAAACCGCCGGTGCTCGGTCGGTGAGCCCGGAGGTGAACAAACTCCTGGCGTGCCCCCGGCTTTCGTGCTTTTCGTTTCCACTTTCCATCCATCATCTTTCACCTTTAGCGTCAACCGCACTCCATCTAGCATCTGTCACTGTTGTTGCTGGCCGTGAACGCTTCGCCCACCTCGCTTCTGTTGTCGAACGAGGCCACCCGGTCTCACTCGAAGGTCCCGTCGACATGCTCGACCGCATCACCACTACGCCGGCTGGTGCCGCCGAGAACCCCAAGGATGGGCAGGAGAGCACTCGCAAGCCGTCGGCAGAGGTCCATCGCGCGCAGCCGGCCTCGGGCGAATCGACCGACAACGACATCCTTGGCGAGACGAGCGACGAGCTCCGCGACGACAGGCTGAAGCAGATCGCGGCCGAGGGCAATGCGCACTTCCATCGCCTTGGCTGGAAGCGTCTTGCGATTGTCACCATCGTTGAGGCCGTTGCCCTTGGCGCCCTCAGCCTGCCCTCGGCGTATGCTACGCTCGGCATGTTCCCTGGCGTGTTCCTCACCATTACGCTGGGCATGCTCGCCATCTTCACGGCATACATCGTCGGCCAGGTCAAACTGGCGTACCCCGAGATTTCACACTACGCCGATGCCGGACGGGTTCTTTTCGGCCGCTTCGGCTACGAATTGTTTGGCGCTGGCCTCGTTCTCGAGCTGGTCATGGTGGTCGGCTCCCACGCACTTACCGGCAGCATCGCGCTGAGCAACCTCAATGGCGGACATGTCTGCTCCATCGCCTTCTCCGCCATTTCGGCCGTCATTCTCCTGATTCTCGCAATTCCGCCCTCCTTCACCGAGGTCGCCATCCTGGGCTACATCGACTTTGGATCTATCCTTGCGGCCGTCGCCATCACCATCATCGCAACTGGCATTCAGGCCCACGATGCCCCGGGTGGCCTCTCAGGGGTGGAATGGTCCGCCTGGCCCAAGGAGGATGTTAGCTTCACCAAGGCTTTCGTCGCTGTGAGCAACATTATCTTTGCCTTTAGCTTTGCGATCGGACAGTTTTCCTTCATGGACGAGATGCACACGCCTAAGCATTACATGAAGTCCATCTGGGCATCCGGCTTTGCCCAGATCGCCATCTATACCCTGACTGGCGCGCTCTGCTATGCCTTTGTGGGCAATAGCGTCCAGTCTCCCGCGCTCTTGTCGGCGGGCCCGACCATCTCGAAGGTCGCCTTCGGAGTAGCCCTCCCCGTCATCTTCATTTCCGGCTCGATTAATTCGACCGTGGCGCTGCGCTATATCCACGGGCGCGTGTGGAAGAAGTCTATTGTGCGGTACATCAACACGTCGAAGGGATGGGCCGCATGGATTGGCGAGGTGACCGTGTTCACGATTATCGCGTGGGTCATTGCTGAGGCAATTCCCATCTTCTCGGACCTGCTTTCCCTCGCCTCGGCGTTGTTTGTGTCGGGATTCTCATTCTGGATCCCTGCTATCATGTGGTTCAAGCTGCTCTGCAAGGGCCATTGGTTCTCCAGGGAGAACTGCCTCATCAGCTTGGGCTGCATCCTGGCCTTTATCGTGGGAGTGGTGACGCTAGGTGCGGGTACCTACGCGACCATTGACGACATCGTGAGTCCCCCTTTCCATCAGCGAGGAGGAAGTGGCGTGCCGTTTGCTGACGCTGTTTCCAGATTAAGATGACTCGCGATGGAACTGCTCATGAGCCCTTTGCATGCCGACGGAGTTAGCGAGCGACCAGCATCATTCGATAGACATATATGTATATTTTCATGGATATGACGCGCACGAAGCGAAAAGTTATAGCTTTCACTAGCATCTTGCCTCCGTTGCAGTTTCCCGCGATTGGCCATGATCGGATGTTATGCTGAAGCGCTGTCCGTCTGCTGGCTCGCGTCTGCGTTGCTATTTGAAGACAAACAAAACGCAGATTCCGTTTCAGTCGAACAGCTTCTTGAGCTGGCGACATCTGTTATCGTTGAGAGCTACGGCAGCAAAGTGCTGGCTCGCCAGTCCGTCAAAGCCGTGTGGCAATCCCGGGTATAAATGGAACTCGGCCTCGACCCCGGCGGCCAGGAACTTGCCCAGATACGCATGATTCTCCAACGTAAAGATGTCGGCCTGGCCTATATCCATGTACAGCGGTGGAAGCCCTCTCACATCGTCGACCCTTGCTGGCGCAGCAGTGGCGGGCACCCCGCCTCCTCCAACCTTGTCGCCGAGATATGCCGTCCAACCGGTGATGTTGTCTTCGAGCGTCCACACGGTGAACTCCCCGGGCTCCGTCTCCACAGCAGTTCGGTCGTCGAGCATCGGGTAGAGAAGGATTTGTCGCTTCAGCGGCGGGCTGAGGCCACGGTCCCGCGCAAGGATGGCGAGCGCAGCGGCGAGTCCCCCACCTGCACTGTCACCCATGACACCGATACGGGCAGTGTCGACGCCAAACTCGACAGCGTTGCGAACGACCCATTGCAACGCGGTCCAGCAGTCTTCCAGTGGAGTCGGGTATGGGTGCTCGGGCGCGAGGCGGTAGTCGACCGAGAAGAACTGCACTCCGCTCGCGACCACGTACTGGCAGACGGTGGGGATGCCCACATCCGCACTCAGTGAGATGAAGCCGCCGCCGTGCATATGGATGACGGCGGGGCCAGCAGAGTCAGGTTTTGTGCCCTTCTTTTGGTAGCGGAGGACGCGGATCTGCGCTCCGTCTGGTGTAGAGATGCTGACAGCAGAGTGTTGGACCTCGTCCGGGATGGCGGGCTTTTGCGCTGGGACGAGGCCGGCCAACACCTTTCGCCTCGTCTCGACGTCGTGGACCTTGGGCCGCTCCATGCTGCCCAGAAACTGCATTATTGGCGCAATGGCCGCGGCGAACTGAGCGTCGATCATCCTTGCGGACTGTCTGGTAAGACTATGTGGTAGCGTATGACTGATGTGCTACGGTCCTGACGCGAAACGCAAGGGACTGCAGAGGCAGAGTGTAATTGACCAACGACGGAGATCTTCACTAACTGCGTCTGGGAGGCCTCGGTACTCCCAGCGGTTCCCATTTATGAGTGCAGAAGGTACAGTACTCCGTACCTCCGTCGGTTGGGATGCGCATTGCACCCCGCGCGCCCGTCCATATCGCCGCCTCAAGCCGACGGACTTTGGCCTTCCCGCCCACAGGGACGATTAGCGACGAAGCAGCAACAACCAATGCGGTGTCTTGTCATCTCCGTGCGCCCGGCACATCAGCCTGTGTTGGCGTGGCTGGCCAAGGCGGGCCATCAACGCGAGCAGGCACTCCGCGGCCGAAGCTCACGCCGCGGGTCCCGCGCAAATGCAAATGAACGACGCGCATCCAACGACACCAACACCAACGGTTGGCGGTCGCTAGGCATGGGAGGCGGTTCCACTGCGATCACTTGTGCCAATGCTGTCTCTTCGCTTTGACCCGGGCGAATGTTAAGCGAAAGAAGGGCCAGGATAAAACCTGAAACCAGCCTTCATGTTGGGCGGTTGGCCGGATCGTCGAGCCAACAACATATAATTACATACATTTGGACAACGGGCTCCGAGCGTGACAAAGGAGAGACGAAAGCATTCTCCTCGACCAACGTGTTTTCCGAGAATTATAGCACTGTCATAACCGTTGCTGAACCATCGTCAACCTGCTCGCCCCCAGAGTCACAATCATGCCAGCAACAACGTCCACGAACGGTGAGACGTCCGTCACCGCAGACGTCATCATCGTCGGTGCGGGATTCGGAGGATGCTATGCTCTTCACGAGGTCCGGCGCCAGGGCTACACAGCCAAGATACTCGAGTCTGGGCAAGACTTTGGCGGGGTCTGGCACTTCAATAAGTATCCGGGCGCGCGAGTGGACTCGGAAACGCCTCTCTACCAGCTTGGCCTGCCGCAGGTCTACGACAACTTTTCCTTTACCGAGCGCTTCCCCGGTAGTGATGAGATTCGGGATTACTTTGCGCACTTGGACAAGACTCTGGATCTGAGAAAGGACACAATCTTCAACGCCAGGGTGGCCAAGGTCGAGCATGACTCAACAACAAATACTTGGACTCTCACCACCGCTTCGGGTGTAACAGCAACATGTCGCTATGTCATCTTCGCCGCTGGGAGCAGCAACAAACGCTACATCCCCGACTTCCCGAAGCTCAGTGACTTCCAGGGCGAGGCGGTTCACCCTGCGGCGTGGCCGGAGAACCTCGATCTCAATGGCAAAAAGATTGGTGTGATCGGTCAGGGGGCGTCCGGGCTGCAGATTGTCCAGGAGCTAGCCAAGACGGACTGCGAACTGACAGTCTTTGTGCGCAACCCGTGCACAGCGATCCCAATGGGCCAGCGCGATATCCCCCGGAACGAAGCCGAGGAGCTCAAAAGCCTCTACGGGAGCCTCTGGCAGAAAGCCAAGTACGCAAGCGGTCACTGCTATGCGTACAACGACTGCCCGTTCTCGTTCAACGACCTCACGCGGGACGAGCGCCATGAGCTGTACGAGCGGCTCTGGGCCAGAGGAGGATACGCGTTCTTCTCCTCGCTGTTTCCCGACTACATGATGAACAAGACGGCCAATGCAGAAGTGTACGACTTCTGGGCGAGCAAGGTCCGCGCGCGCATCTCGGACCCCGAGAAGCGCGACATCATGGCGCCTCTCAAGCAATTCCAGTGGATTTGCGCGAAGCGGCCCAGCTTGGAAATGGACTACTACGAGATGATTGACCGGCCGAATGTCAAGCTTGTGGACTTGAAGAAGACGCCCATTCGAGAGTTTGTGGCCAACGGCGCGACGACTGAGGACGGCAAGCTTCACGAACTCGACGTGGTCGTGTTCGCAACAGGCTACGATTCCGTGACAGGAAGCCTGTACGACATGAACATCCACGACAAGAGCGGCGTGGTCCTGCAGAAGAAGTGGAAGGACGGAATCAAGACCCATCTAGGTATGATGGTGCCGGATATTCCTAATGCCTTTTTCCTGTACGGCCCGCAGGCACCCACGTCGCTCGCAAACGGGCCGCCCTTTTTGGAGCTTCAGGTCGAGTGGGTGACCAAGGTCCTGCAGCGGATGAAGGACGACGGGGTCTGCGCTCTCGAGACGTCACCCGCGGCGGCGGCGGCTTGGGCGGAGCTCTCGTACCAGATCTTCCAGGTGGTGCTGCATCACGAGACGCCGTCGTGGTACAACGGCTCGAATATTCCCGGGAAGCGACAGGAGCCGCTGGTTTGGTTTGGGGGCGTCAAGGGCTGGTGGGAGGCTTGTAACGACGCGCTCAAGGACTGGTCCAAGTTCACCGTGGTGCGATCGAACTAGCATCGGCCGCTGTCAATTGAGACGTATGATTATGAAGTCAACTCAGAATCCTTGAGGTCGAAATCTGCTCGTCATGTGACACGTAACTCGCTGCGTCACAGCCATCAACTGCGATGCAGAGTGGCAATGACACGGGCAGGCAAACAAGAGAAGCTTGTGAGATTGCACCCGAATCCACCCACTCGTTGCAGCTTGGGGCAAGATGAAATGCAACATATACATCACCAATGTGAACTTGAGCACATGTATACCAACTTCACAATCCGCTGGCTTTGATGCTGCAGATCAAATGTCGGATGGTTTGAACAGTGACATGGAGCCCGTCGAGACTTGTCCCTCCAGCAGGGGCCGCGCTGTAATTGCCATCACAGGTTTGCTGAACTTTCAGCACCCCGTTCCGCGGTCGCAGTTTCGCAGTGTCCGCCGACCCCGACCCCGAAGTCAAAAACCGCAGGAGAATGTGTGGCGCCGCCAGCGCCGGCGAGGCCCGACGCCAACACCAAGTGCGCCGCGGCACGCGCGGATCCCGCGGCTCAGAGATCCGGGGCGGCCGCCCGGTATGAAAGCCCGCGGCCACGCACCACGCGGACCGGCATCTGGGCACAAGATCAATGCATGCGTGGTCCCTTGATGATGCGCCATGGGAACCAACAATGTTATACCCCGTGCAGTAAGCTTTACCCCAGGTTTTCGAGATCGAAACAACCCCATGCCAATCTACTCTCCGTTGCTTGGCGGCACGGAAACTTGAAGGGTCTCGGCCGCTGATTTGCTCGCCGTCAGTGTCAAAACTGTCGCATCCGCAAGGTACGAAGTACAGTGTGATGATCGAGACAGCGTCTTTATCGGAAGCCGGGACGCCATTGTTGATTGATGGCCTCTGCAGATACGGTGCAATCGCCAGGTGCCATGCTCCAATTGCGTGACCTCTAGTATTCCCTGCCACGCCGTAGGACACTCAAAGTCGGCAGGGACGAAGCGGACCGTCTCGGACAGGCCTCTGCCTCCTGCGCCCACCAAGAGCGAGTGAGTAGTGACCTTTCCACTCAGAGCCTCGAATTTCCGTGGCTAATAACTTGTCGCCAGCAACAACAATCCTGAACTAGATACTCTTCAAAAGCGCCTCGCCAGGCTAGAAGAAACGCTTGAGAAAGTCCTGGCACAGAATGCGAGGCAGGATGTCTCGCCGCAACAGCCCCAACACGAAAGCTTCTCTCAAAAGGTGCAATCCAGTCACCATGTTCCATCCGCGAACCGCACGATCCCGTTCGAGGGCGAGTCGTCGTTTGGTCGTCAAGCCTACCTCGCCAGCCAGATCTCGGAACTCGCATCGCCCGAAGCCGCCAGCTCGCCTACGATCATGGATGAGCTCAAGGCGCTGCGCAATGTGATACAGGAGCAAAGACCCGTCGACCGACCGGTTGGCGGCAAACAGAATTCAAGCCAGCTCAATATGGAGCTGATACCCTCGGAATTTGTCTTGCGATTGTTCAGAGTGCTCAGAGGTTTGTACAGAGCGTCGAATGAGCTGCCGCGCGAGACCCAACGCTGACTCCGTCGCCTCAGAGACGCAGTCGCTGCTCTTCCTCTTCCACCCCGTACATGACCTCGCACAGCTGGAGACTTTGTGCCAGCGCATCTACTTTCCCGTCAACCCGCTCTCCACCGGAGAGTTGACGCTCTTCCACGGCATGCTCTACTTCTCCATGTGGGAGCTGCAGTGCGCCCCGGGCTCGGGCCTGTCGCCGGACGAGGTACAGCGATACCGCGACATCTGCTGGACAAACTTTCAGGCCGGCCTCGACACGCACGAGCTGGCCGCCATTCCGACGTATGAGAATACGCTGGCCTTGACCATGGCGGTATGCTTATCCACTCCTCTTCCACAGCAGACGGCTGACAATGGCAGGCCCTCGACTCGCAGTTACGGGGCAAGAAGATGCTGCAATGGAACCTCGTCTCCGCCGCGGCCAAGCACTGCCTCGCCCTGGGCTATCACCGCAGAGACACTTTCAACAACCTGCCGTTCTCCGAGTCAGAAACGATGCGCCGCCTCTTCTGGCACGTCTTCATGTCCGACGCGAGCCTGTCGCTGACACTTGGTCGCGCGCCCATTATCCAAGAGTACGACGTAGATGCGCCGCCTCTCACCGTGTCCAAGGACCCCAAGCGCGCCCCCTGGGACGAGGCCTTTGTGTCCTTTGTGCAGTTTTCGTCGATACAGACCAACATCTACCGGCAGCTGTACTCGCCCATGTCGCGCAACACCGACACTGTCGAGCGGCAGCACATCGTGATGAGCCTCGCGGAGAAGTTGCGGCAGTGGTATGCCGATTGGCACAAGATCGACTTTTCGAGCGCCTACCACAGCCATATATTCAAGACAACCTTTTCTGGCGTAGACGTCACGTATTACTCGGTGTTGACGTTGCTTCATCGAGGTGCGACCTCGTCGAACGCCATTGTCGACATATCGCCTGAGTGTTTCAAGGCGGCCAAGCAGGGGCTCGAGGCGCACCTGGTGTTTTATCCCCGTGCGGTCAATCTGGGCCCAAATGCGGTGTCCATGTATGCAGACTGGTGGGTGATCCCCTCGCCAGCGTGTGTTTGCCGCTCAGCATCTAGTCCCGCTGACCTTCAGCCAGGATCCTGCTGTTCACCTCCTTCACCCCCTACATCGTGACGTTCCTGCACTGCATCGGGAACTCGGATGCCGCCGACCTCACGCTGTTGCGCAGGGTCCTGGACTCCATCGAGCAGATTGCCTCCACAGTCGAGTCGTGCAAACCGCAGTACGAGCTCTGCCAGTCGTTGCTGCGCATCGCCGAGGCATTCATCGAGTCGCGATCCATGGATCTGGGCAGGGCAGCGCCACAACTGGATGCCGCGCTCACCTTATCCTTGCAAAATCCGCTCATTGACGATTGCAGTTGGAGCTACTTTCAGTCCACCTTGGATGAGTGGAGTGGCCAGGCGCTTAACACGGGGTCTTTTACGCTCGGTAGCCGCATTGACAGCCATGCCAACTGACTGCAGGCTGCCGCACTTTGCGCCAGTCCCCCTTCTATTGTCGTCGGTTTATGGGCGTTGGCGAAATGACTCCATCTACGACTTGTCTTCATCTACGGATTTTCTCCCGCCAGCCAAAACATTCACCCATAGTACATACTGCAGTCATCCGTACATACCGTATATAATCGTATAAAGTCATTAAATACCATCATGTATCGTCAGTTGCCCCTTTAACGTGGCCGGCCGTGCGGCAAGGCGCTTGGCGTCCGGCTTCCGCGACCCCAGTCATTGCGTAGCTGCCGCGGGTTCCGTGGCAGCGTCCGGGTTCTTCTTGGAGCCCGGACCCTGAGTGTTGGGCTCGCGCAGCGTTCCTGAACGAGCATGAAGCTATTGGCTTTGAAGGCGAAGCGTGAGCCTGGCGGTTATTAATCTCCCCCGCTTGTTGACGACGCTTCATGCACCCCGCAACGAAACCGCGCTTCGTACACGAGACGCAGGCACCGCAGACTGAGTAGAGCTCTGTGTCTGGTGGTTGAACAACATCTCCCAGACTGACATATTGTACAACTAACTGCTCAATTTGGCTCACTGTCCGGCCTCGGCTTTAGCTCGTTGTCGTCATGGCCTTTTCTTCAAAGCTCCTCGCCGGCAAGGTGGGCATCGTCACGGGGGCGGGATCCCCTCACGGCATCGGGCGCTCCCTGGTCCTCTCGCTCGCCGCTGCCGGCGCACGAGCCGTCTACGCCACGGACCTCACCCTGGCGAACATCCCTTCCCTACAAGAAGAGGTGCGCGCCGCGGGGTCGGCGTGCAAGGTTCACGGACAGATCTTGGACGTGTCGTCCGAGGAGCAAACTATTAGCGTAGTCAAGAAGGCCATCGCGGACCATGGCCGCCTGGACTTTTATTTTGCGAACGCGGGCATTGGAGGCTTCAGGTCAGTTTGCCGCCGAACTCCTCTCTTGATATCTCCAAACGGCTCGTCGTCCCCTCCTTTTTCGGCGAGATGGAGCACCGACTTGTGAAAACGTGTGGCGCTGACTGAGCGCCCCGGTGCGCGACTGCAGGACGCTGCAGGATACCAACGCCGCATACTACGACCGCGTCAATGCGGTGATGCAGCGGTCCTTCTTCCTCGCCATTCGCTATGCCGGCCAAGGTATGAGCAACCTTTCGGCGGAGAAGACGAGCCCGGGAGGTTCCATCGTGGTCACCAGCTCGATGGCCGGGGTTTCGGGAGGGGTGGCCGACATCTCGTATGGTAAGTTCACATCACCGTGTGTGTCCGATTTCGCCCTGCGGACCTCGCGCGTCTACTGGACGTTGCATGTAAGTAGGGATGTTGGCTCACACGCGACGGACAGCGTCCGCCAAAGCCGCCGTGAGCCACATGGTCAAGTCGGCGTCGGTGCACTTATCCTCGACACACGTGCGCGTCAACGCCATGGCGCCGGGCTTCATCCGGACGAGCATCATGGCGACGTCGCAGGCGGCGACCGAGGGCAAGACGCAGGAGCAGACGCCGCCGCTGAGCAAGGAGGAGGCGCTGCGGCAGTTCGACGCGACGCTCGGGCGGCAGGGCGGTGCCGGCAAGTCGCCGTACTACTACGACCGCATCCCGGAGCCGGGAGAGGTGGCCAGCCTCGGCGTCTTCCTGGCGTCGGACCTGGCGGCCGCAGTCAACGGCCAGAACATTGTTGCGGACTGCGGCAAGACGGCGGCGGCGTTTGGGGAGAGCATCATGGGACCTGTGGCCCCGATGACGCCCATTTAGCGGATAGACGCGGAATGCAGGAGCGTGCTGCAGGATGCATTGGTGATGATGGCACAATGGAATTCCGGGCAAGCTGCTGGGAGACCGGACTTCTGAATTCCTCGGTTGCTGTACAGTACGTGTCACTAACTCAGTACTGATATTAATACTACTGTACCTTGTCGTCATCCACGCAGGCGCAGCACCGAGACACTCCACTTGACCCGAGCCATGTCGCGGGTGTCCCATTCCAACGCACGTCAATGTTGCCGGCACAACGGGGGACGACCGGCGAAAGCAGACGGCAATTGTTCCGTTGACTCAGCGGCGCCGGGGCCAGACCTTCCGGAACAAGCAGTATTGACGCTATTATTGTGTCTCTGCTGAAACCGCCATCGAGTCATGCACGCGGGCTGCATCCAGGCTCTGGTGATGTGTGTAACTGTGTATCCACCGAGCGGCAGGCAGCTACACGCAGCGAGCGCGCCGCGTGCGGGCGCGGCAGTACGACACAACCTCGACGCCCAGCCTCCAGCTGTCGTACAGGACAATTCTTAAGCCGCTAGCAATCGTCACTGATGTGATTGAAGACTGCTTTGCGGGGTTTAATTCTGTTCCTCGTGGCAGACATGGCCGTCCTTGGTGCTGGTGATTCAAGCTACCCTGCATCGCACCTCAAGTGCGTGATAAAGAAGAAGCGCAGTCGGTAGGCACGATTGGGAATAATTGTGGCCGTTGCCATACATTACCCTTGCATGAAAGGTGTCTCGAGTTTGGCTAAGCTACGCGGCATCTATTGCGTGCACAATATTGCGTGTCTGTACATGGCAGCTCCGTGTCATCTCGCGTCCATGTCCCGCGTGTAAGCCGGGATAAAGGCCGGAACTGTCAATCCTCGCAAACTTCAAAAAACACATTGGCACCCAATCGCAAGAGTTCACAAGGATAAAGCAGGTTTCCATAGTAAAGGCCGTCAGAATCCGGGGGTCTTGTGTATTTGGCCCTCTGTGGGCATGGCGGCCAACGGCTCTCCGCAAGATGCCTGGAATCGAAGCACGGCACATTCCTTCATGTACGCCACTTACACCGGCATCGCCCGCCGCAGGCTAGAATCACCCATTATTATCCATGCCCTTCAGGCTTTCCAGTCGCAAACAACTCTCCATTCATTCACGCACCACTTCAACCGATATCGTCGCACGACAACAGGACCAACCCCCTTGTCCCATTGTCCTCTCTGCCCTGTCCCACCCCCAGCCGGATCGCCATCGCGGCGGCCTGGCATCTCCGCACTTTGTCCGCCGCTTGCTACGTCCCGCGCCGCGTGGAGTCTCCATGGACACGGGAATATCTCCCCTACTTTGTACGTAGATCGAAACATTCATCAACCTGCGTGGAAGACAGTGACGGCGGGCCGATCTGCGCCCCTCCGGCCCTCCCGCTCTGCCGCCCGGCCCCCGCACATGCACTCGCACCGCGCGCTGCTGCTCATCGGCCGTTAAGAGCGTTACAGCCTGTCTCCTCGTCCCCTCCACCGCCGCTGCGGCAGCCGGTCTCCACGCTTCCCCCTTCTCCACTGGTTGACAACTCTCTGCAGCCTATCGAACTACGCCCGTTGCTAACACCAAGGATGCACGATGGTCAATGACTTGTCTGCTACTTGTTGTTCTCTCATGCCGCTATGGATCCCGCGGGCGAGGTGCTGTGCGATGACCGATCGCTTCCCGTCCCTCGGCACTCATTGTTCCCGCTCTCGGCCGACGGCACGGCACATCGCGCATGGCGTACATGTACGCACGTATGTAGACGTGCGGGCTAGTCGACCTTGCCGCCTCGACGACCGACCACTCCATCCAATTCCCGTATACTGCGCGCGCCGGGTCGCCTGTTTGCGAGACGCACACCGCGTACTACACAACGACGTGACCCTCCGCCACGAGCGACTGCAGCGTCACATGGTGCCTGCCTGCCCGGTCCGCCGCCACGACGATGCACCACTTTCATGCAACTCACTCGCGCCGTCTCTCGCATCCCATCCTCACTGACACCCTTCGCGTCCCCGACTCTCCGACCCGGCACGTACAGAACTTGGAGAAGACCGAAGGGGGGCCGTTCGCGCCGTCGGAGCCGGAAATGACGTACGCCGTGCTCTCGTGATGTTCCTGCCCCGGACTTTGCTTCCACAAGGTCTGACAAGCGACGTGCCGGCCAAATCCCCGTTTGGCGTTGCATTCGCGTCGCGCCCCCAAACGACGCCGCCGGCCATCCACCAGGACCCTGTTCTGCGTGCAGGTGATGGGTGGCATGTCCGGGACACGAGAGGCCGATGGCCCCCTTGCCGCTGCTACAGTTGACTACTCGTATGTGGTGTTGCCGTGGCGTATAATAAAGGCGCCCCATGTAACAGTCTTCTGAGGGGTTGCGTGGACGGTTGAGGCAGAGGGGAAGCATTCAGACCCAACATCGCCATCGACAGTCCGCCAAGAGACGAGTGTGAACGAAAGGTCAGAAGTCGAAAGAAATCACACCATGGCTATTGTTACAGTGAGCGGCGGCATAATCGCCCTCGTCGGGGCGGTTCTGGCGCTGGTGCTTGCCCGGACCGTCGTCCAGGTCGCCCGTTCGTCGGCATCCAAGGTCCCCGGACCGTGGTACTCCAACTGGACGAGCCTTGTGCTTGATCTCCATTTCCTGCACGGAACGAGGAGCTTTTACGTGCATGCCTTGCACGAACAATATGGTGAGCTCACTCAGAGTATGGTCAAGGCTAGCTTGAGCGACTGACTTGTTGCGTGTCCAGGCCCCGTCGTGCGCATCGCCCCGAATGAGGTCGACATCACGGACCTCGAGGCCGTCAAGACGATATACACGGTCAAGGAGACGTTTGTCAAGTCGCAGTTCTACCGGCGCATCGTGTCGCCCGGGTCCGAGTCCATGTTCAGCACCGTCAGCATCGACTTCCACCGGCGCCACCGCCGGCTTCTCGCCTCGCCCATGTCCGAGTCGTCGCTCAAGGCCGTCATGCCGCAGATCCGCGCCCTGTCCGACCTCGCCGTGCAGCGCATCGAGGAGGAGATGAAGACGCGCGGGTCCGCGGACGTGCTCAAGTGGTGGCTCTTTATGGCGACGGATATCATCGGCCAGCTGACCTTTGGGGACTCGTTTCGCATGCTCGAGCTTGGACGTGTGAGTGCCCGCCGAACAATGCCCACTGACTGGCACCTCCTGTATCCCGAGATGGACTGATGGACTGACTAACACGCCGTGTAGAAAAACGAGTACGCGCATGAGCTGGAACGAGTTGGCCGCATAGGCGCCATTCGCGCCTCCTTCCCCTCCATCGTCAGCCTCGCATACAAGACGCCCTTCCGCCTACCCGTCTTCCAAGCCGCCGTAGAAGCCAGCCGCAACATGACGCGCTACGCGACAGACTCGCTCAACCGCTACCGCCGCGTTGTCGAGAACGATACGACGTTCGTGCAGCAGACGCTCTTCACCAAGGTCTTCAAGGCCGAGGAGGACGAGAAGATGCCCTTCCGCGAAGTCCGCGACGAGGCCCAGTCGTACATCGTCGCGGGGAGCGACACCACGGCCAACTCCATGACGTACCTGACGTGGGCCGTCTGCCGCCACCCGTCCATCCGTGACGCCCTGGTGAAGGAGCTGCGCACGCTGCCGGAGGACTACACCGAGGCGCAGCTGCGAGACCTGCCGTATCTGGAGAAGGTCATTGATGAGACGCTGCGGCTCTACTCTGCGGCGCCGTCGGGACTGCCGCGCGTGGTACCCTCCGGTGGATGCCAGCTGGCGGGATATTGGTTCGACGAGGGCACGACTGTCAGCACCCAGGCTTACAGTATGCATCGGGATCCCGTCGTATTCCCGCAGCCAGACGCCTTCATCCCGTCGCGGTGGGCGGAACCCACAAAGGCCATGAAGGACTCGTACATGCCGTTTGGCCGCGGCTCGCGTGGTGAGACTTGCTCCTCGCCTCTTTGCTTGAGTTGACGATGGTCGGGAACTCTGCTGACGGACGCTGCCCAGTGTGCATCGGGCAACACCTCGCCAAGATTGAACTGCGGCTCGCCACCGCGCGCTTCTTCCTCACCTTCCCGGATGCCCAGATGTCGTCGCTCGAGGGCATGTCGGACCGGGACATGGAGCCCAAGATCCATTTCCTCTCTGGCCCGTCTGGCGGACGGTGTCTGATCCAAGCGGCGTAGTTGAAGTCATATTAGTATGACCACCGAGTCCGGATGACACGGGAGGCGCAGCAAAAAGCCTGCTGCTCGCGCCAGAGTCAGTGATCGCAGCATTAGTCCGGGTTACATCTCTCCAAACTCTCCATAGGCCAGTCGCCACAGACGGAAGCGTTCCAAAAAAAAAAAAAAATGAAAGAAAATGCGCTGCTCTTGATATGTTCTCTATTAAATACACAAACTCCCAAATCATCGAATCATTGCGCCGTTGCCATTATGCTTTCTGTACGTTAATCGCCATTGATGGTACATGGAATGTGACGGGGTCGGCGGAAAAGTACGCCTCGGAGCCGAAACTGAGGTATCCCAGGTAGTGGCTGTCGGTGATGTAGTCGGCGTTCTTGAGCTTCAGGATCTCCTCGATGAAGGGGTACAGGTTGCCGTGGAAGTCATCCATGGTCTTCTGCGCTTTCCACGTGAGCACCATCTGCCCATTTCCGTTCTTGCCGGCGAACAGATCGCTGAAGGAGGACCGTGGTCAGCAAGGGACATCAAGGGCAATGAATCTGCAGGGCAACGAGGGTGACCCGGGGCTACTCACAAATCCGTGCCGTTGAACGTGTACTTTGCAACCTCGTTGCCGGCCTGCTCATTTACAGCCTTGGTTCCCGCACCGAGGGCGGCAAACCAGATCATGATTTCGAACTTGGCCTTTTCGCTCGACTGCGCCGAGGCCTTGTCTGTATCCAAGAACATGTCGACTGCCACGTTGGCGTTGACGTTTCCCTTTGTCAATGCGTCCGTGTCCGTTGGGCCGGTCTCATTGTCCAGTCTCATCCGCCACTGCATGTCGAAGTCGATCTGGGACACATCCTTGACGGCCTGCGGGAACACGTTGCCATCGACCTTAACGTTGGGGAAGGCGTGCACATTGTTTCCCGAGCCGCTAATAGGGTCATACTGCCACCAGATGGTCCACTCTGGCGCCGTGTGCTTGGTAGGATATGTCTGGTTGTTGAACGTAGTCACCTAGAGCGCAACATCTTAGCAAACCGCGAGGCTGAACGCTGAAGGTTCTGGCTGAGACGTACGTTCATGCACAAAAAGCCGGGGTCTCCCGCCTTGGTACCCCACTGATTGGGATTCACTGGGAACAAGGGTCAGCAAGATGCAAGTTGTGATGGCGAACAGGCCAAGGTTCCAGGGCGCCTTGGCGAACGGGTTCATGCAGAACACGGATCCCCAAAAGCCAGGAGATGACGCGACGAGGGAGCACGGATACGTGCCCACCGTCGAGTCTGTGCAACAATCGGGCCATTGCGCCGGATTACGGGGCGGTAAAACTCACGTGTGAATTCTTGGTAGCCATCCTTGACCTTGGGATGTATGCCATCCTCCTTCCTGCAGGACTGGACGTAGGTGAGCTTGTTGTTGACGGGGGGCGCGCCGCCAGGCTGGTCGGGAGGCTGGAACAAGGGCGGTCCGCCGGTGGCGTGTCGCTGTGCTTGGAGGCCGAGCAGGATGCCGATGGTGACACCTATGGGAAGGGCCAGGAAGCCGAAGTTGACGAGCCAGCGAAGCATGGTGGCGAGCTGGCGGGCGGACTGCCGCCGCTGGATCGAGGCACGGCGATCAGGCTTTTGTGGTGTTGGTGTTGCGAGCGAGCGAGGCAAGCGAACGACGACGGGTGGAACGGACGGGCAGCGAGGGCGGATCGGACGGATCGAGCGAGCGGACGCCGAGGAGGAGAAGCGAGAGGACGCAGTGAGAGCGGTCAATCGGGTGCAGGCGCGCGAAACGAGTGAGAGCGCGCCGGAGCGATCGATCAGTCGTCGAGGACGGGCGTCGTCGTCGCCGTCGTCTTTGTTGTGTGGTTGTCAAAGGGTGTTGTTGGTTCGTGACGAAGTGCAGCGAGTGCAGTGAGGTGCGCGGAAGAGTTCCATCCAGCTGCAGCGCCTACAGTGCTTCTCTGTCAGGTCGCTGGAAGAACTGAAGCGCCGCCCCACAACGGTAGAGTGTTCCCAGGCAATGCCCCGGGCCATTCTTCACCGGACGGGCAGACCTACCCGAGCACTGCCCTGCCTGCGTGCCCCTGCTGACCTAGGCGTCCAGCTGCTACGGTGCTCTACGGGAGGGTACCTCAAGGGGGCCTGAGGGCTCCGTTACGGCGGGGGGCGTGTACGTGCCAATACCACTAAAACCGGATCGCTGGCGGGGACATTACAGGGCGAGCTGGCGGCGATGCAACCCGGGACCAGGCCCCAGGGGATCACGATACCTCCAAAATAGCTCTGTGCCCCAGCGCTCCACCAGTACTCCGGCCGCAGCACAGCGGCAACACACCACCTCGTTAGCGACGTCAGCGCATGCAACAGGCTGCCTGCTCGTACAGCACTCCAGCGCAGGCACCGGGCACGGCCGCTGCTAGGCAAAGCAGCGAGCCACACCCGAGCGACCCGCCGGAGGGGCAATGGGGCCACTGCGTTTCGGTCGCTACCCACTCATCCACCTCATCCACCCGATCCTCTGCTCTCTGGCTCGCTGGCCAGTCTGGCTGCGCGCAAAACTCTGGTGGCCAGCCAACAAAGGCCCGTACGTCGATTCGTGCTCGAGAATGAAACTGGCCGCCGGCTGGAAACTCTGTTTGGCTTGGCAGAAGCCGACTGGAATCGCCGTTTGCCGCCAGCGGCGCGGCCTTGCCCCTTTTGGGCGGCTTGCGCCACGCCCGGCGCCGGCGATGGAGTGGAAACAGCGTAACAGCAGCCTCTTTTTTTTTTTTTCTTTCTCTCTCTCGTTGCGTCTATTACTTGGTCTTTCTTGTGCACGGCGCTGTGCGGCACACACAGTGCTGGGCTGCACGGCGTTGCGGTGTGGTGAGTACTGTGTCGATTGCGGACGGTTGCACCGGCCCTCAAGCTGCAAGCAGCCAACGACGACGGTTGGCGGCTGCGGGCTTGAAGCCACATGGGCTGCCGCGGCCGCAGTCGACGACGTCACCGGGGCCGGCAGATGAAAAGGGGCATGTGCAAGACGGGAGCGAGACAGATTTGAGCGAGTCGTGCAGGAGAGGAACAAGACGAGACAGGGGCAGCAGCAATCTCTGTCTTGTCGGGTTCCCATCAGGTTCCTGTCATGTTCCTGTCGTGTGATGGAGCACGCTGCAGGGCCATCGTGGCGCGACTCAGCACGCCATGGCGACACGGCAGCCAGCAGCTGCAACGTTGACGCTGTCTCCGATCCAGAGACACCCGCAAACGTGTGCCTGGCCGAGACACTCGATGAGGCTTAATCACAGGACTCGACGGGGCTCCCGCTATCAGTGAATCAACTCATCAAAGAATTGATCGCGGAAAACCATATCGAGCACAAGCGCCCGTGCTAAGTCTGGCGCCGATCGTGAGCTCGGCAGACGGCGACCGCATCCTCGTCGAGCATCCCAGGCCGAGCCAAAGCCCAGCTCCCCCTTCCCAGATCAGCTGTCGAGGCCGGCCCACGGCTGAAAAAAACCGGGCTTCGCGAAATGAAGGAGGAGACAGGCTTGCCAGCCAAGGCGCCGCCAGCTGAATCGTCGCAACATCTTCACTCTCGCCATGGAGCTGGCACCAGCAGAGTCGCCTCGGCCTGGACGCGAACCCCCTGACTAGCGCTGCACTGCCGGCGAACCGACCCTCACGTCCCGATTGCGTTGGCGGCGCACGTTGATTTGCTGGCGATTGCGCTGCCAGTGCCCACGCGCGATGGGGCCCGGTGGCATCGGCCGGGTGTTTTGTGTGCCAGACCATGCCCGCCGCCAGAGAGAGCCGCCGTCTCCGCCCCCCTGCGCATTTTGCCTCCGTAGCCGCAGCCTCCAGACCAGCCAGAAGCGGCCGGCCCGACGGGCGGGCGCGCGACGATCGCGTGTGGTTGTTGTGCTTTTGAACCTTGTGAGCTCTGCTCTCTGCCTCAGAGTTTGGAGCTAGCCCGCGTTCGTGCTGCGCGCTGGGATGGAGCTGGAGCTTGGCCGGGCCAGAGAAGAGGGGAACGCAGCTGTGAAGGATGGGGCGGGACGCACGGGAACAGCAATGGCATTGCATGGCATGCATGGACTGCATTTCGGTGCGTTGCGGAGGCGGCACGGCGAACGGTCCAGGTGACGACGACAGCCAGGCTTGATACGAAGTCACAGCCTCACCTAGCATAGCATCAACATGCCCCTGTGCCCGTCGAGGCGGCCTGGCCCAGTCGGACCGGATGGATAACGAACCATGGCGACCAAGGGAGCCCTGCCGGGAGCAGGGGTACAGCGTTGCTTGCGCTGCGAAGCGTTGCGATGGGGCCAGACGCGCACACACCTCACGCACACACACACACACCACCCAAGACGCACACCCCGGGCGGCGGGCGGGCGGGGAGGGGTTCCAGATGGCAGGCAAGGGGTCGAGAAGATGTGGATGGGTGGATGGATGGATGGAAGAAAAAAAAAAAACACGAATTTGCCAGCCGGCCTAAAAAAAGGTGCAGCCAAAGACGCCCAAAACACCGAGCTGCCGCGGCGCCACCCAATGGGACGCCGGCTCTGCATCGTATTTGTCTGGAGCTACGGGGTACGTACCTCACTTATCCGTCGCCGCCGGGCCTTGTAAACGAGCCGCCCCGCCGTTGCCGCCGCGGCGGCCACCGTCAGTCGCCGGCCGGTCAGGGAGAGGCAGAGGCTGCGGCTGAAGGATTGGGATAGCAGAGGAGAATAGGAGAATAACACCATGGGCAGCATCACCTGGGTTTGAATTTTCGCAGCATTCTCCGGCAGATGGATGGACGGATTAGTCGCTTTGTGTAATGGCGCGGACGACGTCCGTCCGCAACTAGCACGTCTCCCAAGAATGGACGTTTTTCGAGGTGGGCGGGCTGGGCTGCTTCGCCTCACGTCACGTTGTCGCTGTCGTGCTGCGTCGTGCCGAGCCAACAAATCCGAATCCAAATCCTTGCACGCTCTCGCGCTCATGGATCTTATTGTGTTGGTCAGCGTGATCTGGGCATCGCGCGTGCGATCCGCCACGCTGGCTCCGACGCACGATGCGCCCATTGCCCCTTGCCTCGCCTCGGTGGACCAACAACACACAGCGTCCCACACCGTGGCTCTCGTCAACGGCGCTGAAGAAAGACGGGAGCTCGGACAGCGGGCGCGAGCGCAGGACCAGGAACCCCCCCTGCAGTCGCCGTGGATTGATTCCAGCGGCGCAGCGTCTGCCTGTCCCAGCGGGTAACTTCTCCGCAGGCTTGGACGGATGGAATTGGCTTCCCTGGGAGGCCCCCCCGGCAGCGCCGGCACCACGGGACGCATCAACATGGCTGGGCTGTGAATCGGACGCTCGTATGCGTCGCGCCGGGCTGCTGCTGGTCTGGCCACCACCTGATGATGGATGACACGGCCTTGCCCAACTCGGCGTTGCTCCCCGCGGCGCCACCCTGCGGCACCTCGTGTTGCCATTGTGGACAGAGTCAGTCGCTCCGTCACTCAGTCAGGTAGCAATTGCGTGCCGACGGCGCCCTCTCGCTTGCCTGCTTGGTTGCTTGCCTGCATTGCCTGCTTGTTCGTTCGCCTTTAACCGCCCAGTTGCCCCCCGACCGCTATGCAGGCCGTGCCACCGGGCCAATGGGCGGCGGTAGGGCCAGCCAGCGGGAGGCGGGACGATGTGACGCCCGGGTGGTCGAGGGACGGGAAGATCATCGACGACCGTGCTGCTGCTTCTGCAGTAACTCATGGGATTCGTCGTTCGTTTGGTGGTGGTGATGTTGCCCCGGTGAGCCAGCCAGGCCACACGGGCAGGGCTCTTCGCTGAAGCTGACTGCCCGGGGAGTGCTGGTACCCAGGTACGCCTAGGCGACGGGACCTCCACCCGCACTTGGCAGGTTCGAACGCTGTGCTGGGCGTTGCGAAACCAGCCCGTCGAGGTTGCGGGTACCTCGATGCCCCGCCGCTGGTCGCCGGTCCCCCCCACTGGCCGCCCAATGCGAACACGCCGACGCCGCTGAAGTCCGCCCGCCGCCGCCGCCGCGACAGGCAGCACAGGCGGCCCAGGCGGGCATGGGCAGTGCCACCACCCACTCGCTCACTGGTGCAACGCAGGGACTTGTACAGTAGTACTGGATCCGTCCCGTCTCCTTCACCAAGGTAGGTACGGGGGGTGCAGCTCTGAACGGCACTGTACGGCGGATAGGCTGCCCACTGCACCAGCTGCAAGGAAAAGCTCGTTTCAAAGTACCTAGTAGCAAGTACCTTTCTTTCATCCAGCTCCGTACCTGCCTGGGACCCCCCCAAAGGCGCAGTGGCGGCTCCACTCTCCACCGCACTTGGTAGCCCGCCCAGCAGCTTCCGTCCACCCCGTCCGTCTCAGTCCATCCGTCTTTCACTCGGTCGACGCTCACGCATTCCTCTCCCACTCTCGTTCACCAGGTACACTCGTTTTTACCCATCCGAAACCTCTTCCGTCATACTCGCTCCCGACGGCGCACTCTCGACCTCCTTCTCCCGCCCAATTCGTTCGTTACACCTTACACCACACCACGCCTCACTGCTCTGCTGCTGCTCCTTCTCCGCCTCAACCGAGCAACGGTTGCGCCGTACAGCTCCTCGCAGCACGGCCTCTCTCGTTATCGCCGCCTTGAGATTGCTCCTCCTGCCCGGCCGGCTCGGCAGCTTCAGCAATCTCTTTAATTTCCGTCGAGCTCCTCCGTTCGCTTCCCACAGCAGACGCAACCTTCTTTCCCGCCCCTGATCTGGCCGTCTCATCCAGCAATCCACTCGCTTAAAAACACCGGTGGACGCTGCGCAGCGTCGCTACCGCCGCCATGAAGGGCTACCCTGAGGAGGAAGAGATGCTGGAGATCGGCACCTTCCAGCGCCGAAACCAGCCATCTCCTCCAGAAGACTATCACTCACAGTTCACGCGGCCAGTACGGCCGAACGCCCGGTACCCGAGGCCCTCGTCTTTCAACCAGCTCCCCGAGGATACCGTCTCGCCCAGCTGGCCCCCGTCCATTGCGGGCCGGTCCGACTCGCAGACGCTGGTCGACGGCCACGAGTCTCGTGCGAGCCTGCGGTCGTGGCGGACAGGAAACCAGACACCAGTCGATTCGTCTGCCTCGCCGAGATACCTGCCGTTTGCCGATTCGGGTCCCACGACGCCCATGGTACGACTGCATAAACTCCACTGCGTCCCTTGTAAACGGGCGAGCCGCAGACAGTGCTAACCAAACCTTCAACAGAATCAGAGCCACATCAGCCTCGCCGCGCTGCTGCCCGGTGGCCCGCAGCACCCGCCCAGTAAGGACTGGAGCGTTTCGTCGACCGAGGCCACGATCCAGGTCATTGACGAGCGCGACGATGCCGAGATCTGGAAGGGCTGGAAGCGCTACCTGTACAAGCTGGTGCCGGTCTTGACGTTCACCAACACGGCCCTGTACCTGCTGTATCTGGGTTTGCGCATCGCCTGCGTCATCTGGGCCCAGAATGACTACCACACGACCTTTGCCGCTGCCTGGATCTTCATCGCGGTCGAGATCGCCGTTGCCATACCGTCGCTCATGCACAACAGCTGGACCATGATGTCAATGAAGAAGCGCCGGAGGCAAAGGCTGCGCCTCAAGGGCACCGACGTTCCCACAGTCGATGTGTTTGTGACGTGCTGCGGCGAGGATGACGATCTCGTTCTGGACACGGTTCGTGCTGCCTGCGACGTGGACTACCCCTCCGACCGCTTTCGCGTCATTGTTCTCGACGATGCTAGGTCCGCGCCGCTCGAGGCCGCTTGCTCTCGCCTCAGCGCGATGTGCCCGAATCTCTTCTACATGGCCCGTGAGAAGATCCCCGGACAGCCGCACCACTTCAAGGCCGGCAACCTCAACTTTGGACTCGAGCAGTCGAATCTGCTTCCCGGTGGCGCTGGCCAGTTCATGGCCGCATTGGACGCCGACATGGTAAGTTCGGCCTCCTGGCGATGCGTGCGTTCTTCTGCGTAAATACTGACCGATCACAGATTCCCGAGCGTGACTGGCTTCGCGCCGTTTTGCCCCATCTCATGGTGGATTCCAAGATGGCTCTCGCCTGCCCGCCCCAGCTCTTCTACAACACGCCTCCGTCGGATCCGCTCGCGCAGAGCCTTGATTTCTTCGTCCACGTTATCGAGCCCATCAAGGACACGCTCGGCGTCGCCTGGTGCACCGGATCCGGCTACGTCGTGCGCCGCGAGGCCCTCGAGGAAATCGGCAACTTCCCGCTCGGGTCTCTTGCCGAGGATGTGGCCACCTCGACGCTCATGCTCGGCAAGGGCTGGAAGACGGCTTACGTGCATGAGCCTCTCCAGTTCGGTACGGTCCCCGAGGATTTCGGCAGCCACCTGAAGCAGCGCACGCGGTGGGCCATTGGAACCGTCGACACGTCGTTCAAGCTCAAGTTCTGCCTCTGGGGCGAGAAGGTGCGGCAGATGACGTTTGCGCAGCGCTTCTCGGGCTTCCTGTACGCATCGCTCAGCATGTATACGATCCTGCTTACGATTTCGCTCTTCGCCATCCCCATCATTCTCATCATGGGCAAGCAGCTGGTTGCGTACGCGACGCAGGAGCAGCTGCGCTGGCTCGTGCGAACGTGCTTTGCGGCCACAATTTCGAACCGACTGTGCGAGTTTGTCCTTTTCATCCCCGCGGGCTACCACACGGGCCAGCGCGGCTCGCGCTACCAGCTGTGGATGTCTCCCTACATCGCGCTGTGCCTGATCCGGGCCTTTGTTCTGCCCAAGTGGCTCGGCGGTGAGGTCCAGGCGTTCAAGCCGACAGGTTCGCTGGCGTCGGCGCTCAATGAGCGTGACCCGGTGCTCAAGAAGAACATGCTGCGCCGTCTCTGGGCGATCCTGGTCAACTACATGGCCATTTTCCACCTGGCGTTTGTGTACCTGACGCTGGTGGCGGTGGTGCTGACGTCGTTCCGCTGCTTTGCGCTGCAGGAGAGCACCCGAGACCTGCTGCAGTGCCTCATCACGCACGCCTTCTGGCCGCCGTTGACATTCATCTTCATCTGCAGCTCGCTCTGGACGCCGGTTGCCTATGCCATCGACCCGCCGATGATGCCGGACCGCGAGCAGTTGTTGGAGCGCGACCCTAAGACGCTGGTGGCGCACCCGACGCGCAAGAGCAAGAAGATTGCGTTTGGCGGACAGGCGGCGTGGTTCGAGTTTGAGCTCACGTTTTCGACACTGTACACGTGCCTGATTTTTGTCGCCTCATTCTTTTTCTAGGGGACTTGACAGATGACGCGGAACTTTGATGCGGCGTCCACCTCTGGCCGAGGTGGCGTCGGCAAACGACGAAACACGAGCCGCGGCGTGCTCGACGGCGACGATTTCATGCGGGCGGCGCAAGATGGAACCACACGTACACGATCGGTTCGTTACATAGATGAGCCTGAAGGAGGCGACGACATGGCGGGACACACACTTAGACTTTGCAATTGCTGGGACGGCGTCACGGGTGGGCTTTTGTGATTGTTGAACATGTTGGGCAGGTAACAAACGGCACGGCATGGGCATTTGCGGCTATCGTTGCGCGGGCGACGCTTTGTCGTCTGCACTTATTTCGCCAGATATGGCGTGTAGCATTTACTGTGAGATAATGGCACGGGCATTATTAGGCACAAATGATTGTTGAGGGGAGAGTTTTGTCCCCTTGACCGGTGTAGGGTGAGTCGTCGCAGACGGGACGCGCCACTTTGCGCGAAATTGGTGAAGCATCGTGTTGAGTGTGCAGCATGCATGAAGTCAGCTCAAAGAACACCATTCAGTGCCATTACATTGCCAAACAAGAGCCGCCGCTTGCCGTTCACTTGTTTGGACGGACTGGTGCTCACTCCACGCAAAGGGCGCACCATGTCGTCGCCCGATTGCGGAGGCCGACCCGACCCCAGTGTGTCATCGCCGGATGGATCCCACAAAAGCCCGGTGAGCGCCGAGCCATGTGTAACCAACAAATTGCTTTCATCAACACTCATCAATTGAGCGAGCCAGGACACGAGCGGCTTCCCTCTACCGACGCGGGCAAACGTGCAGATCGATCAAAAAGGCTCCGCCCATCATGACGCAGCAGAAGCAGCAGCACCTCGAGCACGGCCAGCCGGTCGGCCCCCCGGCCCCCGCGCGGGACCGCGACGCGCCGGTCCCCTTCCCGCCGCACGAGGCGCTCGTCGGCAAGACGGTGTCGCTGGTGCCGCTCTCGGCGGGCGCGCACGCGGCGTCTCTGTACGCGCACCTCGGCGGCGAGGAGAACCTCTGGCGGTGGACGTACATGATGTCGGCGGGGTGGCGCGACGGGCGGGAGTGCGAGGAAGCGTGCGAGGCGTGGAGCAAGGGCACGGATCCGCAGTTCTACGCCGTGGTCAAGCAGAGCAGCGGCGAGGCAGTGGGCATGATGTCGTACCTGAGCGTCGTGCCGGCGCATCGGCGCATCGAGATTGGGTCTGTGATCCTGGGCGACGCGGCGAAGGGGAGCAGGGTCGGGACGGAGGCGTACGCGCTGCTCGTGGAGAGTGCGTTTGCGCTCGGGTATCTGCGCGTCGAGTGGAAGGCGAATGCCTTTAATGCGAGGAGCCTGAAAGCGGCGCGGCGGCTGGGGTTCACCTTTGAGGGCATCTTCCGGTGAGTTTTTGAAACGCCCTCTCTCCCACTTTCATGTTCGCTGTCTTCGGCGGGTGGCTGGATGAAGAGCAGGATGAGAGGAGCATGACTGATGTTGCCACGGCAGAAAACACATGGTCGTCAAGGGCCGCGAGAGGGACACGGCCTACTTTAGCATCACGGACGAGGAGTGGCCGGCCGTCAAGCACGGGTTCGACGCGTGGCTCGCCGACGACAACTTTGACGAGCAGGGCGTGCAGAAGAGGAAGTTGGAGGAGTGCAGGGGCGAGAGCAAGAACTAACTTGGGCGCTGGAGTACATACATGCATAGACGACAATCGCGGACAGAGTGAGCAAAATTAGAAAGAAAGGCATATATACACGCTTCGTTGAGGGGCTGCCTGCTTGGATCCATGGCAGGGCGCGCCTTGAGGATAGAGCAACATACACATACACGCTTCGTATAGAAACAGCTCGCTCACTGTCAATGTCGCAACAAGTCCATCAACCAACTAGTCCTCATTCTTGAGGATGTCGTTCCACTGCATCCTCCGCACCAGCTGCGCGCACAGCACCGCATAGCTCGTCACCACCGCGCCCACCAGTGCATCGCCGTCGTCGTCTGCCGGGGCATACACGCGCAGCACGTCGCGTCGCGTCCCCGAGCCCGCGCCAGAGCTCTTCCTCGTGCTCCATGCCCCGTCATTTGCGGCTATGAGGCGGTCGTAGCCGTCCAGCAGGACGAACCGCGCTATGGGCTTGGGGCGCGCTGTCGTCGCGCCTCCTGGTCGGCCTTCCTCGACGTCGTCGGCCGTGATGATGCGGCGGACTGTCCAGAGCAGGGTGCTGCTGCTGCCCTGCGGGCCGGGCACGAAGAACTGTGGGCACTGACGGGAGAAAACTTGTCTGTCTTGGCCAACTTTACAGTCATACGACAGAAACGGCGGGGTCGAGGCCGGTGACGGGTTGTTGCTGTCCTGCCGTGGGAGGTATATGACGGTGTCCCACGACTGTTGCGTGAGCTGGCCCGCACCGACACATCGACTGGTACGGGCGTCGACCACGGAGAGGCACGAGTTGGCAAAGGCCCAGCGCCGCGGGATGAGCTCGGACGCGTCGAATTTGCCTGGCCAGAGGAACCGCGCGTGGAAGGCGCCGTTGGGCTCGAAGGCGTTCAGGCGGTCGATGCGATGCAGCTTCTGGGTCCTCGCTGCGTTCCACACCGCACTGGGAATGCCGTCCGTAGAGTCTGGATCAACGTGGAGTGTCGTCGAGCTTCGAAGATGTTGGTAGCGGTGGGTGTGATTCGCGATCAACGATTTGTCTACCGGGCCGGGCGGACCTAATGGGGATGGACAATACCGGACGCCGGAACGTTCGCTTTTCGGCTCTCGATGCTGCCTCATATCTGTTGTATTGTGGTTACTTGAAGGGAGCGGCTGCAGCGTCGCCTCCTTGGCGTGGATATAGTGACCCCGTGGTCCGGAGAGGTAGACGACGAGCCGTAGGCCGCAGCGCGAGCAGTAATGTGTCACCCAGGCGCCGCCTGGGCCACGGAAGTGCTCATATATGGGAAAGAGCAAGATGCCGAGATAGATCATCATGAACATACTGCGGTCACTCATATCAGCTCAGTGAAAGAATGGGAGACTGACGGTCAGGCTGCGCACTCGACTTTCCGATACGGCTCGCGGATGCGCACCGTGAGGGCGGTCTGGCGACATGCCGGACAGGTGACGACCCTGCGACGGCGTCTGAGTTCTTGCAGTGGCACGTTCCCGGCCATGATGTGCGAGCGAGCCCTAGAGCTCGGCTGATGAAGGGTGACACCATGATCGAGGATGCGACGATCTGGGCTCTGCCGCGTTTATATCGTGTTCACCAGGGCGTGTAAGTGGGTGGACACGTGCGCCGGGACCAGGGTCGAGTGGCCCGTGGGGGAATCAGCCTTGTGGGTGGCACAACACCCCGGGCGCGCATGAATCACCAGGGAGATCCATGTCCTGGGATGGGATCGTCGCGGGAACAAGCAGCACGGGCGTGGCGTTCATGCCGTGGGTATTTGCATGAATGTGTCAGCTGTCTGTTGGGTCGTTGCTTGCTTGTGTAGCCCTTGGCGCAGGGTCCAGCGATGCGTTGCGCCAAGGTTCATGCGCCTGACGTGTGCTAGAGCTTGGGCGAGCTACTGCCCCAATGCCTGGAGTTTAAAGGCGTAAACTACTTGGCATGATGGGTCGCTCGTTGCGGACGGTGAATGAGTGAATGATACAAAGACTGAAAAAGAGCACCGAGACAGCCTCGGTTCAGATTGGAGCAGGACGACAATGTCGTGAGACTGTTGTTTCAGGCGCCGAGACAGCTGAGGACAAGAGGAGAGTCTGCTCGTGGGGGAGCTGAATGTGGGGTGGGTTGAGACTTAAAACTCGCATCCATCCACTGCGGGCCTCTCTCTGTCTCCCCTCAACTCCCCGGATGATGGCCTCCTGACTGTGTCCTCGGTAACCTCGACCGGCGATGACTCTCTGCGCCAATGGGCCATGCCGCGTGTGTACAACAAAGAAGGTGAGTTCACGTTCAATCCGACGGCGAGGACGCTGCTAACATTCACGCGAGCCTGGTGAGACCAACTGTCTGCTCCTCCATGACCAATGCTTGTGCTGAGCAGCCACCAGCGACACTTGTCGCAAGCGCAAGGTGAAATGTCCGTCTGCATCTCACCAGCACCGAAACTATTCTCGCTAATAGCTCTTCAGGCGATGAGGTCCGCCCGGTGTGCGGCCTGTGCAGCAGCAAGGGTCTGTTCTGCACCCGCTCCGAGAAGCCCGTCACCTTCATCCAGCACGGCCTATCCAAGCGCAAACACGCCGACCCGGAGCCGGCCATCGCCGTCGCGTCAAGCCCCCACGATGCGCTGGCCCAGGCCGACGTCGCGGGCGCCTTCCACCACTACATATCTGCCATCGCCGCCTGGTACGACCTCGGCGACCCGTCGCGCCAGTTCGCCACCGTCGTCCCGAGGCTGGCGCTGGACGAGCCGCTCCTGTTCAGCGGGGCGGTGGCCGTCGCGGCGATGCACCTCGGCAAGACGACGACTGGGGCGAAGGCGACCCTGGCCATTGCGAGGGTGTATCACGCCGAGTGCGTGGGCAGGCTGATTGCCTTGGGGGAGGGGAGCGCGCTGCTGGAGAATGGGGTTGCGCTTGCGACGGTTTGTCTGCTGCGGTCTTATGAGATTCTTGATGGTAATGACGAGATGCCTGTTTGATCTGAACCCTGCGATGGCGCTGATGGCTGACTGACTGCGACAGAGGACGTCGACCCGAACCGGCATTTGCAGGGCGCGTACTCGCTGGCCTCGCGCCGCGGATTGCTCAACGACATGTCCAGCCAGCTCTTCACGGCAGGCTTCTGGAACTATCTCCGCGAAGACATTACGTTTAGCCTGTTCGAGGGCTGCCCTCTCAAGATGGACCTGAGCGAGGTCGTCGTCCCGTCACATGCCCTCCCACCAGGCCATCTCCACACCGCGTCGCTTATTCTCGGGCGGTTGATCAACGCTGCATTCGAGCGGCCGGTCGAGGACGAAGAATGGATGGAGCTGATGAATGCCACGACAGCGTGGTACCAAAGCCTGTCCGCAGCGCAGAAGCCGTTTGGTCGGATAGAGGGCGCTGCTGGAGAATTGGCCAAGGTGTGGTTCCTGGAGGACTCACACGGTAAGTATACCATCACTGCCGAGTGAAGCGATGCTGAGTCTCATAGCGTCTGCGATGCACTACTTTTTGACCATTTGCTGTATCCTCGCGATATCTGCGTTACCGGAACGGCTCACCCATCTCCCGCCTCTGCACAGCGGGGTCAGTATTTCCGGTCAGAGTAGGGAAGACTTGCTCGATGGCTATGCCTCAGAGATTTGCGCCATTGCCTTTACGACGCGCATCCCGTCGGTGCTCGTGAATGCCTTTGGGCCGATATCTTACAGTGAGATCAGCGGAGCGATGTTGACGGACGTTTGGGGATGTTCGCGCTGACATGTCACAGGCGCCAAATACATTCGGAATGAAGCTGTACGGCAGGGCGTCCTGGGCAACTTGACGGGTTGTAAGAGGGTTATTGGATGGCCGGTGGGGAGGCTGATGGACGACTTGAAGGCAGCGTGGACGACGACGGGAGGATGATATCCTCTGTTGCTGCCCGCCCGCTGTGTAAGTGGCTGTAGGGGGACAGCCAACTGAAGATGCGAGACGTGGGGTGGTGGCGCCCTGAAGCCCTCTAGGCCGGTTTCAGCACCCAAACCCGACAGGCGGAAATCGCATCCTCGACGAGACCGCGACCTGCTGGCTATAAGAAGAGGGCGACGACGACACCATTTCCCTTTTCCGCGATCTTATCCTTTCAAGGCATACAAGAGTAGCCGAGCCATTCCAACGGGTGTCGAGATGCTGTCCCTCTATCCACTGGCACGCCGCGCCGCCGTGCGGTCGCTCGGCCTCACCAAGTCGACTTACACAACCGCCGCGGCGCCGCGGCTCCCCATCGTCATCACTCCATCCGCGCAGGAGATCGCAAACAAGCGTCTCGACGCGCGGAACCTCGAGCGGGCCGTCCGTCATGTCCACCTGGACGGACTCGTCGTGGTGAATGGAGTTGCGCCTCACGCCGAGCTGGACATTCTCAACGCGCGCATGGTCAAGGACGCGAGAGAGCTTCAAGCCCGCGGCGACAAGGGGCCGTTCAACTACAACCAGGGCAACTTGCAGCTCGATGCGCCTCCCGTGGCGGAGTTCTTCTTTCCGTCAATCTTTACCAGTTCGTCGCGTTCCTCTCAGGCTTGTGGGTAGCACCAGACTAACCGTCGTGCAATCAGACAGCATCGCAACTCAGATAACCTCGTCTGTCCTCGGTCCGCGTCCAAAATGGACCTTTTGCTCTGCCAACGCCGCAATGCCCCATCTGCCCGGCGCGTCTCCGCAGAGACAGCCCGTCCACTCGGATGCCGACTTTGCGTTTCCGTCGCACCCATTTGCGCTCGTCGTGAACGTGCCGCTCATTTCCATGGATGCACGGAATGGGTCTACGGAAATCTGGCTGGGGACGCACACCCAAGACGTGTCGGCGCAAGAAGGCGCTCACGGTGAGCGCGCGAGTGGGCGCATCAAGGAGCCACTGCTGAGGGACGGCAGCTTCAAGCCGGTGCAGCCCAAGATCGACAAGGGGGCGGTGGTGATTCGCGACCTGAGGCTGTGGCATGCCGGAATGCCGAACTCGTCGCAGGATGTGCGCATTATGCTGGCCATGATACACTTTGCGCCGTGGTACCGGAACGGAATGAGGCTGGAATTGGGCGACGATGTGAAGCCGCTGCTTGAAGACCTGGAGGCCCGAGGCGAGCTGGGGCTGGAAGTGCCGGTGGATTGGGTGTCACGCGATGAAGCATTGGACAGGTACATGAACCGCGGCTTTGGCAACAGCTATGACTTCGATCAGGAGGCTTAAGACTGTAAGGTGCAAAGGCTCACTTGGTCCGCACCGGCAAGAAACAAACCAACGCAGCAATGAAAGCGCAGCTGTTTGTAGCTCACGCAATCCAGAACCAGATCCTCTCCAGCCAGTTGCGCGGCTTGACCACCTTCCACGTCGGCTCCAGCCGGTCAATCTCAGCCTTGCCCGACCAAATATCCATGTCGGCGAGCTTGACGAAGCTCGTCCTCTTGACCAACTTGTACCCGAAAAACAGAGACAAGAAGATGGGAATGTCGATGTACGGCGGGATAAATGACTTGGCACTAAACTTGCCGGGGAAGAAGGCGTCGAAGCCGTTGAAGAAGGCGACCACGAGACAAAACACAATGGCAAAGTAGGCAAGGAACGGCTGCAGCGGCGACTTGTACGGCAGGGTGTCGCGCGAGACGCCGTTGTACCGCAGGCCGTAGTAGAAGCGCAGGTACGTGTACGACACGCTCGCCCACACGATCAGCGTGCTCACGGCGCTGAGGTTGCTGATCCAGAAGAACACTTCCGAGGAGCGATTATTGACGTTGAGGTAGACGAGGCAACTCAGTGCCGTAGTCGCGGCGACGCAGCCGTATGGTACGCCGAAGCGCTCCCACCGCAGGATCCGAGGCGCCTTGCCGTCCAGCGCGGCCGAGTACAGCACGCGCGTCGACGCATAGAAGAACGAATTGCCCGCAGACCACGCCGACGAGAGGACGACGGCATTGATGATGGACGGCAGTGTGCGAATCCCGGCGTTGGCGATGGCGATGACAAAGGGGCTCTGTGCGGCGCCGGGGGCAGAGCTGCTGATGGCGTTTAGGAGGTTGGGGTCCTTGGACGAGACGCACAGCCCGACGAGGAAGATGGAGAGCACGTAGAAGATGGCGATGCGCCAGAAGACGCGGCGAATGGCCTTGGGGATGTTGCGGCGCGGGTTCTCCGTCTCGCCCGACGCGACGACAACCATCTCGCTGCCGCCGTACGAAAACGTCGCCTGGATGAAGACCTTCCAGAAAGCCAGAAACCGGCCCAGGCTGCCCTCCTTGAGGTACTCGTTCATGGGTCCCGGATCGCGCCAGTAGCGGAAGCCAATGGTCTCGTGCGAGGGACCGCCCCCGACGGTAAGCACGAACATGAGGATGATGAGGCCGACAATGGTGGTGAGCTTGATGGCGCCGAAGAAGAACTCGGCTTCGCCGTAGATGCGCACGGGGAGGCAGTTGACGAGCACCATGGTGAAGAAGAAGAGCGTTATGAGCGCCGCCTTGGGCAGGCTGTTTTCCCAGTAGTCGACGACGACGGCGCAGGCCGTCACCTCGATGGGCACCCCGATGGCGAATTGGTACCAGTAGTTCCAGCCAAGGGTGAAGCCCAGCGCCGGGTCGACGTAGCGCGCGGCGAAGACGGGCACCGCACCGGGGATGGGCAGCCACGCCGCCATCTCGCCGAGCGACACGATGACGCAGTACAGATTGAACCCCGTCGCGGCGTAGCAGATGAAGGCCGACAGCGGGCCCGCCAGCGAGAGCACCTGCCCGCTGCCGACGAAGAGGCCCGTGCCGATGGCGCCGGAGAGGGCGAGGAATTGAACATGTCGCGACTTGAGCCGCCGCTCCAGCGTTCCGAGGTTGCGCGTTTCAGCATCAGATTGCTTCTCGTCGAACGCGATGGAAGTGCCGTCTCCGTGAGTTGCCTGCGGCTTTATTGCGTCGTCCTGCTGTTGGGACTCGACGTCCTGGGACTGGATGTTGTGAGCCATGCTTGGTGCGTAGTGTGTAAGTCGTCGCCCGCAGCAATTAGGCCCAGTCGTCGGCGTCACGAGTATCGCGGCCGCCCGAGACAGTCGCAAGCAGCGCAACGAAACACTGCCCCAGCGAGGACGAGCGTGAATTGCCCGACGAAGGATTCACGAGAGAGGGGTTCAAGACGTCTTTATCACAGAAGCCCCCCACGGAAGCGTCAGACCAACGTTGGGCCATGCGAGATCGGCAGACCATCGTGCTACGCCGCTCTCATCCCCCGCACTTGAACATGCGGAGAAGCCGCATGTACGCCGACGTCTGACCATCGCCGGTGTCGATGAGAGGACTAATGCAAGTTTAATGCCAATTTGGTGGCACGCGGGGTCTGGCCATGGGTCCTTGGACAATGGGAGCTTGTCTATCTCGGTGCATGTCGCAGCGAGAAGCCGTCCTGCTCACCACGCAATCCTGGGCTAAAAGGAGAACCTACATTAGTATTGTTGGCTGGACGGGGTTGTGATCGGTGCTCTGGCGATACGGTCCGCGGCGCCAGAGGAGCGGCAAACTGGAGGAGGATGATCCATGCCAACATACAGGTTCGGCTCGTCGGCCAACAGGCCCGTGAAATGTAATGGATGGTGTTAGCCGTGCCTGATGAAGCCAGGACACCCTCTCATTGGCAAACCATCGATACTCACTCTCAGTCGGATCTGCGAGGATACGAGGAGCCAGCACTTACATACGGGCTGGGTCCGCGCCCCTCGGCCCTCAGGACCTAACACTCAGCGCAAGCCGACTCTCCATTCTTACGTATGTCCTGATCCGTAACGGCATCGCTTTTTCCAGGTCGTTTCCCGCGGGGAGGAAGGGGTTCGTGTTTTGCATGTGGGATAGCGTTTGAAGCGACTCGGTAGAGACAGACGAAGTGCATGAAGAAGAGCGACAGAACGCGCTCGGCGACGCGAGCAGATGACGCGGGGCGGAGGGGAGAGACTGTGTCGTCGATGCAATCCGGCGCTGACGACCGCTTGCTTCGGGGCGGGCTCCCTGCCTCGGCTCCGGCCCGGCCTCGGGGACTCAATTCATTGAACGTCGGTCGTTGCCGCAGGGCCCGGGCGTGGTTCTCAAAGTGGCGCTTTGAGAGCCATCCGCAGCAGGAAGAACTGCCCAGCCCGGAATGCCAAGATCACCTGCAGCGGTGATGCGCTCTCCTGTCGCACTGGCCCGACCAGCTCCCATCGCGACCCTCCCGCGGTTGCGCGCGCAATGGAAACGACAACTCCGAGACGTGACCCGGCGAAAGGGCCCAACATCGCCTCATCGATGGACCCTATAAGGCTATGACCCCATACTTTCAACATGGCCACCTTCGACGCTCCTCCCCTGGCCCGCTCCAAGGGCGCGCCGCAGTCTCCACCGCCACCAAGCTGCGACGACATGCTCTGGGGGAATGGCGGGGCCAATTCAGCCCAGGGCGCGCTGGAGTCGTCGAGACATTATTAATGCAACGCGCTGCTTCAGCAGTCCAGCAGAAAGAACTGGACACGGCACGCCAACCCTCATCTGGAGATCTGAAAACTGGTCGCTGACATGTGCACCATTACGTAGCTACAGATCTTGCTAGAATTGCGGCTTGCATCACGATCTACCGCCCACTACGACAGGTTAGGCTGGGAACGCGGCTCGCCTGGGACGGCCAGGAGATTTGGGGGCCATGGCCCATCAACTAGACTTGATGGGTTGAACGTGGGAGCTATAAAGCGGCACGTCGTCGCCCCCTCTTACAGTGCTGTTGGAACACGGCTCAGCTCCGATTTCAACACTCCCCTTCATCATGTCGAGAATCTTTATGTAAGTATGTCCAGTTCCCGTCGCGTTCTCGACACCAAGCTCACCCGAGACAGCACCGGTGCATCGGGGTACATTGGCGGGCAAGTCTTGCACGACTTGGTCGCCGCGCGACTTGACGTGCGAGTCCGCGCCTTGGTTCGCAGTGAACAAAGCGCGAAAGCGATATCTGCGGCCTTCCCAAGCGTCGAGACAGTCTCCGGCGACCTTGACAATGCGGCCGTTATAACGAAGGAGGTGAAGCAGGCAGACATTGTACTTCGTACGCGGCCCCTCATGTTCCCCGCCTGACGGCGCTCAATGGCCTGGTGCTGACGGTTCCGCGTAGACCTTGCTGCAACGGGGCATCTCAAGAGTGTGCAGACAATTCACGAAGCGTTGCAGGCGAGATCGGCAGACAACCCGGGTAAGGCCAGATCTCTTGCGAGTCTATTACTTGCAATTGATGACTGAAGCATGGCTCTTACTGACGCGCTGCAGCGTACTGGTTACAGATCTCTGGAGCCAGCGCCCTGGCCGCCGGCGAGCTCGCCGATGCCTCCTACGTCCCAGGGTCACCCAGCGACGCTATTTTCGATGACCTCGACGGCGTGTCGGACATCATCGCCGTCATCAAGGCTCACGCCTCCCGCGCAGTCGACAACTATGTGCTCGATGTCGCCGCAAGCAGCCCGCAGGTAAACACGGCTCTCGTTTTCCCCGGCATCATCTACGGCCAAGGTCAAGGTCCCGTCAACCAGAGAAGCATCCAGATTCCGAACCTGGCGAAGGCGGTGATCCAGAGAGGGCGGGGCGTTCAGGTCGGCCAGGGCCTGAGCCGCTGGGCAGACGTCCACGTACAGGACGCTGGGTCGCTCTTTGTTGCGCTCGTTGAAAAGGCGCTCGCCCACGCCGAAGCAAATTCGCAGCTGTGGAATACGAATGGGTTGTATTTGACGGGAGTCGGCGAGCTGGTAAGTCCCCAGGTTATGGCACTGAGTATCGCGCACAGGTCTCTGACACGATGCAGCCATTCAGCGAGATATCGAGCCGCGTCGCCAGCTCAGCCGCCTCCAAGGGCTACATACCCGACGGCAAGGCCGTCGATCAGGTGACCGGTGACGAAGCTGACAAGGCATTGTCGCATGGTCGCGTACTGTACGGAACGAATGCTAGAGGTTCAGCAAGGCGGGCAAGGGAGCTGCTTGGCTGGAGCCCGCGATTCGGCAAGACGGGTCTGGAAGAAGAGATTCCGCGAGCTGTCGACGAGGCGGCCAAGTCTTTAGGCAAGGCTTGAGTCATCTGATATATACAGCAATCGACTGTGCTCCTGCGTCGAGGTTCAAAGAAGTCGTCGTGTCCCGTTTGGATCAGCGGAAGAACCTGGGTTGGGGACACTGTCAGGCGGGTTGCAAAGCACCCTCCAGCTGTAGCGCGCCAGAGTCCACGACCCGACTGGATTTGGGCAAGCAATAAAACGTTCACAACAACAACTTGTATACGTATTCTCTATTTCCCCGGAATAGGACCCCACTGTCATCCATGAAACTAGGCTGTTCATACAAGATGAATCGATGCCCTAGTACATGCGCGCTGACGTGATCTCGAAGGCGACATGGATACCGCAGAGCACCCAGCGCCTGGGGACCCAGCATTAGCGCTCATTGTTGCTGGCTAACAGCCACAGTCGAAGACTCGACACTCGCTGCCACGTTGACGCCACTTCCGCCAGTCCGAGCACAACGAGGTACTCATTGCGGTGCCTGATACTGGTCCGCATCCACCCCGGCTGCCCAGTGATGCTTTGCCGCGACATGCTCGGCAGGAGGGTGCTTTTGCCCTGGCTTCTGGTAAAAGTTCTCCCGATAAGTGCCACCCGGCACAGCATAGTCATCCCAGAATAAGCCTCTCTTTCGAAGCTCAGGGACGAGAAGCTCAATGATGTCTTCGAATGACTGGGGGAACAACACGTATGCCTACTCATGGTTAAAACCCCACAAGAGAAGCAATAGAACTTAGCGACTTACAAGATTGAAGCCGTCGACGTCGGCCTCTCGAACCCATGTCTCGAGGCTGTCCGCTACTTGAGATGGAGTGCCGACAAAGAGAGGGCCGTTGCCACCGATGCTAACGTGCTCCGCTACAGTGTGCTTTGTCCACTTTGAGTTTGCGGGAGAGAACTTGGCATAGCCCTCGACGGTCGACCTGAATGCTGTTAATCGTCGCCATGGAGGCTGCGCTGTAGACTGAACCTACCTGACGGCATTGCTCTCGACTTGCCGGAGCTCTTCATCATCTCCATATTCATTAAGATCGATGCCCGTCCAACCACCAAAGAGCGAGAGGGCTCCTTCGAGCGACGCATACTGCTTGTAGTCGTTGTACTTTGCCAGAGCCTCTTCCTCGGTCCTGCCAAGTATGGTTGTGACTAGCGCCAGGACCTTAATGCTCTTCGGGTCTCTTCCAAAAACATCTTTGGCGGTTTGTCGGATCTCAGCAATGTTTTTGGCGCACACGGCCGGGGCGTGAGCAGAGGTGAAGATGGCTTCGGCATGTTGGGCAGCAAAGAGCTTGCCGGCTTTCGAGGCGCCCGCCTGGAGCAGAAGGGGAGTTCGCTGCGGGCTCGGGTCCACGATGTGAGGCCCGGGAACTGAGAAATACTTCCCTTCGTGGTTAATCTTCCGTACCAGGCGCGGATCGGTGTAGATTCCACGCTCGCGGTCGAGCAAAACGGCATCATCTCTCCAGGAAGACTGCAGCAGCTTGTATATGACCGTCATGTACTCTTCAGCTTGCGCATATCGCTCATCGTGCTGGAACGTAGTCAGAGTCGGACGTTTTGATCAAGGTCTGTAGTATTCACTACTTACGCCAAGCTGCTCAGTGCGGCCGAGGTTCTTTGCTGCCGATTCGAGATAGCTCGTGACAATCTGTTGTGGCCTGGCGTCAGCGTACGAATCGACCTGGGGACAGCATTGAACGGAGCTTTACATTCCACCCGACTCTAGACCCATGTTAGCATCCTTGAAACGACCACGTGGAGTTTATTGTTGGTAATGAAGCCAACGACTAACCTTCCCTTTGTGAGATGGTCGACTGTGGAAAGCCTTCTCGCGAGGTGGTACGGCTGCTCATAGGTAGTCGACACAGTGACGCCAAATCCAATGCTCTTAGTTGCTGCCGCCATGGCAGGGATTACCGAAAGCGGCTCAGTTACAGGCCACTGAGCTCCGGAGGTTATCGAGGGCTCAAGAGACTTGGAATAGACATCGTAGCCACCTGATCTGGTTAGACGAGGCAAGGGTCTCAACGGTTACGGTTGAATGCTGAACATTGACCTCACCGAGAACGTCTGCGATAAAGATCCCGTGAAACTTCGCCTGATCCAATAGCTTGGCTAGCTCAACCCAATGCTCCGTGTCTTTGAACTTCCAGGACTTGTCACTCGGATGTCGCCATAGCCCCGGTGATTGGTGGCCACTGCCTGCAGCCAAGTCAGCTACTGGTGTGTGTTGTGGTAGATCATGTACGGCGTTGACGAACACATCATCACAAAGGCGTTGAGTATAAGGCTCTTCTTTTCAACATCGGGATTGGTATTTTCCGCCATGTTTGCGTTCTGTCTTGCAGCGACACTTGGATGAAACAGTGCTGTTTGAGAAGGTGGACCAGGCGCAGAGACGGTGACGGGTGACTGGACCCGGGAGTTACTGTCGAGTTTGTCGCTTTTCGCAAGTGCCTTGATGTACTCCAAGAAAGCCAGACAAGGTCGGCCGAATGTCCATGCAACAATTGCGTGATCACTGGAGGCAGATTGCGAGCTGCTTATACTCGACGGCGGAGGCATACTGGACCGCGCACCCTCCCCGCGGATTGCCCGCTGGCCCGCCTGCGAGTCGCTGCGTGCGGGGCAGGACGGCGCAGTCAGTGGGCCAACCCTTCGCTGGAGACCTGCGCAGTCACTACGTAGATAGTATCCCCCAGCAATGGCGCAATCTCGTCCGCATCTTGCAAAGCTCGTTGCCATATCCCGGCATCAGGCATGTTGGCGATCGGCTGCAATTATTTTGCTTTTACCCGGACAAGTTCGCCAGAACGCCTGGATGAGCCTCCGATGCCGGGCTCCGCAAGCCATCGCCCAGGTTGAAGCTCCCGGCCACTGTGGGAGCTTGGGCGGCTGCCTAGCTTGAGCCCCGAAATGGCGTATTTTCGAAGCATTCACGCGTCCATTGCAAGTCATGTCGCATCAGGTTCGCGGGGCCTGGCTCGCGCGGGATTAGCATTATGCAAATAGTACCCGACCACAGCATGTGACGACGGAGCTACTTGTATCGGGAAACGAAGGAGCGACGGAGCTGTTCGCCAATTCAGTCGTGTAGATACAGTACAGTGCGGCACTGGGATCTCTAACTACGAAATGGGAATGTCGCTTAGACTAGTCTAATGCAGCATGATATTTCTGTAGGGCGTCATGTCGAGTCTGGTCCTAAACAGCCTTTTCCGTGCCAGCTGGTGCTTCTTTGACGGTCTCAACATCACCGTCACTCGCCGGGGTGGTGTTATAAGGGCCCTGGCCACTGCCGTTTTCCCCAGCGGCACCAAAGTGCCTGAGAACAAGCCACGCTGGAAAAATTGCCAGCCCCCAGAGTGCAAAGTTCAAGTAAACACCACCGACATGCGCCATAACCGGCACGGCTTCGAGACCGTAGCTGACAGCTTGCCAGGCGGATTCTGTCCCACGAAGAAGAGCGGAATACCGAATGATTTCTTCCTTGGACTCGGACAGATTCTGTATGATGAAGTAGCTGGGATCGTGGAATCAGTACCTTCTGCCTCGAAAACTTGACGGCGACCGCCGAACTCACAGGAAGAGGTAGTTTAGCTGAAAGCCAAGCAGCAAGAATAGGAACACCGCGAAGCCGGATCCGAAGCCCGCGCTGGACCAGTCGTGTGTCGGATGCGTGCGATCATATCTGGTGACGAGAATTGTCGCCCACACCCACCACGCTCCCTGGAGCGTCACAATGGTCCAGAACGAGGACCGCGCCCGCACCTTTAGAGGCACCCGTGTCCGGTCAAGCCAGTACTGCACCGAACCTCTCAGCAAAAAGCAAAAGACAATGAAAAGCGTCGGAAATTCTGGCGCCTTACCCCTAGAATGTTGCCGCCAATTACAGCGACGATGCCTGAGAGGAAGGAACCTAAGGCGCGGGCCCTAACAGTGAACCATACTATCTGCTGTCAGTGACAGATCTAACAAGCGCGTCGTTCTCAAGCACGTACAGGAAAGGTACGTGAAGAATACTGCCTCGGCAAAGACAGCCTGCCCGATGAACAAGACAATCAACAAGAACTTCTTCGTGAAAAAGAGCCGTGTTGTTTGCTTGATCTCGAACCAAGGATTGTTCAGAATCGACAGGTCAACCTTTTTGCCATCCTGTCGCTCGACCTTGTCGGGAGGCGTAAGGCAGAGCGCGACCGCCGGTCCAAGACACTGCAGGGCGATAAAGATGAGGAAAACCGTGTATGAAACCTTGCCTGCCTGGTCACGGTCCGTGTTCAGGCCCAGATTGATTGCACCGCCGAGGATCTGACCGCTGACGCGGAACGTCAGCCAGAAACCGAGTGCCTTCCCGCGATTCCAGGGCTCGGGGTAGGCGATGGCAATGGCCGCCTCAGCCATCCAAAACACGCCGGCTGAGATGCCGCAAAGTGCCGCACCCAGGATGACAAGCCACTCTGTGCCGAAGCGATTGTTTGTGTAGAGGCCGGCTGCATACGGCGCGTATCCGAGCCTAGTCCTGAGCGTCAGCACTGGCCAGGCGACTTACACGGAGCGTCTAGAGCGTTCAAGCCTTACGTTCCGAATATCAGCGCGCCTTTAATCCCAATCACCCGCACTAGGGCGCTGGATAGCCAGCAGGATACGACCATGAGGCAGAATGTGAGCGCATTGGCGGTGTTGACGAGATATGGCCTCTGGGCACCGCCCGCCCCCAGTGAGTTCATGGCTCCCCATATTCCAGGCGCCGACAAGTTGCACAGGCCGAGGATCGTGATGTTGTAGAAGGTTGATCGGTACCATTTCACTGCGAAAAGATGAGCATTTACTTGGGAGATGAAATGTCTTTCAATGATGACCTTTTTTGCGTTCATCTAACCGCGTTGTGGAGTCGCTGTCGTTGTGGCTGGAGTTCGACATCGTGCGGTCTTCGCTTTGCTTGCGGCCTGGAGTAATGACTTCTTGGACGGGAGTTTGCCAAAACAGAGACAATTCGCATCAACTCAACGACTGAATATCCCCATGATAAGGGACAAGAAGTCATTTAGCCGTTGATGTCGCTCTGCTGTGGTGACCCGCTCTCCAGTGATGTGCCCTCCGACTTACACGAGCACGCCATTGCGACGGAGTTGCACCACATGGCAATCCCTGCTAGCCAACAAGGCACGCTCAGGGTCATGGCCACTGCTCGCAGAGGGCTCGAATTCGGTGTGTAGCCGAGATTCGGAGGATGACATTGATGATGAAATGCCGGTTCCGGAACCGTCTTTGGACTGCGCCATGGTCATTCGGGTATTGATTCCAGGGTGAGCGCGGCCAAACCCTGTCGCTCCGTTGGCTAACCTCCAGGGCATTGAGGGTTTGGCGAGTCCCCGCATCGTCGAAGCCGGGCATGGCTCCCGGCACTGCTGTAAGAGGAGTAGCATGGAAATGCGTATGGCGGTAGGCCACGTGTATCTTCCACAGACCACGATAGCCATTCCATTGCTTAAGCCCGGCGTTGACAATATGGCCCATCACTCACCGGGACTGGTCCCGGGTATAATCAGGGACTGTTGAGAAGCTGGCGGACTTGAACACGACTCTTTCGCGTTGTATGAACCGATATGTGAAAGAAAGCCCTCACGGCACACTCCACCAGCTCTCGTGAATGTCCCGCAAGTCTATGTCATCGCTGGCCTTTAGGTATGGAGTCATGTCCGACTCCGGATCAGCCTCGCGCCTCGTCCACCCGTTTCCAAAATACCATAGAAACCTGTTGCCCGTGCTAGACAAGTATTTGTAGTTCCAATCCTCCCATCTCGGTTCGCGTCGGACAGCGGTCAAGTGTGCGGCGCTGCCAGGCCAGATCCCATGGATTCGAGCCCCAGGCCGACCGCCATTGTACCACGAGCTGCAGTGATCGGACAAGACTGTGTTTTTGAAGAACGCGTCAGAGTAGGCGACGAAATCGTCGGTAGCCTCGGATGTCGCCTCGATAGACTTGATCCCTTCTCTTGATACTTTCCTCAAGAGCTTAGCCAAGTAGGTCAATTGGGTCTCCACGCTCTGCGGGACCGTGCCAGATGGCCCCGTTCCGTGAGGGCCATGGACAAAGAACAGGTTGGGAAACCCCGGAGTGGCTAACCCCATGTAAGTGTACGGAAAACCATGCTCTCCATCTGGCTTCCAAAGGTCACCCAAATCCTTTCCTCCAGCCCGGATGGGGAAGCTTGGGACTAAGTCCGACTTGGCCCCGGTCGCACAGAACACAGCATCTACTTCCCTGTGCACTCCGTCCATGGTTTGAATCCCCGTGGCGGTGAACCGCTTGATTGGCGTCTGAATAAAGTCCACGTTGTCCTCTGTGATAGCCTCGAGGTAACCAGGACCAGGTGTGAGACGGCGACAATTCGGTGAGAAATCTGGTATAATGTGCTCCAGCAATTCAGGCTTCTTGACTAGGCGCTTCCTCATGATGTCGGTAAAGGTTGCCTTGAGCTTCGTGTTTTCTTCCGTTCCCCGCAGAAACGCTTCGAAGCGTCGCCAGTACTTGTCCTCCATTTGTTTCCTAAAGGCAAGGTAAGTTGCGGGATCCGCGAAGCTCTTTTGCTGCTCTTCTGGAATTGGCTGAGGCTCAAGCGTGCGATCGTCTCCCGCCCACGACGCCGCGATCCAGGTCTTGTTTCGAGCGTAGTGATCCAGGCGCCCGACCACTTTTTGCAGGTTTGCCACGACCTGAATACCGCTTGCGCCATTACCAATGACCGCTACTCTTTTCCCCTCGGGATTGAAGGATGGGTCCCAATTGGAGGTGTGCCGAAGTAGGCCTTGATATTCCGAGATCCCAGGGTACTGGGGCAGTCGCCAGTCGTTGAAACGTCCGTTGCAGGTGAGGACAACGTCAAACTCGTCGCTAGACGCGCTCCCTGTCTCAAGGTTGCTGGCATCCAATCGCCATTTGCCCTTCTCAGCGTTCCATGTAGCAGCAGCGACGCGGTGATGGAACTTCGCATGACGATAAACGTCGTATCTGCGAGCCACGGACTGCCAATAGTTTTTGATCTCTTCTCCGGAGGCGAACTGATCCGACCAATCTTTCTTTGGCGCAAAGGTCGACTGATACACGTGGGATGGGATGTCGCATTGCACTCCGGGATACACATTTTCTAGCCATGTACCGCCCTGCGACGAGACCGATTAGCATGCACTACTGAACCTACCCAGGCCACTGTTCCCATACAAAGTCTGCATTCTTCTCGAAAATGGTCAATTTAATGCCTGGGACCTTGGTGGGTAGGAGAACGCCAGCTAGGATGCCTGCAAGTCCCCCTCCAATGACGGCAACACCTATTTGGCGGGGCTCATCGATGAAGCGGTCGATGATTGCGACCCCTGAGTTCTGCGCATGAGGCGTGGCCTTGGGCTTGTCCGCATCGTTGGATAGTCTCGAATCAGACCTGATTATCGTGGAAGCTTCGGGCTGGGTACGGGCGCCGTTGTTCGGCAAGGGCTCGGATCGCGTGTCTTTGCTGGAATCGGGTTGGCTGTATGCTTGGGTCCCTGTAAAGCCAGGCACGTCGCTGGGGTCCGCTACCAAGGTCGCCATCATGGAACATGAACCTGTTAGAACCGCGCTGATGGGCTTGGTCGCGAGATCAGGGCAGCAACATGAAGTCACGCGAATGACTCCTTGGTATATTTATCTGGATGCTCTCCATGCGATTTGCTTCGCTCGAACATGAAACCCACCGGTCAGCGTGTCGCCATGGCACAGGGTGAGCACGTCAATGCTCCCCCACAATCACACCATCTACAACGACCTGCGCTCAACTCTCCGCCCGTACCGCCGTCCCCATAAACGAATGCAATGCCGTAGCTTGTTTCAGAACATATGCCAATCCCGCAACCCGTCGTTGAGCGCCTTGTTCTCGGGGTCTAACCGGACGGCTTGAGTTCCCCTCTAGCTGGCCCGCCGATTGCAGCTGGTCCGCCGATTCTCAGCGCCATCACAACCCAGCCGTGGCCCACTGCCTTCCACCGCTCACTACCACTAGAGTTCGACTTCTGCTTCGTGTAATCCTGCGCTCCATGCCCGACCCACTGGTCAGCTAGTCGCTTTTCTGGGCGTGAGCATACCGAAGTCTCGGCGAGCAACTGCAAGGTCCAGTCTCCCGGCGCTCGGTGACGCACCTAGCGTTGCCACACCCAAGGCCGCAAGACAAGTTAAAAGAGCCCCCGAGAGTCGGCTAGCAATCCTAGCTATTGCAGCGCGTCGCATCATGCCGAGAAAGAAACACCGTGCCTGTCCAAGATCTGGCTGTCGGGCGCCCTGAGTTCCGAGCTCTTCTCGGTGAGGCGCCCGTCAGTTCCGTTGGTGTGTGTTGTTCGGTTCCGGGTTCCGTCCGCGTCTGGGACGAACGGGCTCAGCGCCTGCGAGACCTGCGCGAGCCGCACAATCCGCGCGCACGCGCGTGCGCAGGTATTGCTACTTATAAGAGATGCTTTGATGTTCTGAAAGGCGATGTTCGATGGAGCAACGTCAGCCAGTTTCCGGCCAGCCCGATTGAATGCCAACCAACTTCGTTGCGGTGCCTTTTTCACATTTCCTCATCTCTCGGTGGCACGGTTCATTATACAACATGGGTGACAAGAAGGGATTTGACAATCTGCATCAGATTGGTCCCTGCAGTAGCATGGAAGACCTGCAAGCGGTCAGGGACATTAGAAAACTCATCATCGACCTCTGCCGCCAGAACAATGGTGGCCATGGCGGATCTGCGATCGGCATGGCACCTATTGCGGTCTCCCTTTGGAGGCATGTTATGCGATATAATCCCCTAAACCCGAAGGTACGTTGCTTGTCGAGTTATAACGTTTCACTTGTCACGGGCTGATGTCTGGTGGGCCGTTGTATCAGTGGTTTGACAGAGACAGATTCGTGCTGTCAAATGGACACGCAGCTGCCCTCCTCTATGTCATGCTTCACATCTCTGGCTACCCACATATGTCTATGGACGAACTCAAGATGTATGCCAGTACGAAGCCTGTAGATAGAGCTACGGGCAACTGGAAGTCGACAATATGTCTTGGTCACCCAGAGATCCATGTGCCTGGCGTCGAAGTGACAACGGGACCACTCGGGCAAGGAATCGCCAACGCCGTAGGGCTCGCAATCGCATCGCGCAATCTGGCAGCGACTTTCAACAAACCTGGCCACGAGGTGATCGGATCCCACATCTACTGCGTCACCGGAGATGGCTGTCTCCAGGAAGGGGTAGCGTGCGAAGCCACGGCCATTGCCGGGAATCTAGGACTCGACAACCTGACCTTAATATACGACAACAATCAGATCACTTGTGATGGCCCTCTTGAGTGGACGATGTCGGAAGATACAAATGCGAAGATGAAAGCATTGGGGTGGCATGTGATCGATGTCCTGGACGGTGACGGGGAACTTGCTGTGTCCCGAATTGCCGCGGCGCTGGTTGAGGCGAAAAGCCTGAAAGGGAAGCCAACCTTTGTCAATGTCCGGACTACGATAGGCTACGGAACTTCGAAAGCAGGAAGCGCCATGTCTCACCATGGAACGTACACTGAAGAGGATGCAGCACAATACTGTCCAGCTGGAGAGTTCACCACACACACGATCTCCTCTGCGACCAAGAATTACTTCGCGGAGCTTGTGACCAAGGGCAGCGACCTGGAAACGAAATGGAACGACCTTATAACCCAATATTCCATGATCCACCCAGGCCTCGCCGCCGCCCTCGATCAACGTATGCGAGGCGCGGCCGACCTTCATCCAGGTAATCTGCTGGGTTCAATCAATGTCCCTGACTCACTCATGGCGACCAGACAGTTCAATGGAATCGTCTTTAACCACTTGATGTCTGGCATTCCGGCCATGATCGCGGGCGGAGCGGATCTGTGGAATGCCACCAACATGAGCGATGCGGCCCATGGGATCTTCGACCGCTGCCGGCCGTCTGGTAGGGTCATCCGCTATGGTATTCGCGAGCACGCCATGGCGGCAATCTCCAACGGAATTGCAGCGTATCAGCAAGGCTGCTTCCTCCCGGTCACCGCGACATTCTTCATGTTTTACCTGTACGCAGGCCCGGCAGTGCGCATGGGTGCCTTGAGCGACCTCAGGGTAGTACACATCGCCACACACGACTCCATCGGCGAGGGCCAGAACGGGCCAACACACCAGCCAGTTGAGTTGGACAGCCTGTATCGCGCAATGCCAAACTTGCTGTATATCCGCCCCGCTGACCCGGAGGAAGTGATTGGGGCATGGGCCACCGCTTTGGAGGCGGAACGAACACCGACTATCATTTCGCTCGCCCGTGATCCACCCTTGCATGGGCTGTCTGGTACGGACCGATGGAAGGTAAGGATGGGAGGTTACGTCTTATCCGAGCCGAAGGCAGGCCAAAAGGCGCTGGTAACGTTGATATCCTGTGGGTCTGACCTGCAGTTTGCAGCAGAGGCTGCGCTGCGACTCAACGAAGAGGGCGTACTGACACGGGTTGTGAGCATGCCCTGCATTGAACGGTTTGAGAAGCAACCGCTGGAATACCAGGAAGAGGTTCTGTCCTCATCAAGGCACGTCATCTCCGTGGAAGCATATGTATCAACGATCTGGGCCCGATTCTGCAACGCCTCAGTGGCGATGGATTCGTTCGGATACTCAGGCTCGAGCACAGAAAACTTCGCGAGATTTGGGATGGATAGTGATGGTGTAGTGAGGAAGGTCAAGGCCTTCATCAAGGGTGACACCTCACATACCAAGGCAGGTGCGTTTCGCATGTGGAGGCTATTGAAGTAGCGAAGTTGCACCACGGGGTCGGGGTCTCTCCCTGAATACACGTTCGCTGAATTGAGTCGGATCCCCCTACATGGCGGCTTTGCAAAGGTAGATGGCTCGGTGAAACGATAATTTCCATCCATAATCTTGATCAGCTATGAGCCGCACACAGCACAAGGCAGCTTTGCTCAATAGATACATGCGTTCAGACCAGCTCAATGCGATATACATCCTCGCTCAAACGTCAACGGGCACCAGTCACATATCTGGGGATCTTGCCATGATCTCAAATGTCCAACATTCTCGAGCCGGACTCACAGGTCGTTCTTCGTGTCGGGCAATTGGGCCTCAGCATCTCCATGCGACGACCCAGCACCCTCAATGGCCTTGTCAGGCCTAACATGAAGCGGCGCAATGACCGTTTCTTCCTTGAAGTAGTTGGTATCACTTGTGTACTTCCACGCCACAAAGTAGAGAATCGGCCAGCACAAGGTAGTCAACGCAAAGTACGCCGCGTTCTCATTCTCATATGGCTGCTCGGTGGCATCAACGCCAAAAGAGACGGCGGTACCAGTGCTAAGCCCTAGACGGAGGAAGTGAGTAAGTACGTTGGTGCATTTTTAAACTTTGGTAGAGCTTCGCAGGTGAGGACGTACAGGCAACAAAAAGTCCCGCAATGGAAGCAGACATGTAGGGGTCGTTGGTCAAAGTCCCCATCACGTACACCACGACGTTCTGAAACATGCCGTACTGCGCCGCATACACCATGTAGATGACAATAGCGCCTGCGTATGCGGGGTCTGTGCAGTCGATTGAAGGACCGGCAATCTTTCGGTCAAACTTCCAGCTGGCAAGCCAAATAGTCTGTGCGATATATGCGGCCGTTATCCACACGGCATCAAAGGTGATTCCTAGGATAGCACGCTTCTTGCGGCTCTTGATCTTGGGAGAGTCGAGTAGCAGGCCCATAATCATGGTGGTAGGAATCTGGATAAGGTTGTTGAGAAGACAGTTCAGCGTTCGGGTCCTGAGATTGAACGCGTAGGCGTTCATGGATGACTGGAAAGGGAAGAACATCTCGGGGATGAAGAAAGTAGGGATCATCAAGACAATCCTCCAATCCTTGAACAGCCTTCCTGTCATCTTGAGTGACTCCCACAGAGTGATTTTCTCGAAGGACGCCAAAGCTGTCCCATCAGACCGCCGCAACTGGTCTGGCGGAAGAAGGAGGAATGCCATACTGACAGACAAGCATTGGATGATTATGAAGGTTATGTAAACGGAGTGCGGCACGCTGAGGGAAGTGGCATTCCAACTCAAGCCGAGAGCCACAGACGCGCCAATCGCCGATCCGGTTATGTTTGAGGTCCACTGGATGGCTCGGTACAGGCCCTTGTCTTTCTCTTCGGCGTACGCATTTGCTGTATAGGCCGCCGTAGTCCAGAGGCAACCTGCCGTAAGTCCAAGGTATGCGCCGGCCACGATTGGGTACCACAATTTGCTGTATGTGTCATAGTACCACATCGCTCCGATGTACAGCGGGTATCCAGTAATGCCAAACATCATCGTCAGTCGCGGTCCCAGCGTATTGAGCACGGATCCTGCCATAAGTGCGGAAAAGGCGAAGACGCCGTACAGAACGCCGTTGCTAGTATTGGCCATGGCCGTCGAAGTTACCTGACCTCCACCGGCACCCAGAAGCTATAGAAGTCAAGAGTGAATTAGCTGAGCTGTTCCAATGATGAAGGGCGTGCCCGACGTACGGTGATGGCCAAGTATAGCCCGGGGTTGCAGAACAGGCATGATGATGCGATCAGGTTCTGTATGAACGGGCTATTCTCGGGTCAGAGCTGGTTGACGCTGCTCTCCTCATACGAGCCACGTACTTGTTGCGCCGGAGAAAGGGCAGCTTTGTTGTTCCTTCGGCCATTGTTGCCAGTTATGACTTGACAGGGTCAAGTCCACAATGTTCAGATTTGGCGTCGTACATAGAGCGGAAGAGCGCACACGTGACAATTATATCAGTGTGTCGCCGCGGGATTACCACCGAGACATGCGGCAGGGTGGTTGAGTGTTACTGGCAGGACACCCGAGACTGCGTAGCAAAGTGGGCTGGATCTGCACGACCAGAAAAACCCCTCAGCTAAAGTACTCAGACAAGCCAGAGTCAAGGTCTGCTATCGGGTGTAAACAAAAGATCACCTGGCGGCCGACGAAGACGCTGTGCTACTGATGATCCCTTCGCCGGTTCGGTGGGGACCTGACCATGACTTAATGTATACTCTGCAATCGGAACTCATCGAAGGCACAGTCAGGGGCGAGTTCCGAGATATTGCAACGTTCCCCGCACGCCCACATCTCGTCTCCTGGCCGGCCAGATGTTTCACCCAACAGCCGAGGGGTCGGCAAAGAGCGACACAAACCTGACGTTGAATAGCCAAAGTACGTACTCGCTGTCTGCCGAAACAGCACGACGGACAGAGCACAGATGTTTCACGGACAAGCGAGCGAAACGTGTACGTATGTACGAGTAGATGGTGTTACTCTGTGCTTGACTTAGAATATAGCCGTACCATTCACCTGGCTGCCGACACCACCAGGGCAATTGGCCGGTGCGCTGGAAAAGAAAAATGTCCATCGACCGTGTTTGCGAGCCAATCCACTGACCTTCTCCAAATCAAGCATTTCGCCGATCGGCACACCCCACAAGGCCAACAAGTACTCATGCAACTTGTAAGATTCTCGTGACGGCCATACCTCAAAAGCAGGGGCATCGCCAGCCACCGCCGCAAAGTAGCAGTCGTGTAGCCAGTCCACGACGGCTGGCTCCTGACTTACTCCGGCCCAGGTAGGTTCCTCCCGCAGCCCAATCGCGTCGTTATCATCATCGGACGCAAGATAATAGTCCCTGACGAAACCCGAGCGTATGAAGAGAAAGTCGCCGACCCGGATATCACCCCCTTGGCTAGCTGGGCGGATGTCGAGACCTTGCCAATCCCCACACCGGCGAAGCTCTTCATATGTAATGGCATGGTGAGATGCCGAGTTGTAAGCAAATCCCTGGCTCTCCGCGTAGGAGCGGTAGTCCAGGAGAACGCCGCGACCCGTCATCCCCTGGCTCGACCAGTGATGAATGCTGCATCTATCATTGGCATGAGGCCCTGCAATGTCGGAGGCCTTTGTGTTGTTATAGAACGTCTTGGTCGGCGCGTGCGACATGTGTCGAAACCCGTCCCACTGTGAGCTTGATTGCGTGTTCAGTTCGTAGAGGTCATCGTTGCCAATACCTTCCTGGACTACCTTGATGGTGTGTCGAAATCGTTCCCGACCCCAGCTTGGCTGCCTTGGCACGTCGAGCGGAAGATCGACTCTTGCTATCTCGCCCGACAGAATTTCGGCCTTGGCGGCCACCACTCGTGACGGAGTCAGTAGATTGAGCCTCCCCAGGTTGTCATCCGCTCCCCACGTCCAAGCTGCATCTGCGGGGGCTCCCTCGGTTCTCGGCAGATGTTTTCGTGAGGGGAACACCGAATTGGTGGGGTCCCAAGGAAGTTGGCAGGGGTCTTGACGACGTGGGCTGCTGCTCGCCATGTTGCTCAAGCGAGCTTGAAGCGCTGTACGCTCGCAGACATATCATCGGGGCAACGCCCTTTACATAGCTATCTGGCAAGCATCTAAAGATGAACCGCCAGATCGTTCGGCGTTCGGGTGGACTTCGCTGCGCGAGATGGACGTTTGGCCCCGTGACGGACCGCCGCAACGCGAACGCCGAGTTCCTAGCGACGACACTAGTCAGTTGGCCGACACACCAACGGATCGAATGCAAACATCCCCCGCACCTTCTCCGACCCTCGGAGTTTTGGTGTCTTGGTACTAATACGTCGAGTATTATTTGTGCACTTCTTTCGTAGTCATGCACTATACGTTGCGAACAGAACTGCGTTTTGATCTTTCCCTGCTCCGTGCTGTAAGGAGCTCGCGTACATTGCCAAGATAATCAGTTCACACCACTCTACACCAAGGCTACCCATGGATTCCTGGCAGGATGTTGCTTCGGCATACCAAGCGGCTGTTCTGGATGCCATTCCTGTCCGCTGGCGACTGGCAGAGACACCGGCCCCGTCTGTGAAAGATGTCCGTGACATTCCGGTGAAATGCGGACTCTTAACAGAGAAGCAGCTAGCCATCACGGAACAGGAAGCTACGCAGCTCGTATCGGAGCTACGAAACGGTAGCCTGACTGCCGTAGAGGCTACGGAGGCCTTCTGCGCACGCGCAGCCATCGCGCATCAATGCGTAAGCAAATCGGCACATGGCAGTCTTCAACTGACTACAACTACGTGTTAGGTAAATTGCCTTACTGGATACTTTTACGAGGAGTCCATCGCACGTGCCGCAGCACTCGATGCCATCTTGAAGGATACCGGAAAACCCGTTGGGCCGCTACATGGTCTTCCAATCGCCATAAAAGTAGGTCATGGTCGGCCTCGATGGACCACCTTCGAACATGGACTTGGAACTCAGCAACTGACCAGCAAATTAAAGGACACCTTTGAGTTAGAGGGTAAAGCTGGTACTTTTGGGCTAATGGCCTGGAGGGACAACAAGGGCCAACGCGATGCTTCTATCGTGAAGCTCCTTAAAGCCGCGGGAGGTATGCCACGCCATAAGAACCCGATTGCGCGTAGTCATGGTTCACTCACGCCATCTTCTTCCTGACACTTTAGCTGTTATCTTTGCACGAACTACTATGCCACAAACAGGGATGCTGCTCGAAACAGTAAGCAACCTTTGGGGTCGAACCAAGAACCCTTTCAACAGAGACTTTTCGGCAGGTGGCTCCTCTGGCGGAGATGGTGCCCTCGTGGCCATGCACGGGTCCCCCTTCTGCCCATCAACCGACATTGGTGGAAGCATTCGGGCCCCAGCGACCTTCAATGGGCTTTACGGAATACGGCCAACTTCAGAAAGAATACCCAAAACAGGACTCCTCACCCCTGTACTTGGTCAGATCTCAATCAAGGTCTCCTGTGGACCAACTTGTCATAGCGTAAGAGATTTGGGGCTGTTAACGAAGCTACTGTTAACGCATTATGACTATATTGGCTTTGACCCAACTGCCGCCCCCCTCGCCTGGCGAGACAAGGTCGAGGTACAAGACAAGCTTGTTTTTGGCGTTCTTCGAACGGACGGTTGTGTCACACCGCAGCCTCCAGTTGCACGAGCATTGAGTGAGCTCGTGGAGAGTGTGAAAGCCGCTGGTCACAAAGGTAAGCCTTCGTAGCCCCTGGTTGCGAGTAAAGGTGTTTCAATTGACTCATGGACTGGCAAACGAATTAGTGATCGAGATGGACCCTCCATTTGACCTGTGGGAGGCATCGCAAGTTACGGTAAGTATATTTCATTTGTTGGGACTTTAAGTTCATCCATAGCAGGCGCGCTAACCAGCAATAGTGGAAGCTTTACTTCCAAACGGGCGCCAAGGAGGTTCGGGACATGATAATATCGGCTGGCGAGCCCACCCTTCCAAACTTCTCATGGTACCTGGACACTTTCAAGATTCAAGCGCTCACTGTCCCTGAGCTATTCCAGGTAAGCACACAACATGCTTCCTTGCTCACCCCCCGTGCCTCGATATTGGTCCGTTTCTAATAACATACTCGTTCATAGTTGAACGCCAAGCAAGCGGCGTACAAGCGCCAGTTTGCCCGGGCCTGGTCTGACACGAAAGACCTCACCGGCTCAGGGCGGCCGATCGACGGCTTGCTCTGTCCGTGCGCACCCTCGGCGGGCTTCCCTCACGATTTCCCAGTTTGGTGGGGTTATTTCTCCATCTGGAACCTCTTGGACCACCCGAGTGTGATCATGCCACTGAAGACGTTCCAAATCGACCCAATCCTTGATGCCAAGAATATGGACTACGTTCCCCAGGACAATGTGTTTGACAGGATGAACTGGGAAGCCTGTGAG